AAAATAGAATTGACACACGAACACACACTGGAACAACCGGGCCCATAGTTTAAGCAACTGTCAGTGGTTTTAAGAGGAACAAATATAACGAAACCACACAAGTGCTGCAAAATAAAGAACAATACTATAACAAATACTTTCCCGACTGCACCACAAACAGTGAATTTCACAGACAAACTTACAACAAACAATACCTAATACATCATACGTAGTGAACATCAACATGGTGACAATTAAAGACGTAAACACAGAAACTGGTGAACAATGCAGACCAAGAACATTTCCTGAAAATAGAAACAAATTAATAAACCAAAATACAACAAAAGGTTTAAGGACACCAACGTGCAGACGACAAGAGGACAGAGTAGTGGTGTGTCAGGTGGTGGCGGGAGGTGGTGTAGTGATGCTTGGAGTCGGCCACTAGATGAGCTGCTGGACCCCATTGCTTGTTGCATCCTTAAACCCAAATGGAAATTATTATAATACTGTATATCATAGTAGGAAGCCATATAGTAGATAGCATGCTGGATGTGGCTTCATGATTAAATAACCAGTAACGACATTGTAGAATAAATGACTGTGGTTGAGAAGTCATTACATATCTGACGTAAATTTTGAATTAATTTCACAAATCCCTCAACCAACAATTATAGATTGTGAACGACAGAAAACCCTGTAAAATCTTATTAGTTATACACTTTCAATTATTTGGTAATTTTCGCGTTTTTTTTTCGTTGTTGTACTTATGTAAACTTATTGTATTTAATATTAAATAACGATTACTAATTAGATAATCATATTTATCTTAACCTAAATAAATTCATGTTATTATTGTAGCTCTGCATTTATTACAGTTATTATGTAAGGTTACTGCACAACTGTGACAGCCGGTAACCAGCTATAATTAAGGTAACGTTCCTCAAGTTCACTGTAACATTAACATAACTTATAATGATCGTGTGTTTATTACCGTGGTGTTGCCTCAGCTGGGTGGACCAGAAGCCTCAACAACCACAGGCAGGGAGGGAGATCATACTTTTCCTAGAGATGTTTTAATTTTAGTGGAGGATTGGCTGACCTTCAGGGTACAGTACACGTCACACCAGACAACCATTTTAGCCCCTAGGAAGACCATTATGTTCTCTACCATTATTATGAGTAAACATATTTTTCTTAACAGCCATCGTTAAGTGTGACTATTATGCATTAAATCTTTTATTTTATATTAATCTAATTGCTCATGCCCCGTGTGATCTCCTGAGACATTGATGGTGAACAGTCTTAATTAAACTGACCAGACTCATTACCACAGTTCCTAGAGGTCGAAAATTTCCTGTATTTTAGTTATACCTGTAATTTAGCTTAAGTCAACCAATTAGGTGCAGTATTACTTCTTTAGTGACGAGGACTGTTCATCAGACGAACCTTTAAGAATGTAGACGTTATTAAGAGGTAAGACGCTCGCTTAAACAGATTTACTCGTAAGGAAAAATAAAGGTTAACTTGTGAAGCGAAGGAGACGAAATGTTTATATTGAAGGACGTATCCTGTTCTTACATGAGTTTTAAGACACACTTGCGACACATTATAAATTCTTTACGTAGAATTATACTGTAATTCTAATACCTGTTATATTTCCCCGTCTTGGGAGAATCCAACACAATATGCAGCTGAATACAGTACAGTAAGTGATTTACTGTACGTTCTAATCTAAGGGATGCAAGAGATACACCAGTAAATATGTTTCTCGTGCAATTCTGTCTATAGTAAAGTTGTCAAGAGTTTGTACTGCAAGGAAATATTATTTACATATAATTATCAATGATGTTGACGTCATAGTAATAACAATTCAATGTTGACAACTAAGCGGACACGTCACCAAATCTGGCAAATTTCAGGGTCCCCAAAAAGACATTAGGGATGATTTCTTTTATCACATAAAATACTCAGTCCAACCAATTTCTGAGTTAAGTTTAGAAAATTCTACAGACCGTAGACCGTAGATTTTATTTGAGTGAATTTTAGCTTATGAGTTACTCTTAAGTCGTAAGAGTTGGCAGCAGACTATTGTGTGACGGCAGCAGGTGTACGGTGCCCCACGGCACCCCACGCAGTCGGCGGTGACTCGTGAATCCTTCAAGTAGGTGGAGACGTTGGTAGATGTGAGCTCTGAGAAAACTAACTCATAAAGCAAGGGTGAGACCCTAACAGTGAGTCACTCTCATCAGGGTAAATTAGATTAGGTTTAATTAGGTTAAATTATATTTGGGTTAATGTTGATAACTATGTTAGATTGACTTAAATTTGATTATTTAAGGTTAATTAGGTTAGGTTATAATATTAGTTAAAGAAGCATTAGGTCAGTTTATGTTAAATATAGCTAGATTAAGTTAGATATGTGAGACAGTTAAGTTATATTGTTAGTTGTTAGATAACTTTAGGTTATATTATGTTACAGAAGGTTAGATTATGTTAGATTATCTTAGATATGGGTAGATTATGTTAGATAGGGATAAGTTCGGTTGGCTGCATTTGCTTACATTAAGAGTCGCTAGCACTGCTCCCTCGACAGCTGAAGGTTCGCCCACACCACCACACTCTGTTATGTCTTGTAATTATCGGCATACTAATAACAACAAGGTCGCCCACAAGGCGTTTCAAGCACCTATACCTACAACTCAACACCGCAACACAACACAACACCACAACACAACACCGCAACATACTCATAGTCACACAACATTTGACGGACCCACAGAAGAGAATTGAGACAGAAGAGTCCCAGATAAAATTGGTTCGATAACAACCGAATATTACATGACTGAGTGTTGTTCTGGTCTTGAAAAGGCTTCTGGGATAATATATCTAGAATTTATCATGTCTAACATGTCCTGCCATGCCCTGGATTGTACACACTACATTATGTAAGAATAAGAAGCAAGTACAAGGCAGAATGATCCGGTAACAGTAGGCTAAGCATAAAACAGGTACACAAGTATATACAACATAGCGAGATACCCATAGACAAAATTTCTCTTTGGCATAAGAATGACATAAGGCGTCCTTTTGTTAAGCAGCACATTCAGGAGTACCTATACTGAAATTTTGAACAAAATCCATTTTTTGGCCGAAAATGAAAAAAATTGTAAGTCTTATGCCTTAAAGGATTTTTGGCCAAAAATACTTTTTCTCTCTGAACTAAAATTTAATGTGCCTAATTATTTAAGTACATCCTGAATAATACACAAGCACCAAGAAATGACCTCGAAAACCCATAAGTGGCGAGTAATTAGCATTGCAAAAGTAATTAAAATATTCTAAAAATCATTTGAACATTTTCTAAAAGCCATTTGAACAAGTTATAATCAAGATATCAAATTTTGGTTAACAGATCCTTAAGCAGCATGTTCAGGAGTACCTATACTGCGATTTTGAGCAAAATCTAATTTTGGACGAAATTCCAAAAATTGTAAGGCTTACCCCTTACAGAATTTTTGGCCAAAAATACTTTTTCTCTCAGAACTAAAATTTAATGTGCCTACCTTCTTAAATACACCCAGAATAATACACAACCACCAAGAATTGACCTTGAAAACCCAAAATGGCGAGCAATTAGCATTGCAAAAGTAAATAAAATATTCTAAAAATCATTTGAACATTTTCTAAAAGCCATTTGAACAAGTTATAATCAAGATATCAAATTTTGGTTAACAGATCCTTAAGCAGCACATTTCAGGAGTACCTATACTGATATTTTGAACAAAATCCATTTTTTGGACGAAATTCCAAAAATTGTAAGGCTTACCCCTTACAGAATTTTTGGCCAAAAATACTTTTTCTCTCAGAACTAAAATTTAATGTGCCTACCTTCTTAAATACACCCAGAATAATACACAAGCACCAAGAAATGACCTTGAAAACCCAAAATGGCGAGCAATTAGCATTGCAAAAGTAATTAAAATATTGTAAAAATCATTTGAACATTTTCTAAAAGCCATTTAAACAAGTTATAATCAAGATATCAAATTTTGGTTAACAGATCCTTAAGCAGCATATTCAGGAGTACCTATACTAAAATCTTGAACAAAATCCATTTTTTGGCCAAAAATGACAAAAATACTTTTTCTCTCTGAACTAAAATTTAATGTGCCTAACTATTTAAGTACATCCAGAATAATACACAAACACCAAGAAATGACCTCGAAAACCCATAAGTGGCGAGTAATTAGCATTGCAAAAGTAATTGAAATATTCTAAAAATTATTTGAACAAGCAATAATCCATATATCAAATTTTGGTTAACAGATCCTTAATCAGCATGTTCAGGAGTACCTATACTGCGATTTTGATCAAAATCCATTTTTGGAAGAAATGCCAAAAATGTCACGGATGTTGCGTCCCAGTAGATACAACACTCGTCGTCTGTGCCAAGGATCGCAGTTACATTATATACTGGAATGCCCATTGCTTAATGTATATAGAAATGCCCATATAAATAATGTCCCCAAGCAAATAGAGTGGATGTTTAAAAATAGGAAAATAGATGAAATATTAAAGAAATATAGAAATTTTGCATCTAGAATATAACTATGTACTATAACTGATTATATGAAATATTAGGGATTTATGTGAGTCCTGAGAGGGACATTCCTGGACTGGGGTGAGGACCACTTATGTCACTTCATCCCTTTGAGATGTATTAATGTTTTTTGTATCTCAATTAACGTATCAATCAATCAAGGATCGCAGCCCAGCTGTAAATAGGAAATGAACGCACGTTACCTCCTTGCTTACCGAAGCCTTAGCATTTACTGTAGGGAGTTGTACCCTTACTGTCCCTAACGGCCGTCATGCTTACGGGAACTATTTTCACTTTCAGTAGCTTTAGCTCCTAACTATTTTAAAATAACCTAACCATAAGGACTGGGCCGATTCAAACTGAAAAGGTTAGATCAGGCAAGTCACACGTTCCACCTCACTTTAATTTTCCATAAGTTTCGGATAAATTAAATACTTGTCACTTTTAACCTTAACTGAAAAACAATGAACAATATATTTACTGTTTGTGACCATATAATACATGAATGTACTGACATTATATATATATATATATATATATATATATATATATATATATATATATATATATATATATATATATATATATATATATATATATATATATATATATATATATTAGAAACTCACTGGAACACGCACATTACAGACAGCTATAGTTCTACAACATAATCACCACAAAGTGTTCACACTTTCTCAGAATATTTTTCGTAGTATACTGTACTGTATAAACTACTCCGGGTCATGACCATTGTTACTCCATACTGATCCGCCACATCACCTAACATAACAAATCCTAATACACCATAATCTAGCATGACCTAACCTAACATAAACCAACCAAATATAACCTTACTTAACATAACCTCATCTAGTTTACACAAGCCCAACCTAACCTAACATAGTTAAACATAACATATTAAGCTCGTCTAACTAAACCTAACCTAACTTAGCATAACAAAAGTTACCATATCTAAATTAGTATAACGGTCTAACCCAACCTAACTTAACCAAACTTAGCTTAAAATACTATCTTTAATTAAAATCTAATTTATTCTTGAATGACGGATCAATACTTTCTTAAAAAATCTGATTTATTCTCGTATATAAACAAATTGAGCTTTGAATTAGATATTTTCGACCGACTTATTATTTTTAAAATCTATGAATAATTTTACTAAACCAAGTAAATTTTCACGAATTTATTTACGATGACTAAGGCCAAATTTTTCTAGATAAAGAAGTGGAGAAGAGATGCCACCAATAATAGACACAGTAACAATAACAGGAGGAGATAGAGAGGAAGAAGAAGGGAAATAGATAATACAATTAGACATAAAAATGGAAAACAGAGATAAAGAGAGAAAGTAACTCACGATACAGTTTTCAACAAGAGTACTTAGCTCGATACAGTAAAATTATAATACTTTACCTAGAGATATAAAGACAGACATAAAAGAGAGAGAGAGAGAGAGAGAGAGAGAGAGAGAGAGAGAGAGAGAGAGAGAGAGCCACACAACACTGACACTCGCTATAGTTACTCATAATACTGTAGCTATTCGGGCAGCTAACCTCCGTCTCGCGGTATTCATGTCTCACACAACACAATAATGATCCTTGCTGTCAGAGTAAAGTCCACTCGATGACTTTCTAAACTATCTCTCTCTCTCTCTCTCTCTCACACCATCACGTCCTATCTCTGTGTAAGTTAGTAGCTAATTGGAGTGTTTTGCGCGCCGGGTAAAAACATATATATTACAGTACAATTCAGGTGTGTGTGTGTGTGTGTGTGTGTTACCATATCAAGCCACTCCACCTCTTTCTCATTCTCCACAGTACAGTAAATGAAATATTATGAACCTGACGTCTTATAGTATTATACAAAAAAAAAATTACACTTTCCTCTTCGTGCGTGAATGATAAAGACAAGATCAAATTCACTAGTACTTGCGCTTTCTCTTAGTAGTGATTCTGAGATATTAAAAAAGATGATTGCGCTAACAGGAAGTAATGAAGGCAGGTGATGAGCATGAGGTGTCACTGCTTGAAACACATCACGCAGTAGCGACTAAAATTATACTGTAATGAGATCTTATGTGCCTGCAGGCGATGACAGTAATGGCTGGGTCTTCATCGACTACTGCAGGAGGGCGAGGGAGAATATAAGGCAGCGGAGGGCCCGAGGGAGTATCAGTGTGTGTGTGTATCTTGTCTCAAGCACAGCCATCACCCACGGTATCACGGAGGTTCTCACCCTACTGGCTGCGTCCACTATATTGTTTACAGGTAAGAACTGGCTGTATGTACCTGTGTGTATGATAATTGTTTACAGGTAAGAACTGTGTGTGTGTGTGTGTGTTAATTGTTTACAGGTAAGAACTGGCTGTGTGCTAATTGTTTACAGGTAAGAATTGTCTGTGTACCTGTGTGTATGATAATTGTTTACAGGTAAGAACTGTCTGTGTGTGTGTGTGTTAATTGTTTACAGGTAAGAACTGTCTGTGTGTGTGTGTTAATTGTTTACAGGTAAGAACTCCGCGTGTTTCTATCGTATGATTGGTTTAAGGTCGTGCGGTTCTTCGTCATCAGAGAGAGAGTGATCCACATACCCGTCTTCCTTCCCCCAGCCCGTCACATCATGGCAGAATTAGCACTAGCCAACGTAGCGTCAGTGATCGTCGCTGGCGCTGTGGGTCTGGGTATAGCTGGTATCGCTGCGGCCTTCTCCCGAAGACACTACGGGGGTCGTCCTTATAGCTACCGCTATCGCCACCGCCGCTACCGCCGCTCTCCTGTACAATCCAAGAACAACCTGGAGAAGACGATGGAGATCATACGCAGTGAGGACGTGTCCGGGTGTGGTCTGAGGCTTATGTGTGAAGTGGCAGGTCTCAGGAACCAACACCTCACGATGGAGGAGAAGGCCATACTAGACCTTGTGGGGTAAGTGTGACCCACGTTTAAATAAGTCAGGGATTGAGGGGCATTTCTTCTCGGTAAGGAATCAGTCAGGCGGATAATTCGTTTATCACGTGTCAGGTACATGACTGAGCAGGAGTGATATAACACACGTCAGGATACACCATCACACTCACTGTTCACAGATGAACAATAAAGCTTTAGAAAGTAGTAATTTAGTTTTGTTGTTTGAAGAGTGTAATAATAGCTTTCAAATACATTGACAATTAAATATTATGCATACAATATTTAAGATAAGTAGTTCCTAGATACTTCACTTATTAAATGAAGGTTATGGCACTACTACTTCTATTACTAACCCTTTTTGCACTTTACAGACAATAATATACAGACAATATCTTGCATTATACCACTGCGTCATAACCTTTAACACCATCTCATTATAAATCGACACTCCATCAGATTAATCCGACAGACTCGCAGATATACCGACAGATCACCAAAACTCGTAAGTATGAATATGGGTGTCTAATGGTATTCGAATCCATAAAGCTCTCAAACAGTCCTCCAGCAGTACGGTATTCCGTTTTCATTGTTACTGAGTATATTGTAATATTATCAATGTCATTAATATTTGCCCAATTGACTCCCATGCTTTTATAAAATGTCTGTAGACACACTTTCTCTAACTGTTATGAAGCGTGTCTCGAGTATTGTTTCAATTATATTCCATTTTATGAAACTGATTCGAATGATAATTGTTTCGAGTTTCAACTCTTCAAAATAAACTGAAAAGTAGTGGGAGTAAAGTACAAATAGGGGTACTACTACAGTAATACCTCGTTAATTAGGATTAATTGGGGGAAAGGTGATCCGAATTTGAAAAATATCCCAACATAAAAATGAATGGCAAATTCACAGAAATAATGAAAAACGCACCATAGTAATCAGTAAACACAAATAAAGGTGATTATTAACATAAATAAGTGCTTACCTTTAACTCCAAAGGGCTTCTGAAGATAGTGTAGAGGCGGTGAAGGTAGGTTAGTGTGGGGCTAGTACAGTACAGTACTATTAGATCACTTATACATTAATTTCACAATATCAAACATCTCCACTAAAACAATTATTATAGTCCTTCATCAGACTCGTCACATTATAAAATCTGTTGAGGAGGTTCAGGAAACGGAGTAATAATACCACTGAGATCTGACACACCACTAACACTTGAACAAGAAGCGAAAGGCTCAGGAATCAACACATTGTTCACCACACAATCTGGATTAAGCGACATTATTAGACACATTTCCACTTAGTAAAGGGGTATCACACTGGGCAAAATTTCTGCAGTTTTCGGTTCTCCTTTCCTCTTTTTTCTATCAAAATCCTGACTTTTCCAATCACATGCCCAGCTGTAGCACCGGTAGCGCATCGCCGTCACTCCGTACAAAACAATAACATAGATGGCGGGTCGTCCAGAAATGTTCTCGTTTCAAGCTTTTCTTGAGGTACACTCGCAACAAAAAGTATCGGTGCATACTGTAGTGTGAACAATTTGAGACCAGTGACGATAGGTATTGGGAAAGGCGAGTTGTTCCAGCCGTATGTTGGCAGCCCTGGTCAAGTGAAACAAACCATTATAAATAAGGTCGGGAAGTGATAAATAGACAGTATGAAATATGAGGAGCTCCATGTTAACAAAATTATTTGTGATACTTGTGAATACTGCCACATTAATTTATGCGACCAAATAAACCACTCAACCTGGTCGTCCTGAGGGGTGGTGCAGCGTGGACGGCCGCTCCGAGACCTGTCGTCTGTATCACCAGTTTCGAGGTATCGCCGAATCCATCGTGCAGCGGTGTTCCTGTGGACACCAACCCGCTGGCTTATCTGTGACGCCGAACCCTTCGTTATGAAGGGCAATAATAGCTCCTCGTGTTCCCTCTGAGGTTTCCATGTCGTCTGGCATGTGTAGATCTCTATTGCTTCATATTGCCTCTGTTTTACACCCACGTTCACCGAGACCGAACCCTCGCTCATCATTCAGTCGACACAAAGCAACAATCCGAAAAGAGGAAACAAACACACTGATTGTCAGCCATAAGGCAACACTTAGGGGGGGGGGGGGTTATGAGGATACACTTACCAACCTTCCCGACATATCACAGTGTGTACCTATTGTTTCGAAAGTCGTCGATCTCACCCTGCACCGATACTTGTTGGTGCGAGTGTACAATGGATGTCTGAATTCCCACAACACTCTACATTCCCTCACTTTATCAACAAGGGAAATTTCGGAGTCCCTTGTCCAAATAATTCGTAAGGCTTGAGAATCCACGCTTGGCCGTGCTCAGTCGATGTAAATAAACGTCAAATGTAATGTTATATGTAATTTATATGTATAGCAAAAAAATCTAATGCTTATATAGTTGCGTTAAAATAACTTAAAATTGATTCCTAATAATTTGTTTTAGTAACACAAAGGCCTTTCAATTATAAATATACAGTAATAAAATCTCAGTTGGACCCGAAATCCAGTCAAAGTTTGCCTGAGAACTCCCGTACTTCAGATCTCATTTGTCAGGCTGGCTAATTATTGACCGAGAACGGTGGTATCGCCGTTTTTCTCCCGAGGAATGCAGAATTTTGTCCAGTGTAATATCCCTTTAACGGGTTTCGGCACGAACTTGTCCGTGTCACCTCGTGTAAATTACTTTACTTATACTAATTACTTAAACATGTGCTTGTTTTTATAATTTTGAATCAGTCTTCTATTTCTTATTCAAATTCTATCTCGTCCATCAGCCCAGGCCAGATGCCGAGGTCAGGGTTCACGCCCAAGGGCGCCCTGCAGGAATACAAGCTCGCCAAAGGTCTCGGACAGTCCGGCGGTAGCTGTGGCCAGGTGTACTCTACCTGTCCCTACAGCGGTGCCCAGCTGGTACACACTGTCATGGGCTACTTACCTTAGGAGACAACTGGCCTTCGAGACCCGAGGAGACCACTGGCCCTTGGAACCATAGGAGACCACTGACCCTAGGGACCCCAGGAGACCACTGGCCCTAAGGACCCTAGGAGACCACTGGTCGTGGAAATCCTCGTTAGTTATTCCTGGGAATGTTAACTTTGGTTCCAGTTATTAACTGAGACCTGCGTTATTATTTGAGACCTGAGTTATTAAGACCTGAGTTATTATTAAGACCGGAGTTATTTTTAAGACCTGAGATACTATTAAGACCTGAATTATTAAGACCTGAGATATTTAGACCTGAGTTATTATTAAGACCTGAGTTATCATTAAGACCTGAGTAATTATTATGACCTGAATTATTTAGACCTGAGTTATTATTAAGATCTGAATTATTATTAAGACCTGAATTATTAAGACCTGAGTTATCATTAAGACCTGAGTAATTATTATGACCTGAATTATTATTTGAGACCTGAGTAATTGGAGTTTCCAATAACGGAGAAGCTGGGGTTCCTAACGCCAGTCACTCTTCTGAACAGAGAGAACGGGAAGTGTGTGCATCACCCTCAGGTCTAATGGCTCTATCATTGTCACCGTCCAGCCTGGAACACCACCATGGTTCAGGTTCTGGGTTTCAACTAATTAATGGTCAGAATAGTTTTCATTATTATATGTTTCAGTATAGAACGATTTGTGTGTTCGTTAAGGATTTTTGTTGTGTGTACATTAAGTTTACTCTGCGTGTAAAGACGTGAGCGATACTTCCTTAACGTCACTTCTACTGTTAGTCAAATATTTATCTACTTTACAAATTAAAAGTATTTATTATTATTGTTTATTCCATTGTTAAATGATCACGTGTTAACGATACAAATGTTTTATAATTACCTCGTAAATGTTCTCTTACTTATTAAATGTTCACTTAAAAATTATTTCCTTGCTGAATGTTTATCAGATATTCATTTGTTAGTTGTTCTCTTATTAATGTTCACTTATCAAATGTTTACTCACCAATTTGTAATTTTTTAAATAAATATTAAATGTTAATTTTTTCAATTTTTATTAAATAAATGTTTACCTGTAATTATTTACCAGCTGTATGTTGACAGGTCCTGGTGAATGTTAACTACTTACTGTATCAAACTGTTACTTATACATATGGTCTTTTAATTCACTTTCCTTCATAGTGTGTGTGTGTGTGTGTGTGTGTCACAACACAGGGGTAGGCCTAATTAACAACATTGTTCTATTGTGAAATTAAAAATAATATTAAAGTGAACATTTTGTTCATACAAGAAAACACTTAAAACAACAGATAAACTGACTATAGCGCGTTTTTTCCCCAGCTGAGAAAAGATGCCCCGCCCCCTCCCCAAGATATATAGCTAAATTATATAAAGATACATTCATTATTTCAAACATAAGCACGTAGGAAGTTTATGCTGGGTAAGATGCATTTTGTATATTATATTAAATGCATCTTCCGAAAGCGTGAATTTTCTACCAGAGTTTAACAGTTAATTCATGTATAATACTTCTGGTAAACTTCCTACGTGCTTATGTTTGAAATAATGAATGTATCTTTATATAATTTAGCTATATATCTTGGGGAGGGGGCGGGGCATCTTTTCTCAGCTGGGGAAAAAACGCGCTATAACACATCTCTTCTTAACAATAAATAAAAGTAACTGATGACTGGTAGGAAATAACTTGATAAATATTAATACAAAATCATTTAAAAACAGTGAGACGTTGTTTATTAGAGTCCATACACTTACCACATGTTACTATAAAGCATTATAACATGATATAAAGACACTAGGAATTTAAGATACAGTGTCTAAGTATTATTTATTCATATACAAATACACACAAGATGTAAACTTTAATATGTTAAGTAATAAAAAATATATATAATCTTCTCTACCGACCATTTTCTCTTGTTTTTTGGTCGCGGTTATCAGGGTCATAATTTAGTGTAGTGGCTGGCTGGACCTGTGTACCCCGAGGCCGCACTCACCACATTAGGGAAGTTTATCGTCAACGCCTGAGAGTCTAGTGAGCCATGCAGACTAAATTGGTATATGTATCACCTTTATCCCTCATGGACCTTCATACAGACTACAGGAAGCTGAAGAAACAGACACACAACTGTCTGTCCCACCCTAAAAAAAAAAGGTATCTTCCACTTTCAATACAACAAACAAAAATTAAGGTATTGTTTAGAGCAATAATAAATAACAAACTTAAAATTATTTGGAAGTTAGTGCATGACAATATTTCACTACGTGCTTTAATGATATAGTAAACTCAATAATGCCAAAAGTACTGATAGCCAAGACGCGAGGCTCTACCACAACAAACGTGTGTGTGTGTGTGTGTGTAATGAGTTAAAGTATTTCACGTAATAACCACCATAAAGCAGCTGACAAGAAGACCTCGTGTAGTCCTTCCTCTGCTTCTACAACAAAAATGAGGATGAAAAGTTTCAATAATAAAGGAGGAAGAATGTGTAGTGTTGAGGAAGAAGTAGATGGTAAGTATTTGATCATCATCACCAACACTTGTATTCTTTCTTACTTTTATATAATACTGTACATGTGAGAGAAGAACACGACAACAACAACTAGAGGTTAAAAGTGAAGCAAGCAAGCTTGTTTGTTTACGAAATATAAATACACCTTCGATCTAGTATGATAACATTAGCCTATAGCGCAGCACAACACCCACATGCGCCTCTGGTATCATTATTCTCGGAGGGGTTCCCAGGCTGACTGGTAGACCAGATCAGAATTACTGCTTGAAGAAGGTGTCGCGGAGACTGACGGTTCACTGGGAGACACTGGGGTCTTATTAGTGGAAGCTGGAGGCCCCCTGGAGGAGACAGGAGCGTTGCTGACAGACAGTGGAGGCCCCCTGGAGGAGACAGGGGCGTTGTTGACAGACACTGGAGGTCCCCTGGAGGAGACAGGAGCGTTGCTGACAGACACTGGAGGTCCCCTGGAGGAGACAGGGGCGTTGCTGACAGACACTGGAGGCCCCCTGGAGGAGACAGGAGCGTTGCTGACAGATACTGGAGGCCCCCTGGAGGAGACAGGAGCGTTGCTGACAGATACTGGAGGCCCCCTAGAGGAGACAGGAGCGTTGCTGACAGACACTGGAGGCCCCCTGGAGGAGACAGGAGCGTTGCTGACAGACACTGGAGCTTCTCCGGAGGACGCAGGCTCGTCACGGGTTGAAGGTCTGGTATGAAAATGTACATGAGGTTTATAAGTGTCTGACTCTTTAAGATTTGGTCTCTCTCGCCCCGGTGGCTGGTGTATCATTGACTTGTACATGAAGCTCGTCACCCGGCGGGGCTTACTGGAGGCTTGTGGCAGCTCGGGAACTGGCTGTGACCTTTCAGTTGCTTTCAGAGACTCAGTGCTGGATTGAGTTCCTGATTCTTCTGAAGGTTCCTCACGGCTTAACACACTCGACAGCCGGCGTTTCTGAGAACTAAGCTGTCTAACTCGAGAGAGTTTCAGACGAGGAGTGATCCTCTTGCGACTGAAGGCTCCTGGTGGGAGTCGATCTCTGAACTTCCTTCTTTCCTGGACCTCTTGAGAACCAAGAACTACATCCCCTGAGGGCTGTTTTTCAGGAGGAGACGCTCTGTTCAGTGGATTAAATCGAGAACTCACAAATCTTCTCTCTGGTGCACGAGTTCTTACTGACATTCGTGTGCCATTGTGTGTGAACCAGGGATCCGCAGAGGTTGATGGGCCACCCTGAGGGAGGAGCTGCGTGGAGGGTTGTGTTGTTGTGCTGTATCTGGACGATATCTTGATCTGGGTGTTGGGTGTTGTCGTCTCTATAGTAGCAGACGTCGTTGTGTCTGGCAGTGGACTGGTCTGGGGTTCTGTTCTGGCCACTGTTAGGGAGGTTCGTGAAGACACCAGTGGAAGCCGTCTAACTAGAGGTTTATTGGTTGTAAGTGGCTGCTCTACTTTTATTTTTTCCTTTAATGGAATTGGATGAAGCCAAGAAGATGATGGTCGAGTAGAAGTGATGACAATATCAGAGAAAGAAGGGGAGGTAACTTCTCTGTTCTGGTTGTCTTCATCACTTTCCTCAGATAACTTCAGTTTGGGCTGAAGTTTAGATGGATGTGAATATTCCTCCTCTTCGCCATCCTCCTCCTCCTCCTCCTCCTCATCATCATCATCAAAGTCGTCACGTGGGAATATTGGACCAAAGTTTGGGTCGTTTGACCAATCCTCTTGTGGAAAATCATCATAATCTGCGTTATACCAATTTTTAACTGTCGGTGGCACTGTCTGTATGTGTGTGGGTGTGTATGTCGGGCGAGTGATCACTGGACCTGGGCTGTGTGCAGGACGAGAAACTTCCATTTGTTCCGAGGCAGAGTCTGGGGAATGGTGAAGTATAGTGTCTGGTGACTCCTGCTGGTGACGAACTTGAGGTATAAGTTCAGGTCCTATAGTATGTCTGTTGATGGAGTCTTTGATTTCTTCAAACATCATTTCGTCGGGAATGTCAGAGTCATCTTGGTAAGTCTCCACCTCGTAGTAAGAGTCCTCAACTTTCTCAACAGTGCGGGAGGTGTTGATGTATGAGAATGAGTCTGTAGGGAAGGAGTTATTTGAGGTGCCGCTCGGTAGCTTTCCTGGGTGGTATTCAGTCATGATTTCCTTCTCGACTATTTTTGACTGACTTTGTTTCCTCACTCCATCGTGTTTTGTGTCTACCATCATCGGTTTATCGCTTGTACTGGGTTCTTCCCTTCCTTCAGCCACCAACTCGGGCTGGTAGTCTGGTAATGGTGTTGGAGATCCTACTATCTCCTTTACCTCGTCCTTTGCACCTGAATTTTCCTTATGTGTCTTTACCTTCGTCGACGCTGAATTTAGAGAATCAACATCTTGTCTCCTTGATTCATAAAGTAAAATTCCCAAATAATCTTTATCGTAGAAGCTTCCATAATCCGGCATCGGTATGTTGATCTCCCTCACCTCAGCACTTGGTCTGAATGGTGGAGGTGACCAGGTTAATTTGCCCCGCTGTTCCTGAGCGTCAAGTGCAGAGGGAGCAGATGTTGTGAAGATGTGTGTGGAGGGGCCTGGGTCACCGTCATGGAGGAGGGGCACCTTGACCCCCTCCCCACCCGACACTACATCATCCTCTACATCAGCGCCCCACGAGTTAATCCTTTCCTGGCTGTCGTCCATCTCTCTGTCATCTGTGGAGTCCAGTCCTGGCACATGTGTGGTGAAAATATGTTGCAGGTGTGTAGGGATGGTGGTGGGGTAGTGTGTGGTGGGACTTATAGTAGCGTAAGTAGTGGCAGGTGTCACTAAAACTGATTCTTCTGTAGTTGTTTCCTTGTCTTCCCAAGCCAATAATTCGTCATTATTTTCTTGGTTCAAAGTCTGATCGATTACGTCTCTTATTCCCAGTTTTCCCTCAGTTATGTGACTGGAATATATATGATCCTCAATACCTGATACAGACAAGCTATTTCCACTACTATAAGGCGCCTCAGTGTTCGCTGACCCAAAACTGATACTCGTAAAAGCTTCAGATGTTATATGATTAATCAAAGGAGTTTCAGTGACAAAGATGTCTGACTTGTCGAAATTTATCTTCTCGAAAGATTTCCCGGAACCATCAATTTCATCATCATAATCTTGAGCGTCAGAGACTGGCGGCGTGGACAGTGGCACCAAGTTTTCCCTCCACGGAATATAAAAGACTGGACGGCCTCTCTTCTGCCTCACGCCGTCTGTTTCTGGCGCCTCTGTTGGTGAGGTAGACTTATCAGGCTTCTTATACGACAGTGTCGCCTCCGTGTATGGAAGAGACCGCCTACGTTTCTTTGAATGTGACTTTTCATCGGGTGAACTTGTATACTCCTTCATCACTTGTTGTTTTGCTTGCAGGTATTCGTCGTGGCCGGGGATCAGTTGAGAAGGATCCAGCGGCGAGAGAATGAATTCATGAATGTTGTGTTTACTGGGATTCAGTTTGGGTGTCGCGAACTCGTAGGAGGCGGGAGTGGTCCTGGTGAACTCAACGCCAGGTCTAGGTGTGGGGATCTTGTTGACTCCGGGCCTCTTGGTAAGCCTGGAGCGTTGTGTGGGGCGTCTGGTCACTCTCTTGTAAATTTCATAAGCTGGGGTCGTCAAACTCACCCGATCTGTTGGTTTTGTGCGGACGTAGGTCTTCTGGTTGATTCTGATGCTCGGGTAGACAGGCGTGGTGCTTGGGACAAGTCCATTCGTTGGATAATACCGAGAAAATACTGTAGACGAGGACGGGAAAGCGTAGTTGTCTGTAGTTGTCGTCAAGCTACTGATGGGTGTGGTGAATGTCGGGGTCTTCGTCATTGTGAACGGATACAAAGTTGTTCTTTTGGCGACAGGTCTCCATGGTGTATAGCTAAAAGCTGCTCCAGAAGAGAAAGAATTCGTCGTAATTTTTTTTTCTGGTTCTCCCTCAGGACTGGGAGTTGTGGAAAATAGTTCGGTTATGGGTAAAGAAGTGCTAAGCTCCCGGTAAGGAAGTGGTGATGTTTTGACGTTATTGGCTTTAGTGAAGTGCCAGTAAGACACTTCTGTTTGCTGGGTCGAGTTGCGGGTAGCGCGGTGGTCTTGCAGGTCGGGGGTCACGAAGTACTCTGGAGTGTCTTGCCTTAGTTTTATCTCCTCTTCCATTTCAATTCTCGTGTCTTCATCCTGTGTTGAAGTGTTCTCTCTGATTTTGTTATTGGGAGGCTCGAGCACTATGGCCGCCTGGTCCTCCCACGAGGTTGGGTCTCGGTAGTGGTGGTTGTTATACACGTCGTGTAGGTTGGTACTCTCCGTCGAGGACTGAGGCTTGGAGTAGCTTTTCCCGTAAATGATCTCTGTGGTCATGTAAGGTGAAGGGGATGTCACCGCCTCAGGTGTGGACCGCCAGCGGGTCCCTGGATACCCAACAACTCTGTCATAAGTCCTGTTCTTAAATCCTGATTTATATTGTAGATCAGCGATGACCTGGGTCTCAGTACGACTGGGGACCCGCTGATACCGTCTCTCAGGACTCACCTGGGGTCTTAAGGGTCCCCTGGATAGGGTCGGAGCCCCGGGGAAGCAGACGACCCTAGGGCAGCAGTCAGGGTGACGCTTAAGAGGAAAGTGTCTGATCTCACAGGGGTAAGGTAGGCGCTCTGGGAGGGGGTCACAACTGAGGACAAGTGAGGTATTTAATAATAATAATGGCTTTAATTATAATAATCTTCACTATGATAATAGTTATAATTCAAAATAGATATTATAGTACTGCTAAATAATGAAAAATAATCATTAAAAGTGTCATCGTATTAATGATAACTAACTGATTAATAAATATCAAGTTAAGTGAATAATTAACTATGCGTTTAATAAGCTAATGAGTTAAATAACCAATTACAGTGTAACTACTTAATCCTCTATGTCACTAGTTTGTATTAGACAATGATGTTAGGTGACAGCGCCACTGGCATCAGTATTACCGGACAGTATTTACTAGACACTTGCTCATAGTTTAATTACCATGGGTGATGTAATTATATAAACACACAGGCAGCCACGGTCATTTGAGAACAACAGTCGCTTCACTATCTAGCCGTGTTCACTATTCGTGAATAAAGTCGTTTAAACGGTAGCTACGTTCACATCCTTCAAGTGAACAAAAAATGAGTGTCTAGCCTATCCTAACCTAACCTGACCTAACTTAACGCTAACGTAACCTAACTTACTACTAACCTAACGCTAACCTAACATTAACGTAAGCTAAACTAACGCAGCCTAACTTGACAACATAGTAACACTTGACAACAACTCACAACTGCTCTTCAAGGATGGGTTTGCCAGCGAATGTTTTACACACCAGACGGCGACACCTGGGCAGGTACGCCCGCTGACCTAGCTCCATGAAGCCTCCTGGGTGAGCACAGCCTCCTACACCTGTGGACAACAACAAGGTAAGATATACACGAATAATGAATGAATACCTCGAGTATATCACCCACACACCCGTGACATGAAAACACTCACAAAACATTACTCTTTCACACACACACACACACACACACACATCGATTCCCACACTTCCTGTTATTGTCTCCCATATTTTAAGAGGTTACATCCCGTAGAGGAAATTGGGTCGGCGAAATTCTTTGATGGTGAACTAAACTTTCCTCAAATTCACAAGAGCTGCCGGTTGTTGCTCCCACGTGATGTGGGTCACGGGCGTCACTGTGACTGTCGACGCGGGACCAGGTAACTGAGCCAAGACTGTCGTGTGTTAACTGGTGTTCCCTACATCCGGGAGAACATGGACCTTTCGTTGACTCTTTTAACCTCTTCAACGTGATGACTTTACACACTGTATACAATGTTATCTTACTCTAAGGAATATTTCATCGTATTGGAAGTTAAAACATCGTACTAACAGGGTTAAAACATCATATTGACCGGTGTAAAACATCATATTGGACGGTTTGAAACATCTTAATAAGAGGGTAAAAACATCGTACTGAAAGAGTTAAAACATCGTATTTAAAAGGTTTAAACGTTTTCAGAAGGTTAAAATATCGTACTTAAAAGGTTAAAACATCGTACTGAGTATATGAAAAATCCGTATTTAAAAGGTTTAAACAGCATACTGAAGGGATATCATAGTATCCAAGATATTGATATCCCTTACTCATGGCTGGAAAGCACCTTACTTTCGCTACTGACTGCAATATGCTGCTTCCTGCCACAAGGAAATTTCACTACTATCGTCACCGTTTCTCCAGTAAATGAAACTTGCCTGACTATCTGCATATTTACTCAAGTACAACGATTTACGAATCAACTTTGTACCACATATAGACTGAAACAATGTGTGTGTGTGTGTGCCAAAGATGGAGAGAGAGAGAGAGACACACATACACATGAACAGAAAGTAACAAGGAACAGAACACAATGTAGAAGATAAGCAGAATGACACTTTACGGTAAACTATACATGAATTTACGGCAAAACTATACATGAATTTACGGCAAAACTATACAGGAATTTACGCTAAACTATACAGGAATTTACGGTAAACTATACATGAATTTACGGCAAAACTATACATGAATTTACGCTAAACTATACATGAATTTACGGCAAAACTATACATGAATTTACGGCAAAACTATACATGCATTTACGCTAAACTATACATGAATTTACGGCAAAACTATACATGAATTTACGGCAAAACTATACATGAATTTACGGCAAAACTATACATGAATTCACGGCAAAACTATACATAAATTTACGGCAAACTATACATGAATTTACGGCAAAACTATACATAAATTTACGGCAAAACTATACATGAATTTACGCTAAACTATACATGAATTTACGGCAAACTATACATGAATTTACGGCAAAACTATACATAAATTTACGGCAAAACTATACACGAATTTACGCTAAACTATACATGAATTTACGGCAAACTATACATAAATTTACGGTGAACTATACATGAATGAGAAGGACACGAAGAACTCTGCTGGTATCCAAACGATAACTTAACATAAATTATAAGCGTTAGTTTGTCCTTCTACGGCACGAACGCTGACTGGTGGTCCATGCAAAGAGCAGAGACACTAAAGAGGAATAGAAAGCATATTTTAGTGTAAGACTTTATCAGAGAAAGAAACAAACAGAGAGGGAGAGAGACGTTAAAAGGGAGAGAGAGAGAGAGAGTAGGGAGAAGTTAAGGAGATAGAGAGAAAGAAAGGAAGAGATAACAGATCAAATATACCTGAATAACAAAGAGAGAGAACGAGAGATAGGACGTGGGAGATAGAGAGAAAGAAAGGAAAGAGATAACAGGTAAAACATACCTTTATAACAAAAGAGAGAGAGAGAGAGAGAGAGAGAGAGAGAACTGGGGCGAGAGAAAGTCTAATGTTCTATAATAACTGCAATGACACCAAAATATAGACCAATAATATAGCCCAGGTGTACACAGGTAAGACTTTAGTAGTAGTAGTAGTAGTAGTAGTAGTCACGAAGACCCATAAATAGCCGTCATTAATACTGTAAAATTATCTTCATTACTCAAAAGGCTCACATCATAACACCACTCCAGTCCTCACAACTAACACAACCTTCACACTCATGGGGTCCGACCTTGTGTGTGTGTGTGTGACAAGGTTAAAATAATATAGGCCTACCTTTAATATTTGTCTGCCTACTTTAAATATCCCTTAAATTTGTCTATCTCTCAGTCGATCTATCTACATTATTTATAAATCGTATGACACTCATTGCATTGGTTAGTGTATAAGTTAACGCCAGAGAAGTCATTAAAAATACTGTATAATATTCTTGTATCTGTTTATATGACTACTAACGTTTTTACTTTCTAAAAAAATGAGAACAACGAACTGCTGTGAAAGTCAAGTTTAGAAACGTATATTATTCATTTTTGTTTTTTGTCTATTGACCTTTTAATTTCATTATGCTTTCCAAGTAGAGTTGAAACAGATGTTATAATTCCAGAAAAATATATAATAGTGATAATAATAAAATAAAAATAATAACGATAATAATAACACCAAAAAGTTTCCTTCACATGTTAAACAGCTCGGAGAAAGTGGTAATTTTAGACAAATTATAACTGTGGCATGACTTGTAAAAATATTGTCTACAACAGATATTAGAAAGTTGAAGTATATCATACGGTAACTCTTAATAGTTCCTGTAAACGAAGTATGTCATTTACAGATTTTTTACAGTCAAAAACACGTGACCGAGAGTTTAAGTGAAAGGAATGTAACAGTTTGGAGGGGGGACACGGGAGAAGCCTAGCAGCAGCCACCACCTCACTAGAGGTCAGCAGTGTTCTGAGAGTAACATTGTTTTTAAGACTGTCGCTCTGATTATTATTATTATTGTTACTATTATATTAGTATTTATTTTACAAAACAGTCCACATGATTGAAATGTTAAACAAAAATCACATTATCTCTAACTGCTGCAACACATTATTACCGACACTACTACTACTATTATTATTATTATCATTAGTAGTAGTAGTTATTTTGTTTCATGATCATATATATATAAATATATATATATATATATATATATATATATATATATATATATATATATATATATATATATATATATATATATATATATATATATATATATATATATATATATATATATATATATATATATGAAAGTCAGTTTTAGTTATTCCCATAAAAAATTATCAACGGTAATACTATTAGGCACCGTTCACAATTATCAACATCTTCACAAGCCTACAAACCATACACTTTTTTAAGAACCCCCCCAAAAAAAAAGTTTACATAAATTTTCTTACCATGTAAAATACTGAAATACACACTTTAATATCTACACTCAAATTAAAAAAAAAGGAAAGAAATTTAGCACTATTAAATTAAGGAAACGTACTGACAACAGAGAATCCAAAACTGCCACACTACTAGTACGGTACAATATTTATATAGAGTCGACAACCAGTTCTGTTTACGCTTGACCTTCCCTTCTTTCCTGTGTGGCCTTCCTGGTCCTAGTGTCTGAGCGGTTGATATCTCTTAGGGCACTTCTGTCACATTGGCCATTTGTGACAGGAAGGTATGAATCGATATTTTTCGCATATACTGTATAATGGTGTACAACGGCCTTAACCCCCCACCTCCAGCCCACGGTTTGTACGCTCGTGAAAATGTTGATTATTGTCGCGCTTCAACTCACCTGTCGTCCTTCTGCGTGGTGCCCCAGGTCCCACAGGTATCCATTTGGTGCCAGCCTCACACCCTGGAACACCACTCATCACCATCACCAGCATCACCAGCAGCAGCACCTTCATGGTGACCACACGGCTCCTCACAGTACCTCTTGTAGGGTTACCAAGGTGGCGGGTTCAGTGGTGGAGAAGTAACTGCTGTCTCGTTCTCTCTCCCTCTCTCTGATGATAATAATAATAATAATAATAAGTGCTCTGATGTGTCACAGTTCTTTATCACAACTGCGGCATCACACTGGGCTATGTTAGAGACAGCGGCAAGTTCCTCATATTCATAAACCGTCATGTGCCTTCACTTAGGGGCGAGTGTGATGCTTACCATGTGGTAGTGACGTCACACCTCAAGTAACAGTAACAGCATTGCCCACCAAGTAGTAGTACCTTCAAACTTCTTCAAGTAGCTGCAACGTCACACTAGTCTGGAAAAAACAATGTCAGCGTCCACTAAGTAGCAATAATGTCAAATTTCTTCAAGTAGAAGTAACGCATTACTTCTTACGTAACTAATGTTGCACTTTTCAAGTAACAGTTGTGACAGTCAATTAAGTAACAAACGCCAAATTTCTCAAGTTGAAGTAACGTCTACTCCAACAAACAGCAGTAACGCAACACACACACAACGGGACATAACACTCGCTTCCGTTACGGACACGTGACTCACCTAACCCTCCAAACACTGGCTATACACAAGTGACCGCTGTAGACGCAGAACTGGAGGAAGCCAAGTGTTGACATGCCATGTTTATGTTGAATCCGGAACACGGTTTGCCTGTCGACCGCAGAAAAGTCCCGTGTTTACGTAGCTGTCAGTTCATGTAAGGATAAGATCAAGCTTTCGTATTTTGAAGTTGTGCAAAACCCAGAGTCAGAGTATTGTTAGGGTTGAACACACAAGTTAGATCGCACTGTGGTTTTTCTTGACACTTTATACTTCCGTACTTTAATATTTCCGAGGACTTGACGACAGGGACTAACGCGTCAGGTACGAGGCCTGTCCTTGCTGGTCATTTCAGTAACTATGCTAAAGGTTCTTCTAACTCAGGAAACAATGGGATTTTTCTCTCTATTACTTGGGTCTTTGATGGCCACTGGAGGTAATTCTTCCACTAGGTCCAGGGAAACTCATAATCTACACCTCAGTTATTTGTGATAAAGGTTCCCTCCAGCTACAACTAATGCCGAGCCAGTCCAAGTTTTCCTCTGGTTAACGATGCTGTGTCGTAGACCAGCCAGCGACGACTCCAAGAGAACGTTCACAACGACAGCTCACTGGCAGACTCCAATAGTTCCAAGTGACTCCTACAGCGACAACAACACCACCGACATCAGCGGCACAGGTGTCACCAGCGGCAGCAGAGGAAGCAGTGAGAGGAATAGGCTGTGCACGCGCCCGCCTCCCGCCTGCCACGGTTTCTCCCTCGCAACGGCCACCACCATGACCCTCGCTTTTACCATGAGTTGGATTCTGAGATACCCGAGTGTGTGTGTGTGTGTGTGTGGTGCACCACCTACACATCCAATCACCTGCTCACCCACCTATACATCCACATGCACGTCCCACCTGCAGGAAAATATTAAGTTGAGGGACAGGTGATGTACTGTACCGTTGTGATATTCGTTAGAAAAGTATTTGGTAACGGTGGTGGTGGGAAAACAGTTGTAAGTGGTAGTGGTCGTGGTTGAATTGGTGATAGTGATGGTAATGGTAGTAGTCGTGGTAGTGGTGTGTATGTGTGTGTGTGTGTGTGTGTGAGTGAACAAATGTAAAAATCACAAAAACATACTTGGGTGTACAAGTACTGTAAATACTAATAAGCAAAGTGATCCATTTAAACCCATAGCACACACACACACACACACACATACGGCATGTGTGTCAGTCATAAACAACATCTCGGGGGAAGATGACTTGCTACAAACCTCCGCTATCATGCCATGACAACTGGTGAGTATGTGCTGGGGTGTGTGTGTTGCTGTGTATGTGTGTATGTGTTGGGGTGTATGTGTTGCTGTGTATGTGTGTATGTGTTGGGGTGTATGTGTTGGAGTGTGTGTGTTGCTGTATATGTGTGTATGTGTTGGGGTGTATGTGTTGCTGTGTATGTGTGTATGTGTTGGGGTGTATGTGTTGCTGTGTATGTGTGTATGTGTTGGGGTGTATGTGTTGCTGTGTATGTATGTATGTGTTGGGGTGTACAGTATGTGTTGCTGTGTATGTGTATGTGTACATGTGTTGGGGTGCATGTGTTGCTGTGTATGTGTGTAGAAGTAGTTGTACATATTGTGTGTAAGCCTGTGTGGGTGTTTGTGTGTATAATCCAGCATGTGCACATGTAAACCTGTTATGCCAGTGAGTGTATGTGTGTGGAGGAGTGTGTGCGTCACCCAGTTGAAGATTATCATGTTAACAGTAATGTCTTCTGCTAACACACGACACACCCCGACGGGTCACGCCTCTCACACACTTTACTGTAGCAGCGGCTCCAGAATTTCTATATAGGAGGGGCTTACGGGTGGCAATCTGGTTGGAAGAGGGAGCTTGGGGACTTGTCTCGAAGCTGCGTTTGCAGAGCAAGCGCACTCTTTTTACTTAGAATGTATATTACATATCAATAAAAATAGCAGTTTTCTGAAGATGCATTTATTCACACTTTACATAAGATTGAGAAACAATGCAATTGTACATACAAAAGAATAAGAACAAGAATTACATAATGATATTACATCAATATGCAAGCCATCAAAATAATGAGGATATGATATCTTCATCCTTCAGCATCTTGGCTCTTTTCGAATTTATAGATATAACTGCAACATCTGTTCTGCCATCACTACTGCTGTTCCTCAAGTAAGTTTTTGTCAGTCGCAGACAGGAAAAACTGTGTTCACATGCTGCAGAATTAACTGGCAAAATCACACTGATGCACACCAGCTTATACAGATCTATGAAAGCATCACGGTATGGTTTGAGCAAAGTAGTAAACTCAAGTGGAGAAGTGATAGTACAGTATGACCCTGTTGTTTTTTCTCAAGACGTCGTACTTGATGAAGCTCAACACTTAAATTTTCCTTTTTGCTACCATAGTGAAATGCCATTTTCAGAATACAAGATTACTCTTTTAATGAAGCATCTTGATGATTCAACGCTGATGAACCCTTCAGTATGCTACACGAATTGTTTGAAAATCGTCTGTTTAATTCGTTGACTAACTTGTCTATGACAGGAGAGTAAGCATGTGTACAAAATAAATGAGAAGTAGTCATTTTCTGACGGTATCCAAGTTGAGAACCAACAACAAACTCTTGTAAATGGTGTGGCTGAGATCGTTGTCGCACTTTTTCTTGTTGAACATCAATACCAGCTGCTTCACACAAATGAACTGCATCTTGCCAGATACCCTGCCATGAATTTTGGGGTGGCTTTTGGGGGGCTGTTGGAGATAATCGGGAGGCTGCAGCCCCCCAAGCCAACCCTTGGCGCCGCCACTGCTTTACTGCCATATATTTTCTCAGTATCTCTCATCAGATAATACTGTATAAGTTCACAGCGTAACGCAATATGCAGTGTAGCAGCTTCAGCTGTGTACAAGACATAGCATAGCAGCTTCAGGTGTGTACAAGACACAGCATAGCAGCTTCAGTTGTGTATGACACAGCATAGCAGTTTCAGGTGTGTACAAGACGCAGCATAGCAGCTTCAGTTGTGTACAATTTTATTCAGTAAAACTAATAGACAGACGTGAGTGAAGGTAGACGGTGATGATGATAACTTTACCTCATAATTATATGCGGTTAGTACACGCCCGTTTTGTCACGGTCGAGGGGTGAGTCAAGACAAGACAGACACCCACGCTGATATACATACAGACAGTGAGGGTTTAAGTAACTCACACTTCTGATTCCAACATGTCGACATTGTACTTCTCTCTCTCTCTCTCCAATTAGTTCCTTCCGCTCCTTTTCATTCACCTGTGAAAAGCTGATTTCCGTCAACACAGCAGTATCATCAGCAGCAGAGCAGTGGTAACAGCAGTAGTAGTACTTTTACTTTTTACCTTTATCCTCTTCGCCACTGATCGGCTCGTTAGCCAATTGAGCGATCAGTCACGTCTCTGTTATGCACTGTTGGCAAGTACTGGGCATGAACTGGTTCCTCAATGTATCTGAACCTGCTCCAGTGTTGGTCAAGTCTGGTCTTGAAAGAGGTCTCACTCGGTGCCGTCACAACACTCTCTGACAGAACAGCAACAACAGTAAAATAGCAACAGTAAGGTTCACCCCCGTTTAACGCACGAATAAGTTCATTATGCAGTTAATTTCACCACCCACCACCGCTTAAATATGTTCACTCTCCAGAAACGCAAAGATATTTTCAACATTCAGCACTGTCCACATACTGTAAGTTCACCGCTGTTCACCCCACGGATGCGTCCATTGTCCAGTTACGTCCAACGTCCAGATACGTTCACCACACACACATATATACGTTCACCGCTGTACACCACAGATACATTCACCACTCCAAGCTTAGTCAATAAATTTGTTAAACTAAAAAACCTAGCACCGCCATTCACACATTTTAACTTCCATTCCCCGGAACAGTTATCGTGGTGAGGTCTTAATGTTTCATTGTTACGAGCTGATGAAGCAGTTTGGAGAACATAATTCCCTCGGCGTTAATCTGCTGCGTTTCATGTAAAGCTTTTTTATTTTTATTTTTTCTGTGTTTTAAACTGTGGAGAATTGATTGTTTTATCTCTGTAAGAAAGTCACTGTGAGAATCTGTTGCGTAAGACATTGGAATACTACTCTCTCTCTCTCTCTCATCATCATCATCACAACAAGCATGTAGTTCTCCACTGTCATTTTCTATGTGAGAAATGACCGAGACGTCCCTCCCCCACACCCTCACCTCCCTATGTGAAGGTAATCATGTTACGTTTCCCTATCAGGCGTCACTCCCATAGTTAATATTAGTGCATTATGTCCATTATCAGTGAAAAAAAGGTAACAGTAATATATATATATATATATATATATATATATATATATATATATATATATATATATATATATATATATATATATATATAATATATATACAGTATATAAGACCGACCACATATGGGGGGAAGGGGCCGACGGATAATCGAAAAGGTCGGTTAATAGTACATAAAGTCTACGGAAATAAAACATACATTTTCAAAGTACCTTTCCCTAACCTACCTCATTTAAGTCCCTCTATTCATTTTTGTTCATTTGCCATTCATATTTCAATAGAATTTGCTTTAAAACATTAACCACTTTAGTAAATAAATATGAACCAGCACAGAAACCGTGAATAAAAAATGGAAAAGTCAAAGAACATGTCATCACAAAAATTGTGACCAAGTCCCAGGTTGCTGATCTGACTTTCTGCCTCATTTACACACAATTGCAGGGTCTCAATTGTTTCTCTTACTATTGACAACACAACATACATACAGGTACATTGTTTCTCACTCTTGATTTTTTTTTCATTTTTGCATTTCTTTATGGTTCTTTATTACTATTATTATTAGCATTATCGCCCCCCAGGCCCCGATATGGGTCAGTGACCTGTGCCCGGGTGGGCTAATCCCCGTGGGAAAAAAAATAGGGATTCGGGATTGACGGTTAATCCGAAAGTCGGTTAATCGAGGTTTTACTGTGTATATATATATATATATATATATATATATATATATATATATATATATATATATATATATATATATATATATATATATATATATATATATATATATATGATTCTCAGTGGCTAATTCAAGGAGGCAAAAGATGTCTTGAATAAAGACGAAAGCTAAGGTACGTTGATTTTATCAAGATTTATATATATATATATATATATATATATATATATATATATATATATATATATATATATATATATATATATATAGTATATATATATATTATATATATATATATATATATATATATATATATATATATATATATATATATATATATAATTTAATTCATTGGTATATACAGTATATAAGACATCAAACAGAATTTATTAATGTCACTTGTAAATTAATTATGCCTGAAACTTACCTTATGAGGTTACATCAACAATCTAGCATTAAGGAATAATTCATTTTTCTTGTCCATTGTCACAATAGTTGTGCTAAGTGAAAGTAATTATTACTTTCACTTTTTGAAACTTTTCTCGTTACAATACACACAGGGAGGCCACCGTGAATATACATTCCCATTTATTCTTTGCCATTCATTAATTATTTTTTACTGCTGTAAAAGTGGGTTTCTGCTATTATTATTATTATTTCTGATATCAGTACTATTGTTTTGTATACATTATTATATCATAAATATGTAATTTTACTGACCAATTAACTTTCTACTTAGAAAGTAGTGACAACAACAACACCGTGACGGGTCAAGTTGTTCTATATACTGTACAACATTGGAGTTGAAGTTGACTTGCAGTATGTAAGAGACATCTTTGCTTTCATGTTTTGAGTTGTATGTTTCAAGTTGTACCTCATGTTAGAAGGTGTATATGTCTTAAATGAGGGATAAAACGTGGGCAGAGGAGAGTTTTTCATGATGAAAGAGTTAGAGATCCCAGGTGAGACTCATGAAGGCAAAGTGAGTGTGTGTGTGTGTGTGTGTAGAGGTGTAAGCATGTGTTCGTGAGTGTGTAGTGGTGTATGTGGCAAAAATCGTTAACAAGTGTAATGATGGCTTAAACTCCATGCAGTTTTGGTCATAAATGTGAGGTATAAGAGAAAATGTTGAGTTAATGTCTCGACCAACATGCAGACGAGCACAGTGGAGAGAGGTGTGGGAAGGTACCCCAAATTCCATCATAGCATTGATCGTTAACTTAAAGGCACAATAAGGAAATTCAAACCGAATGACTGTATAGAATGTCGTAAAATATAGTTAACATACAGAACCTCTCGAAACATCAAGGAAGATTAAAAATAAACATATAGGTAGAACAAGAAAAAATTATTAACATGAACAACTATTATATAGAGGCAGAAGAACGTATATACCTGTAAGTATACAGTACAGTAACAGTTTTATTTATCAACAAAAGTCAACTTACACAACTAGAGGACAAATTTGGGTTTTGAGGCAAAGGCGGAAGAGGCAAGCAAGCACAGGGACCAGAACTTCAGCACACTCCCTCAGAACGCGAGGGGGTAATTCCATCCGGTCCATGAGCTTTACACACACCCATCCTGGATAACACACCAGCAACCCTACGAGTGGAGATTATAGGAAAGTGCATAGGTTCAGTAGGAGGAGCAGATTCCTGACACAAAATATATGCATTAATAAACTAATAGTACCTTTCAAAGGACACAGTTCAATAAAGCAGTACATACCTGGTAAGCCTCACAAATGGGGCTGCAAACTGATTCTTTTGGCAGAGAGTAAGTATACGACATGATTTCTTGCCTTACACAGGGAAGATTAGACTTTGTGGATGATCCTGGAGTGCTAGACCTGAAGGTGTTTCAACAATGTACAGTACTAAATTTTATTATAGCTGGTTCATCTCCTTGACTTTTATCAGACATCTTGGTGTTGTGGGAATGTGTTTGTCCCACCTTTAACCAAGAGTAAAAAAGGAAAGGATGTTGATAAAGTGCTATTGAGAAAAGGTAGAGGCTCAGAAGTAAAAAGTACAGGTTCAGATACAGAAGTTCCATATGTCAAGTGAATGACAACAAAAGTGTGCATATTGTGTCAACATTTGCCACAGAAACCCTCTCAGACCAGTATCCACATAAGACTACAAGCTCCTTTGTACAGTCTCGTTCAAGATTCTTTGAACACTACTGGAGACAGCTGGCAACTCAAGGCTGTTTGTTTACTATAGTACGTAGTATAATATGATACGAAACAACAATACTCAACCATTAATTAAGCAACGGGGAACTAAGTAACCAATCACCGATCACTTTTACATTCATTCATAATTTTTACTACTTACTATAGTAAACAAACGGCCTTGAGTTGCCAGCTGTTTCCAGCAGTGTTCGAAGAATCTTGAACGAGACTGTACATGTGAAGTTCAATACCCTGACATTATCAGCCAGTATGAGTTAATGGGAGGAGGTGACTTGCAGAATGCCTAATAGCTTTTTATAGAATAAATATAAGATAAAAAACACTACCATTCTCATTTCCACATGATTGACATGGTTAAGTGAACAGCTGGCTCCTATATAGATGGGATCCATACAACTTTCAGTTGCTAAGATTAGACATTCTTGAAAATCAAAACTGTATTTTCCTTGGTGAAAATGATCTGGAGATCTAAAGAAAAAATCCCTTCCACAATAGTGTCAAGAAGCCTAAGGTGGGAAAATCAGCTCAATCCTTCCTGATAAACCTATCCAATCTGATGGAGTTGACCACTGGCCTAATGTAGAAGATATAAAAATAATGTGCAAAAGGCCAGGTTACAAAGGTAAAAGAAATGTCTTATGTAAAGTGTAAGGTGAACTTGTGCCTAAATGACAAAACACAATTGTTTTGTACTTTTCCATACCTTTTTAGCATGAAAATACTGGTATCCCTCATTATCCAAATGGTTCCATTTCCCAATGACAAAAAGGGCGCTGTACCTAAATATTAAATTGGTTCATGAAAAAAATAAATACCTAACTATTGTACGGTAATTGTTAAACCAAATACAATATATATACTGTAGTCAATACCTTATCGGAAAGCTATCAGGGTTCACCACGGGGTGAGGTGGTGATCTGATTTTAATTTATTAGAATTTTTTTATCTGACCATCTTTAGGATAAGTGAGGATCAATGAAAGAGATGTTAGAATAAAATTTTCAGATTGTGTGGGACTTTTGTACAGTACCTTATAAATAACGTTAAATTTTCACTGGTTTTCTGTTAGTAATTAGTAACAAATTACCAGAATATTTGTTTAGATTTCTTTCAGTAATCTTTAATAAGAATTGTTGCTTTTGTTCAGTGTCCGTACAATTTGTTTTATTGGTTTTCTTTTAGTAATTTAAAAGGAGGTTTAATATTTATGTTCAATGTACAATTTATTTCACTGCTTGCCTTTCAGGTACAGTAATCCCCCAGGTTAAGGAAGGGATGCATCCTTGAAATGTTGACCCTAACATTAACCCCATTTTCCCACTGACATATATAAAAAACAAGTAATAAAAGCACACTTATGAATACAAATACACACTTTTTAGCACATAATGTACAGGATCTTAAAAAAGTATCTGCCAGGATGGATCCAATGACTTCCAAAATGCTACATTCAACTCATGTCCCAGGAGGGTTGGTATGCATGGCTTTGTGGCATACTGGTCCTACTACACTTGGTAACTGAACATCATATAAATTACACTACACAGAAATAGACACATTGCATTACTTATGTTAAACTATACAGTACACCAAAGTAAATGCCTATCCAAATATCTATCATCCGTGGTCTCATAGTGTTTATACATGTTTCATACAGTGTGGATAGATACATTTTTGAGATACCGTACACTGATTATTTTATATATGACAATAAATACACAAAATATTTTAATTTAACTTACTAAAAATTATGTTCAATGCTGTGTGAGGTGAGGTGGTGCAATGGGAGTTTTTCTCCCACATCAAACCTCCATTAAACATCAAGTTTTATATCCAACATAATTCCTTTACAGGCTCTTTTAGCACCACTGCTTTCACTTGCGCTTGATGGCCTCTTTCCACTCATCTTGAAGAAGGGGAATACACAGGACAGTCTTGAATAAGATATGTATACAAGTGTTAAACCCAAGAGCTGGGGTCCAGAAATCCAGTGAACATACACACACACAAACTGCATACCCAAGCTTGGTGGTAGCAAACACCAAGAAATCCACACCAAATAAATTTTAATATTTATTTATTTCTTCTATAACATCATTTTTTTCTAGAAACTTTTGAAAATTTGCCCCATTTCCGTAAGGTTGACTTTGCAGGCCATATCCCGAATTTAGTGGTCATAAATTAAAAATCTCGCATGGGCGATTTTCCACAATCTGAGTTTCCGTAACGTGGGGAATACCTGTACAGTATTAATGACAAGAGTTTAATGTACAGTTTTTACAAAAAAATAGAAATATTAATTAAAGCTGGTTACAAATTAAGGAAAGTCTAGTTAAACTTTCCTTATTTGTGCTAAACTTGTGGTAAAAAACATGGTGCAGCCAATCCTTCCCATGCCCAAGTGGACAAACTGATCCTCTATAGTAATTACTTCTTAAAATATACCTGTACTGTACTGTACTGTATATGGAAATGAAAATCACCAAAAAGCACCATAAGCACTTTCAAGACGTTTGGACTTCTGCCAAAAAAAGGTGCAAAATTTGTTTTCATGCATTTTAAGAATTTAGGCAGTAAAAGGTTAATGGTACTGGTATTAATTCCCAGCCACTTTGCTGCTGATTGTAGCTATCAAGGATAGCCAGATGACAGTGCAACCCTATAAACAGTGAAATCTTGATTTTGGCAGTGGGAATGTGCTGGGAATTCTGAACTTGATCGGACATGAGTAAATTCTCAACAAAAAAATATTTTAATTTGTTTACTGCTTAGTTATACACCTCAGATTAATCATATTCATTCATTTTTAAATAGTTATCAGCATTCTGATGGACATTGTCCCAACTGTGGATTAGGTTTAATATTGAAAACAGAACCACCACCTTTTAGTTTGTGATGTCCTAAGCATCTGAGGGTTTTTTTGGTGTAATTGGAGTTCTTCATTGCATCACTGCCCAGTACAGACCTTTACACACCTTTACAACAGTTATTATTTACACTGCTCATTGGCTCCTGACTCAATAACCGACATACATCTAAGTCCTTACCAAACAGTTTGGGAAGGTAAACAGTTTAGGTGGGGACACCCATAGTAAACTTACAAATGATAAAGCCGTGAGTTTTATTATGAGTACGATAGAATCTTTCCAGTTCTAACTCACAACAAACACTGCACTTTCCTTTGGTGCAGACATGTTAACTTTACTAAACATGTTGAATTTCAAAACACCAGCAAGGGATAACTTAACAGATTTTTATGACACAATTTATACTTTTGAGAATAAACGGTAATTATTCACTTCACTTGATCTCACAACTGTTAGTTGGTGTGTTAATTATCACACTTCATCAGCCAAGTAAAGTTGTGAAAGGAGTTTTTTTTATGGAGAGATCATATGGACAGGGAATGTGGTAAGAGTTTTACATCCACAATACACCTAGTGATGTAGCCAAGTACTGTATACAAGACAATGAATACCAATGTAACTTCCTACTAAGTTTGATCCAATGTTTTTCTCTTGCTAATTAGGTCTCATGGTGATATGCCTAAAATGTACAGTATACCAAGTTTACACAGCCTAACAGACACAAAGTACACTGCTCATAGTTAGTGTCTTATCCTATCCAACCCTGGAACCTGTACACAGCATATGAAGAAGCAGAAAGCAAAGGTGCTGAGCAAGCATTAAACTGGAATGAGGCCAAAACACAAACACAAAACCTTTATCTCCCTGGTGCAAAACTGAGGCCCATTTGAGATTGTTTGTGGTTTGCTTAATAAATTTTGGTTAGGAAAAACTCTTGAGGTGTATTTTCAAGCATTAGAAATGGTCTTTTTAACCATCATTGTTACAGAGAGAACCTTCTTCAAATTGAAGTTCTTCAAATCATAACTAATATCACCAACTGCTCAAGATCACCTGAGTGTTAATTAATTACAATACTGTACATAATTAGGATTCCCCTTGCTCAGGCATGATGAGGGCCCTACAAATCCCTACTAAGGGCCACCAAAATGCTGTCACAATTTTTTTTTGCATATAGTCAGGTTTGTGTTGTACAGACTCATTGGACAAAGGACTTCTGTATTGTACAATACTGTACTGTACATGAACTTGTTCCAAATGTAATAAGTTGTACTTTTTGTATGTATAGTAGCTAAGAAAAAAAAACTTCTAACAGGGTGGGTCTGATGACTTTATAAATTACAGTACAGTAAACAGTACGTACAACTTGTGATGCCTCAGGAGGGTTGGCATGCGTGTCTTCAACCCACCACCATTTAGTACCCAACACGGGGTGAGTTGGCATATTAGAATAAAATAAACGGTTAAGTGATTACTATCACATAGTATAAGAAGACAACACGCATATCCCAATACCTATCATCCGTGGTCTCATATTGTTTCATGCAGAGTATGCGCAGATACTTTTTTTAGCTACTGTACATATATGGGCAATAGGGGGGTGTATTGGAGGGGGTTGATATGAAACTATCTTTCAATTGAAACAATGGCTCTCCAATGCCAATTTCACTAATGCAAGATTCTTCACGAACACAATTGTCAGCATTTACTAGAGGCAACCATGTACATTGGTAATATGACCCCGTTAAGTGCAATTTGTTTATCACTCACTTTGCCTGGGCACTAAACAAGGTAGGAGTAAAATTTCTAATACTCCAACACCCCTTTTATTTTATTTTTGGCTGGCTTATAAAACATTCTTCTACCTGGTTAAATTTAATTAGTTTTAATTCTGGCTAATCTTATAAAGCAAAACACTTCCTTATGAATCTTAAAAGCTTGTAAGCTAATGTTACTTTTGTATTTTATCCTATGGCAAGATGGTCTGCTTTCTGCTTCTAGCAGTTTTGCATTGCTTTATAAAAAGAAAAAGAGGGGGGGGGGCTATTCTGTAATATACTGTATATTAATTTCAACTCCCAAATTTAATATCTAACTCTGTGACTCTGTAGATGCTTGATTGAGACCCCATGAGAGATAATCTGGGGTTGTGGCTGCCACATACTCTTCCACCAGGTGCTGTACAACTTCACGAGAGTCATCTAATTCATCTAAGTTTTCTGCAAACATATTTTCCTTGCGGAACTGCTCCAAGAAAGCTTCTCTCTTCCGAAGCTTGTCATACTGCTTTAGGGTTCTTTCAAATAGCTGAAAATTAAAGAAAATAATGTCAAGTGTGAAATATCAGAAAATATTTAACAAAATTTGCCAAAATTATTTTGAAAGATCACAAAAAAGTCACAATATTACTCCAGCATCCATTTATGAATATGTAAACCCTTAAAAAAAAAATGTCATAACTGGATAGGTTAACTGACAGCAAGGCAATGGTAAATTTTGCTTACAATTGGTAGGCCACTTTAACTTCCAAAAATTATGCACTGATCTTTACAATATCTGAAACTGAAAATGACTACCTTTCTCTACATATCAACCCCTAGCTTCCTAAGGCAACCACTTTACTCTAATGACCACCTTAATATCAAAGCCAAACCTAATACAGTATTGTGTCTCAAATTGTCCTTGTATTGAGTCACCTATGCTATGATTTGAACTGCCTCATCTTTGCTGCCTAATTTATCTCAATTTATACATACAGAGTACAGGGATACCATGCCATTCACAACTCCACTTATCCGCTATTGACATTTTAATGCCCCTATTCAATATTCGCAAAGCATACCCCGCTTATTAAAAAAAAAAGAAGAAAAAATTACAGTACCATACAGTAATAATTCAAATGGCGAGGGCTAGCCACAACTCTGACATTCCACTGTAAGGTCTGCTTCACACAAGGGTATTTTTTCCACATGCAAGGACCCACGCAGTTTAGAAATTACAGTAATGAAGTTCAATGGGACCGTTTATATGGAACAAGTGCTCAGAAAATTCACACACGGGAGACACGTAGAACGTTCTAGAATTCCCCATATAGCAATGGTAAATGGTAGTTTAAATGTTTACACTTACAGTATTTACAAATGTCGTATACACTCACTCACTCACTCACTCACTCAGTGAGCTTTTGTATTGTTTTTATGGTATTATAGTTATTTTATTGTATTATATGGAGTGTACCTGTACTGCATATATAAAAAAAAAATTGTAAAATAAGAAATATGAATGAAGCATAGGTGTGTTTGGCAGACATATACCGAGTGCTTGGTCGACGAGAAAATGGTTAGAGAGATTTATGACAGCATAGTTGGAGGCAACAAGCCTAAAGACTCAATTAAGTTTGCTTGAATGAATTAACACAAAATGTTAGACCAATAAATCCTGGTAGAGATTAAAGATAATTCCTTGCATGTTGCATATAAAATTTTAAGTTATGAGAAAGTTTGTGGATTATAGTACAGGTACATCTACTACTCATTTCATCTTTTCTCCCACTTTCTATATTTCTCTTGCACCATTCTCAACTACCATTTTCTCCCTTTACTTGAAGTTTCTGTATCACTTGATCAACCCTAAATATAAGTGGGGAGAAGTACACATAACAATTACCTGTATACCATACAGTAAACCCTCGATAACTCGGCACATATGGGGCTCTGGCCTTGCTGAGTTATCCCAAATTCTGACTTATCAAGGCACCCCCCCCCTCCTACAAAAATACAACAATAAAAATTATCAACTATATATGTGTACAGTACATGTAATTATTAAATGTAACACTTACCAGCACTGCAGGCAAAGAATGAAGCATCATAGCAGGTGACACAGATGAATGGAAGGTGCCACAGAGGCATGGTAGGTAAGGCAGGTGGCCAGATATGACGAGATTTTCCCAGATAATTGTATATATCCCGGCATTTCCCGAGTTATACTGATACATTCCGATACCATATCCATGACGAGTTATATGAAATTCCAAGTTATCGAGGGTTTACTGTATACAGGTATACGTATTAAAAAAAAAATCAAAGTGGATAGCTAAGATTATACAGTATGATTATTAAGACTAGCACTTAATAAAATACCGTACAGTACTTACTGCAGAAATGTTGGTATGGTTAGCAAGCATCAGACCAGACACTCTGTGTGCAGACTGGATATATGGAGACTTCTTAGACAGAGCTACCTGGATGGAGGCAGGTCCCCAGGGAATGAACTGCGCCATCTTTCGTTCTCTGATCCGTTGTAGGGATTTATGTACTTGAGTTGGATCTACTTCACCCTAGAAAATAATATTAACATAAGTCATCTTGATTTGCGTCTCTTGAACTAAACTGCACTTAAATTAGATGCCAATTCAGAAACTGTCAATTAACATTAAAATATTCTGAGCTTGGTTAATTTGGATTTTTTATATAATTCAGGTGTTCCTTTTTTCTCTAATTAATGAGGATCACCCGAATTACTGTAAAAAAATCCAAATTAACCAAGTTCAGAATATTTTAACATTATTCGACAGTTTCTGAATTTTTTTGTTCGATTATTCGTTCATTTTCTGTTAAATTTGTTCAGATTGTTCCTCATTATTTCAACCAACAAACATACTCCATTACTATGCCTTGGCTGCCACATGAAATATTTTATTTGTACTTACTTTGCAAACAAATATTTTTTTGTATATGTACAAACAGTAATAATAAAGTAAGTAATACAGTAATAAATATATGTAACAATTACAGAATTCAAAATCAGGTCAGTGGACCCCAGACATGATCTTGAGTACTGTCATCAAGAAGATTATCCCTAATGCCCACTCTAGCTCAACTCGGGAGACTGGTCATATGACCCGATTCCTTTACTCTTTGTCTTTCTCCCTTACTTTGTTCTGTTAGTTGGCTGAAGAGGGTTCTAGTATACCAGAGGTCCATCAGCTTTGTGTTTATGAGAAATTCCAGCAGCAGGTTTCATTGTGATCCCTCTCTCCCTTTCACTGAATTACCATTCTTAACTCTTTTATGCAGACAGATGAACTGATGATGTCTAACAAACATTAACTGACTCACATAAACCTTATGAGTGACGAGCATTTATAACAAAACTTCATCAAAATTTCATAAGAAATACAGTGCATCACCCAGTGGGGCTTCATACACCTGCAGACAAGCTGGATTCAAGAGTTATGGGGGCCCAGGGCAAACAACTGGTGGAGACCCCCTGCCATCCCTTTTTTTTATTACAGTACAGTATTGCACTATAAAATGTCTATTGATGAAAAACAGAAGCACACAGTACATGTTAATAATAAAGTACTGTACTTATAAATTATTAACTTATCAAGAGGCAGTCGAGTCTTGAGGTGATTGACACAGGAGATGATTGTACGACAGTGACAAAGTACTTCAACTGCCTCCTCAGAGGCAGCTGTTGATTTACCCTCCTGTACTATCATGGTGGCAGCCCCCACTTACACGAACTTTCCCAAATACAAACCAGATTTTGGTTGTTTTTCCGAGTTGGGGATACATGAGTCCGGTGCTGGACCCCAATCTGGTTTGCTAGGGGATCCAGGTTGAGTGAGTCTGGGTTAGAGGGACTTTACTGTACTATGCAATGATGAACATTTACCTGCAGTAATTGTAATTTCACTTTTTTTTAGCAATGGAGGAATATTTTAACAAATTGTCAAAATACTGGTTATTTTACCCATAGGAAATTAAGTCTCTTACAGAGTATAGTTCTTAAAATGAAATTGTAAAATCAAATTAAAACACACTAAAGTACCTGGATTATATTAAGAATGGAGATGTAACAGTGCTGTGTATTGCGGTCTAAAGGAGCTGACACCATCATGTTCTTTGGCTGGAGAAGTCGACGCATCACATCCAACACTGTTGTCTTCCTCACAGATGCTACCTGCCCAACAAGTTAACAAAAACTGTATCACACCAATGTACAATTAAAAAGGCAACATCAATGTTATAAGGTCATAATGACCAATGTGTAAAATAGTTTTAATAAGGATAATATTTATTTAAAACCCTTAATAAATCAGTCTGGAAATTCTGATTTTACCCACACTAATCCGCAGATACTCTAAATACAATGCCGTGGTTGGTGGAATGGTATACAGGTACCTGGAATCCAAGGATAGGAAAACCATGGGTGGCGAGGGTCTACTGTATACAGGGTATAAAATATAAAACACAGGAGTGTTCCCACACAAATTTAACTTGATAATTATGCAATTCCTAAATGTTCTATGATTTAATAAATAATGCACAGTATACCCGTATTCAAATAAATACACAGGTTAAAGGTTCTATGTAAAATAACTAAGAAATAGACAAGAGAAGGATTAAATAAAGTAATTAAGAAACTGAGAAGTTGAATTAGAAAATAAAACTTAGAAACAAGTAGAACAAAAAGAAGAAAAATAAATAAATAAATAAATAGAATAAAAAATAAATTAAACACCGCCCTTATAAAATGGAAAATTAGCAGTGGATCCAAAAAAATGCCCTTATAATGTAATACAGTAACAGTACTGTAACATGAATTAGATTAGATTATGTTGCAATTAATAATGGTGGATGTTGGCATGGAAACCAGATTGATGCAGAAATGCACAGAATGAAAATATATGTTCATTAATAAAATAAAGGCTCACTGTATTCATTAACTGTGTTAGTGCATACTGCATTAAAACTCAACATGTTTTCAGAGTTTACCAGTGTCCACTGTAATGTTTAAATTGGAGGTGATCAATCAGTTTGTAAACAGTTAAAATATAAATAACCACTACATAATTACTGAATTACAACTACAGAAATATCTTATAACATATCCTGAATCATATCTACTGTCATACCTCTTGATCTGTAGTGAGGGGTGTGTAGCCTGTCATCAAGAAGTGCAGTCTTGGGGTTGGGATGAGTGGTGCAATGAGGCCTATAAGGTCATTATTCATGTATGATGGATACCTGCAATAAAAGAGTTTTTTTTTTTTTAATAATACGTTTAAGCAAGTTATAAAATAAAATAAAGGAAGAAGAATGACTGAATATTAGAATCTGGGTACAGTACAGTATAGGCATTTGCCCCTAACCTTTACATACAGCAACAGATTTAAAGGCTTTCCCCTTTAAGATATCAATCACCACCTAAAAATTTGTGTTCATTTAATTTTGTCAGCAAATTATAACCATGAACTTGGTTATTTAATTTCATGAAAACCTTTAGTACCCCAAAATTAAAATTTACCCCCTCCCTCCTCTCATTTTTAGTTTTACTTTTTTCCAAATTATGTCATAAGTAACACAAAAGTAAAACATTTCATTATATAAATGAATAAATGATAAAGCTCAACTGAAACTGCATTATATTCAGTACAGGTACCTCTCCATTTAAACCTGCTTTGTTTAAGCCATTTTTAGGACAACACACATGGTCCGTTTACACTTTTTTTGTGGTGTTTTTTTTTTATTTACATGGGTTTATGTTTGGAACAACATGACATTCAACAAACACCATCATAGGTCTGGCAACGCGGTGATGTTGCTGTACGAGAAATGCGTGTACGCCTGGCATGGGTATGTAACTTCTCGCCTTGCAGTCCACAGTGCATGGATGCAGTCAATAGTCACAGATGTGCTCAAACTTTATGAGAGAGGTGATTGACCAGCTGATATTATGCGTGCCCTTGAACTTTGAGAACCTACTTTACGGACTATTCGTGATAGTGCAGAGAAGATTATGGAGATTGCCAAGAGTGAAACATTAATCAATGTATCTAAAACCTCATATTCCTGAAGTTCAATTCTGGAGAAAATGAAATGAATGTTGAGCACATAGATCGAACACCAAACTCTCAAAAATGTTACCCTCAGCATGCTTGTCATACAAGCAAAGGCCCGGATAAGTTTATATTTCCTGGTATGTGTATACTATAGTTTTTCATTGATATAATACTGGGTATTATCTTAAAAACAATGAAACCCCCTAATCTCCACTATTTACAGTCTGATTTATGCATTTTTTATTTACACAATTATTTTCAAGAAAGTAATTATGGCATAAATCGAGAGGTTCCTGTACTGCATACAGCAATGCAGTGAAAGCTGCACAATGCTAATTGTTTTCTAAATTGAAAATTGGTACAAGATGTTAGTACAGTACCTGTACTGTAAGATCTAGTTTACATATAATAGTGGCAAAAACAACATTATAATATTGCAACACTTGCTGACTAACATTGATGAAATTTAAATATTACAATGATTTCCAAGAAGCACTTACCCAGAGGTAAACAAACCCAGTAAACCTCGCTCGTCCAACAAACAGTATATAATATGCATACATACGTAAACGAAGCCTAATGAACCTATGTAAAAAAAATAAGTAGCTCTGCAGTTATCTTAACACCTTGTGCACACTTGCAATTAGAGTTATGTGAGGTTTTATCATTTTAGACAAACATAACCCTTGCACATATCAAGACCCACGTGCATACACATGTTCCTTGTGCTGAAACAAACAGCAACTCAGTAACTATGAACACTGTTCCCAAATCCCACCACCCAAAAATCTATTTGGTCTTCGCCCTCATACAATCATACAACATTAAAGTGTTGAGCTATGAAAGGGAAAATACAGGACATGTACTTACAAAATTACTATATACAGTACTGTACCTACTGTAGAACTAACTCTAGAGACATGATTCTAAGAAAAAATTTGATCAATAAAGATTGAAAACTATCCAATGCATTCATGTTCACATCTATAAATGATCCAAGAAATACTGAAGCCAAAATTTAATTTCCCGTTTTCTATGACTTGTACACTTCGCAGAATATGTCTCCCACTTTTACAGAGTATTGTACAGGTTTAAAATTGCTCAGGATTTAGCATGCCTAAATTCAATAATGAACACACCATACCAATACTGTACTTACAAACCAAGTGAAAGCACATCCCATGCGCTGAATGGAGTGTTACCACAGTGCCATCGAGCCCCTACTAACTGCCTGTTCACTAATGTTAAAATACATTTATCAAGGCCACCAACCTTAATGTTGCTGTGGAGACAGACATTATATTGGAGACAAGCGAGTTAATCTGAGAAAATGAAGGATTAGAAAGATGTAGACGGTCTGTAGCAATGCGGTTCAATGCTGTGTTATCAAGCACAACTACACAGTCTGCACTCTGTGTAAGGCGTCTGAGAGTCAGCAGGGAGTTGTATGGCTGCACCACCACATCACTGCAAATAAAGATATGTCATACTCTAACAAGAACAGTATACAGTAGTGTTATATTTCTACTGCAACTTGATGGGTGATGCTAAGTTGTGTGGAGGCATGTGGGGGTCTTGTGGAATGAAAGTAACTTTAACAAAGCACCTCTATTACAACAGTAAGAATGAATGAATGAAGTCACATGAGAGAAAAATGTGTGTTTGTGTGAGCATATTTGCTCTTGATTCCCGCCACTGAAATCAAGATTAGGTTTCCAGCATCTGTCACATTTGCAATATTATAGCTGTGACGGTGGACAATCTACAATCATAAGAATTGAATAGTTCTTGTTTCGGATGCTGCTACCAAGTGAGTTGTACAATTATTAAGAGTAAGAGAAAAAAAAAAAAACACGATTAACTGCATCTTCACGGAAGCCAATTGTCCATACCAAAGAACCTAAGGGGTCACACAAACAAACAGATATGGCAGGTCATCAAAGATAAAAAAATATTAATATTTTTTATTATTTTCATTTCATAATTATGGAGACTGAAACTTGAAAGGGCTGGGCTTATGAGGAATGCAGAGTTTTTTCAATGCTGTTAGTACTTATACATGTAGGTACAGTTCTTCCAATCCCATATGCTCTCAGATTGTTGTAGTATTTCTTTCAATAATCATAAACAACAGGTTTATGGGCATGGGGTATCAACATGGTAAGGGCAAAAACAAACAACAGCTCATTCACAGTGGAGAAACACCTCTACCTCACTTTCCTCACCACTTTCTTCCTGGTCTCTATGCTGAGGACTAGTTAGTTCATCAGTGTCACTATTCCTGAGGCTCACACACCAGCTATCACTTCCGTACTTGTGTGAGTAGCTGTATAAGGAGCTGTGGGTGTATGTTGGTTCAGTCAGATGATCTACGACCTCAGTCACTAGCCTTGAAAGATATCTTACTACTACAGAGCAACTTTCCATTACCTGTGAGGTTCCAACCATCAACTAGATGAGTGAATAGCTAATGGAGGCATTACCACTGACCTACCTGGTGTGAATGGTTTCTTATAGCTACACTACATTGTGTTTTTAAGAATGAGTGATTTCATGTGTTGTATTTAAAGGGAATGTCTTTTAGTATGTTTTTAGATGACTGGTTTCTTATTTGTTGAGTTTTAAAGAATGACTGGCTCCATATTTGTTTCATGAATGGGTTACTTCTTGATATCTTATTAAGATTGAATGGCTTTACTTTTTTTAATCAACCGATTAACTGGGAATTCACCACATACTGTATACTGTACAGTACAATATAATACAATATAGATAAAAACATATCAAAATGTTAACAAACATCAAAAAGGACATACAATATAAAAGAACTTCAAAAATTACAGCAAAAACAAAACATCACCTACATACCTGATTTCATCTTGGTTTGGGAAGACTGAATATGTCTGCACCAATTTCTTGGGGAAGCGATCATTCAGTCTCTCAAGAATGTAGGAGCCTAAACCAGATCCTGTACCTCCAGCAATACTGTGGCAGAGAACAAATCCCTCCAGGCTATCAGAACCGTCAGCCTCACGGTCAATGATGTCAAAAACTTCATCATATATACGTTCACCCTGACTGTATCCAGAGGCCCAGTTATTTCCAGCACCACCACCGCCTCCTTGTTTTGACATGTAAATATTTTCCGGATTATATAGCTGCAAGAAAATAATGTACGTATGTAAATATTAATGATTGACACCCAAAGTGATAAGTAGATCTGTTAATGTCAAGTAAGTAAAATGTAAATATAAATTCAAGCTGGACATACAGGAAATTGTTCTCAGTTATATCTTTAATAAAAAGAATAACAATGATATGCTATAGCATCCCAATATCTCAACAAGTAAGAAATGTTACATCAGATGTATTACCCAATACTGTAGTAGTACCCGGACTGGTACTTAACTAATTATGGACAGTAAATTCATTTAAGTCATAATCTCCTCTTTCACCTTAATATAATTCCTTCCCATCAATAAAATAAGAAATCTGACCACCATAAATGAATATCTAGCTCTTAACAACAATAATTTAGCAAAACAAGGTATAAATGAAGTCTCATCATCATTGTTTTATGGACATTTACCACACTTATGTGGGTTAGCCATGGTTACCTGATGGGAGCTCTCCATTCTGTACAGATTATTTGCAGTTTCTTTCATCAAATACCTTTGAGGTTATTCTCAATCTCTGCCCATGTCATTCTTGTCACCCCTAGTTCTCCTCTCCACATTCCAACTAATGTACCTTTTGACCCAATTGGTGACCTCCATTTTCCCCACATCCCTGAAATACCTCAGCCTTCCTCCCCAAAAAACCTTGCCAATACGTACTCTTATTTTATCCCCCCCCCAGGGCCCGTTGTGGAGCAATGACCTGTGTCCAGGTGGACTATCCCCCGTCAAAAAAATAATAATAAAACTGCCCTCTTAGCTCTGAACAGAGCTTCCTATCTTTCAATAATGTCATGTTACAAATCCATCTCATCACCGTCATTTCAAATCGCCCAAGTTTACATGTGTCATCTTTACCTGTCCACATTTCACTACCATACAACACCACACTTCTAAAGCCAGTTGTATACAGTAAGTACTCGCTTGACGTCATGGTTCCGTTCCTGAAAACCGCGACGTTAACGGAATCAATTTTCCCCATAAGAAATAGATAAAATATGAGTTACGTTCCCCAGCCTCCCTTTGCCCCATAAAATACATTACATATACAGAAATTCTATGACATTTTTATTGAAAATAATATATAAATATATATAAAAAAAATTTATTATTTTGTTTTGTACTCACTGTTGGACGGAGGTGGTGGAGTGAGTGTGTGGTGGGTAGTGGAGCGGAGGAGGAGGGTGGCGAGTCACTGAGACCCAGCGGGTGGCTCCTCCTCTCGGTTTAAAACCTCCATTTTCGTAGCAAGGCTAATGATCTTACATTGCTTCTTCACAACACTAGCATCAGTAGCACTTGATGGACACTTGGAAGCCATTTTGAATGGTTAAAGTATGCAGTATTAAGAGCAAAAACAATTAAACACGTAGGAACGCTGTGGTAGCTTAACAAAGACTGGCGACGCTTGGGGACGCGGTGACACTCCGCGGGTGAGAGCGTAGTGTGCCAAGATGAGAGAGTGTGATGCGCCACAGAAAGTAGTCCGTGACGACGTTATACTGAATCAGGGGGCGTTATCCAAATCATAGGTATCTAAAGAATAGCGATGTTATAACGAAAAGTTAAACGAGGACTTACTGTACAACTCTTGTTTCAAGCAAAGAGGTCTTCTTGCTATCAATAAAGGCAATGGCTCCCTAATCTTCTGCTTCGGGCAACTGAGGTAGCTTCAGCACTTATTGTGTCATATGATTACCTGCACATACAGCCTTGTTGAATAAAAGCATAACAGAATTAACCCTTTAAGGATGATAGTTTAAACTTTTATGAATGATGGTTTAACCCTTTGAGGATAATGATTTAACCCTCCATGACCCAAAACATACAGTACTTGTAGTCCTTACCTTGGCATAAGGAGAATTCATAATTGTGTGAATGACCCGAGGTTCCAGATCCAGAAGCACTGATCGAGGGATATAATGTTCATCATCTGCTTGATAAAAGAACACATCTTTACGATCAGTGCCTTCTGTGGCATAATCTTCCAATGTTCCTTCTGGTGATATTCCATGTTCACTACAGAGTTTCTTCCAGAACTCAAACCCAACTGAAAAATATTTTAAACAAATATACAACTAAAAATTATACATGTACCAGTACATTGATTATCCAGCAACCTTGGAGCCAGAAACAAACTGATCCAGGAATACCTGTACTGTATTCCAGATTTTGGAAATAGGCCTAGAATATACGGTACATAAAACATTACATAAAATAAGGGAACATTATTTTCACCTCGATTATGCGGTTCAGTTCTGGTGCCCCTATTATAGAATGGATATAAATTCACTAGAGTCGGTGCAGCGAAGGATGACAAAAATGATTCCGGGACTTAGAAACCTTCCATATCAGGATAGGTTAAAGAAACTAAACTTGCATTCCCTAGAAAGACGAAGAGTGCGGGGAGATATGATAGAAGTATTTAAGTGGGTGAAAGGAATCAATAAAGGGGATATAGATAAAGTTCTTATAATATCCGAGCAGGATAGGACTCGTAACAACGGATTTAAGTTGGATAAGTTTAGGTTTAGGAGGGAGATAGGAAGGAACTGGTTCACAAATAGGGTGGTGGACGAGTGGAACATGCTTAGCAACTTTGTAGTAAGTGCTGGAACTCTGGAAAGTTTCAAAAGGAGGCTAGATAGATTCATGGATGATAAGAGAGTGGTAGTAACTCTCGACAGGAGCTGCCATGCACAGGCCAACCGGCCTATTGCAGACTCCTTATTGTCTTATGTTCTTATGATAGCTGCCTGTACATCAAAACATGGGACAAATTATTTTAGTAACTTTGAATTTTTGTAAAATGAACCTCTGTAAATCAGTTACTACCTATAAAGTACTGTTTGTCAAGTTTTTGGCTCTTTATTAGTGATGGCTAATAAATGGGGAGTTTGTTCACCAAATCACATACCCCACAGGCCAGGACAAAAATGGTGTTTCATTGTACTATACATGCTTCCAGGTATACATACTGTACCTACAGTATATGCTCATCACATTTAGGGTAACCCGTGAGGTTTGACCATTTAAAAATATTTGTATTTATTAGAAACATGTAACATACAATAAATGCAGTTTATAGTTTATTTGTCATGCATATATATAACCTGGTGAATGTACAAGTTATAATTACTGTACTACACATATGAAACCATCCAGGTTTTTTCTAAATGTAAAGCAGGTAACTTGGTACCTGTTTGGGTAAAGGTGTAAAAGAGGGTGACCACCAGAAGGAATTGTCCGGATTGGTTGAAATTTTTTCTACACAGTAATATCATGAAATTAAAAAAAAATGGAAACGACAATGCATAGAACCTAATACTGTAGAACCTGACCTAACAAACCCATACGTTGGGTATGTTAAGTCAGGTTCTATTAGGTTCTATGCATTGTCGTTTCCATTTTTTTGTTTAATATCATATTAGTGTGTAGAAAAAATTTCAACTAATCCGGACAATTCCTTCTGGTCACCCTCTTCTACACCTTTACCCTTATTTAGCATTCAAATGTCAAATAAGTTATTAACTTCACATCAGTTCCAGTACAGTATTGTATAAATCTACCGCAGGCATCCAGTCATAAAACTTTGCTTCATCATTCCAGATGACAACCAGGTCACCAGAGCGGTGTCATCCACTGGTCTCTGCTTCTGATTACTGGGTTGGCAGTTTGGCACCCTGGGTTTGCAGTGATGAAAATGGTGAGAAGATATCCCATTCTGCTTTTATCCAACTGTGGCGATGAAGTAATCACAGCTAACCCACGCAAGTGTGGAAAATGGCCAAAAATCATGGCTGATGATGATTATTATCAGCCTCAACCAATAAGAATGAATTACAGACAAATAGCAGAAGTAAAGGCAATGACCAAACAAACTCTGTATCAAGTGGTTTACACAGACCCTTGTCCTTAACTATTACTAGGAAATCTTACACCTAGTTGATTTGAGTAATCTACTTTAGAAATATATCAAGTACATCAATAAGCAGAGCCTAGCTCGAGTATGCTTTTAGAAGCAACATTCAACTACCTTCAGTACAAATTGAAGACATCACCTGCAGCTTTCCCTAAATGTCGTTAGAGTAAGACAGACTCTTAAGTCCTAACAACGATTCTGCACCATAATTTGCCAATCTCCGCTCCAACTTACTCTGATTACCACACTGGCCGAGCTGTAGCGTTATTATTTCACAAGGCATCTCGGTGTGCGTCTCACCTCAGCTCTTCGATTTGTTTACATTCAAAGTCAAGAAGAGCGGGAAGGGAGGATCACTGAGCCAATCATGGTCCACGCAGGCGCAACAATACTTTTAAGAATAAAATTTAATATTTATTTATTTCAACAATATAAAAAATTGTTACAGCACATTTGTTTATAATAAACGTAAAATAAATACATAGTATATCCAATTACCTTCAAATGAGTCACTAACATTATTTAATATCCTAAAAGTTCGTTACAGTAATTCGAGTAAGCTGTTTTATCCTCTATCCACAAATAACCTTTTTTTTCCTAAAAGTTTACCTTATTCATGTTTTCGGTGTTTAGTGGGTGATGGTGTTGTTTTCGGTATTCAGATGAGGAGGGATTCATACTCTAAAGTGAATCTTAACATTTTTACAAGTTAGGAAACGTTAGGTCAGGTTGTCAAACGTTTGTTTGGTGTTATTTTTAGTATTTTACCCCACATTTTCCCCTGACTCCAAAGCCTTGCCCAATGTAAAAAAGTAATAATTAGCAATTTTATCTATTAAAATACTCGAAAAGTATAAATTTCCGACAGAAATGCCAAAGAAGAAAAGTGTCTTCGAATAGTTTTGTGGTATTATGAGGTATTGGTTCACACTCAGGATTGGATGGAGAAAGGAAACTCACAAAGTGCTCTCTGTATACATATTGTAGTGGATTTCTCCCCTACAAACGCTGTTTGTCGCTGAGTAGCCGACCCCACCAATTCCCCAGTGTATGCCTCGTGGTCGAGGTCAACCACCGCCGCCATACATCACGGAGTGGGGGTCAACTACTAAGCCACGCCAACCCCCGCTATTTAAGACCTGACCTCGTGGTGATCTCTCTCTTGCTTGGTTCACCTTCTTCTCACAATGGCCCGAGAACTTCAATTCATTGTCAACATAGATACCCAGGTCCTTTTTGCAGTCAGTCTCAATTAATGCAGTTTCTTTGTGGCATCATTTGTTTGGATTTTCTTGTGCGCTAGTCAGGCCGCACCTCGATTATGCGGTTCAGTTCTGGTGCCCCTATTATAGAATGGATATAAATTCACTGAGTCGGTGCAGCGAAGAATGACAAAAATGATTCCGGGACTTAGAAACCTTCCATATCAGGATAGGTTAAAGAAACTTAACTTGCATTCCCTAGAAAGACGAAGAGTGCGGGGTGATATGATAGAAGTATTTAAGTGGGTGAAAGGAATCAATAAAGGGGATATAGATAAAGCTCTTATAATATCCGAGCAGGATAGGACTCGGAGCAACGGATTCAAGTTGGATAAGTTTAGGTTTAGGAGGGAGATAGGAAGAAACTGGTTCACAAATAGGGTGGTGGACGAGTGGAACAAGCTTAGCAACTTTGTAGTAAGTGCTGGAACTCTGGAAAGGTTCAAAAGGAGGCTAGATAGATTCATGGGTGATTGAGAGTGGTAGTAACTCTCGACAGGAGCTGCCATACACAGGCCAACCGGCCTATTGCAGACTCCTTATTTTCTTATGTTCTTATGTCATTTGCATATGTTATACCTTGGGTTATTTCACTATACTGTAGTATAGAGGTTGATATTTTGTCCTGTGTGGTTGTCAATAATTTTATTTGCCTTTCTACTGTCTAAGAAATTGCATAGCAGTATCGTAATTTTCGAAGGCATATCCAGTTTGATTATTTTATGCCTGAGCCCTTTGTGCCAGATGCTTTTCATACCTCTCTGATAATAATATTGCTTTGGTCTTTGTTGCTGGCTGAATTTGCAATTGATTCATATACAGTAATAGGGCCATGGCTGTGTTGGTGCCATGATACTGTAAATTGTTGTTAATCAATGGAAACCATATACAGTACAGTATTACAGTAAACCCTCAATAACTCGGCACATATGGGGCTCTGGCCTTGCTGAGTTATCCCAAATTCTGACATATCAAGGCACCCCCCCTCCCCCTCCTACAAAAATACAACAATATAAATTTATGAACTATATATGTGTACAGTACATGTAATTATTAAATGTAAAAACGTAACACTTACCAGCACTGCAGGCAAAGAATGAAGCATCATAGCAGGTGACACAGATGAATGGTAGGTGCCACAGAGGCATGGTAGGTAAGGCAGGTGGCCAGATATGCCGAGATTTTCCCAGATACAGTAATTGTATATATCCCGGCATTTCCCGAGTTATACTAATACATTCCGATACCATATCCATGACGAGTTATATGAAATTCCAAGTTATCGAGGGTTTGCTGTACCTTTATCCTCTTTGCATTTAAATACTTTTTTTTTTTAACCAAATTTGGGACATAGGATTTTGCATCATATTTCACCGTGTCCGTGAAGGGTTGCAGGAGGAAAAGCACCGGAACAAATTCTCTATTTACCTATGATCCTGTGTGATGATATTTTAATAATTAAATAAAAATGAGGTAATATTTTGATATCTCTCTTTTAATTCTCACTCTATTTATAATGATGGGTTTTTCCAATGCACTACAAGAACTTAAATACTATATACATGAAAAAGAGACAATCTTCTTCTGTCAGACCTGACTCTTTTCCCCTACTGCTTGTTGTTCCTTCCGCAGCTGTTTAGTAAGGTCTGCTTGCTGCTGAAGAACATATAGATTCTCTGCCTTCCGCCGCTGCTGCCGCTCAACATCTTTGATCACCCCTTCATGTAGCCTCGCTCTGTGGATTATAACATGAATATTGTCAGCAACTATCTTGATGCAGAACAAACACAAGGAAATACTTCTTCACAGAGAGGGTGGTAGACCTATGGAACAGTCTATGATCCCAAGCTGTGGAATCAAGAACAGAACTGGGCTTCAAAATAGCTCTTGACAAAATTATCAGTAACAATGGAGGGATCCTACACAGGCCACTGGGCTGGGCAAATATTTTGGCTGGCAAGTCACATCCAGCAGCTTAGGCAAGCTTTACATACCACACACTTTTGTCGATGCTAAATTGTAAATACAGTACAGGTATCCCTCACTATACAAACCTTCACTCTACAAATATTCACTTATAATATTTTATTCTTACACTTCCCTTACTACAAGAAAGCTATTCTTGCTTATAAGATAAGTCACCAAATTTTTATTTTATTAATTTTTTAATGTGTTCGGTACAAAATTACAGTAGCTAAATAGGTTTTTTATTATTTGTGAACAATATTTTTTCCTGTATAATACAGTACAGTATTGGGGTTTTCTTGTCATTGGGCAACCAGTACTAGGCATCTTTGTGGTGTACATTAACATACTATTTTTCTCCTTTAATTTTTTTTTTATTATAATTTCTTTTGCCCCCAGTGTATATATATATATATATATATATATATATATATATATATATATATATATATATATATATATATATATATATATATATATATATATATATATATATATATATATATATACTGTAATTGGTAAAAAAATGTGTTGATTTCTATGAAACAAAAAAGAATACTGAAAAGGTAAGATTTTCTCTGTGGTATGAGTACGCTGGCCAGGGGGCTATAGTATGGTACTGTATCTGACCTCTGTTGTCATCTGGGATCTCCCATCTACTTACACCACAGTTTTCTCAAAAGAAAAGAATTGTAGCCTTCTTCTTTGGTGGTATTTCATTTGCTTTCATACTTCAATTGGCAGAACAACAAAATAAAGAAATAAAACTGTTTCTGCATTTCCAGGTGAAATCATCACTGTGATCCTTCGACAATGACAACTAAGACTAATTCTCAGATTTGTTTGCACCTTCCTCCTGAAACTAAAGCCTTGAGAAAAGGTCTTGGAACCTGGAGTTACCATTCAAACCCTCAGGAGAAGAGTCAAGCTGTTTAATGTGGACTTGCTCATAAAAACAACTCAAGTACTATATCTAAAGCCAGCTAAGTGATAAGGAGTAAGAGAGAGACCCACCTGTCAATATTCTGCTTGAGATGAACATAACCAACGATACCAAGGGTTGTACAGCACGCAGCCCCCAGTGTCACCTTAGATGCTATTGACATGGTGTCATGCTGGAAAAAATGAAGATGCTGATACACTGTAACAGTTGATGCTCATATAATACAGTATTAGTTTAGAGAGTAAAGGACAACCATGGGGTGCTACTATGGTGTGTGGTCTAGAAGATATTTAGGATGGTTAGGTTAGACTAAAGATATCTTTGTAGACCATGGACCTTTATATTTATTTGTACTGTATAAAGGGAGATAGAACAAAACAAATACTTTACAGTACTCTAAAGCATTTTCAGTGGAAATTGATGTTTTTCAAGTTTTTTTATACTTTTGATTTTCTTAAAAAATACAAATTTGATCAAAGTGGGCAGGGCTTTGGGTTAATATTCGTCCATTGGTTTCTTGGTTGGTTGGTTGGTAATATAAAGAAATTTATTAAAAAAAAATCCAACTTTTTCCATTATGATAGTTGGGTGGGGGTTTATCTAAAAAAACCACTTGATTTCCGGTGGAAATGAATATCAAATTCGTTCGACTCATCAAAATACATAGGAAAAACCTACTTTTAATATCGAAATAAAGACCAGTATGATACTATAAATTGACCAAAACGTGTAATACTGTATTTAAACTTCATAACGAACACTTTTTTTTTTTACGGGGATTAGCCCACCCAGACACAGGTCACTGACCCACATCGGGGCCTGGGGGGCGAAAATGTAATAATAATAATAATAATAATAATAATAATAATAATAATAATAATAATAATAGTAATAATAATTCATAATAAATAAAATTTATGATAAAACAAACAAAAATAAAATAATAAAATAATGATGATAATACAGTAACTGTAATAATAATATTAATAATAAAGAACTATAAATACAAAAATTAAAAAAAGAAGATCAAAAGTGAGAAACGATATATGTACAATATGTGGTGTTGTCAATGGTAAGAGAAACAATTGAGACCCTGCAATTGTGTGTAAATGAAGCAGAAAGTCAGATCAGCAACCTGGGACTTGGTCACAATTTTCGTGATGCCATATGGCAGCAGTGTCTACCATTAGACAACACATTATGCTTCCAATATCTTCCCAGGCAGTAGTACCTCCCTGTTTGATAGCTGCCTACTACCTACTACTATCTAAGTGTTCTTTTATTTACACCTTAACCAAACTCCATAAGTTCATCAATCTTACTTCCGTAAAGCGCAGTAGACTTCAGAAAGATGCAAACATAAGAAGGTCCATAACACTTAATGAAGGGCAGAAGAAACACTGAACAGTATGTGTATAGTGTTGTTCGTGACGTCATCCACGAAGAGTTCTTCTACTTCAATCCGCCACGATCCGTCACACTTGAAACACTTGAGCTGGAGAACCTGCTGTGAGCCGAATTTGTTCCAAAATGTCTTACATGGTATATCTAGATTTTTCAAATCTAAAAAATATATTTAATTAAAATACATTAAAAAAAGCGCTTAGTTCTGCGCAAGCTACTCTTCGCCATCGGTCTGCTATCATGAAAATAAAAATAAAACCACTTCAATAACTACAGTTGCAAGGATTTCGAAGTTACTCAGGAAATGCTTAGCTAGTTGATAACATGTATGCAACATCTACAGGCTCTGATGAAATAAACAGGCCCTTGACTTATACTATATTTTCGTCCCCAGGCCCTTATATGGGTCATTGACCTGTTTCCTGGTGGGCTTGTAGTGGATTCCTCCCCTACAAACGCTTGTCGCTGAGTAGCCGACCCCGCGAATTCCCCAGTGTATGCCTCGTGGTCTTGGTCAACCAGCGCCGCCTTACATGACGGAGGTCAACTATTAAGCCACGCCTACCTCCGCTATATAAGACCTGACCTCGTGGTGACCTACCTCTTTTCTACCTACACCAATCAGCAAGCAACACCTCCTCCTCCTGCCTGGCGGCCCTCGCTCCCGCCGGCGAGCATGGCGACCCACAAGCTGGTCCTCCTCTGAGCATCCTCACCAACCAGCTCTCTCTACATCACGCCTGTAACCACGCTGCCACTTCCCAGCACCAAGCTGCACTGTACAACCAATACAACATGTATACAGAGAGCACATTGTGAGTTTCCTTTCTCCATCCCATCCTGAGTGTGAACCAAATAACCCGTACCCCACAGGCTAATCCCGTAAAAAGAAAGACAAGTCCAATGGAGACATCCTACAAAGGCCACTGGCCTTCTTCCCTCTGCATGGCCACCTCTAGCTTGGTTGGCCATTAGGTAAATAAGGTAAATCTGACAGAGTAGGAAGGAGAGGTGGCGGTGTAGCAGTGTATATCAGGGTGTCATTAAAAAGCTGCAATAAATCAAACATTAAAACAAATAGCGACAATGAAAGTATTTGGGTAGAGATTGGTGAGGGCAGTGAATCCGTAGTCATTGGTGTTATATATAGACCACCTAATTTGAGTAGGAACGATGGTAAATTGCTATGGGAGGAAATAAAGAAGGCATCTGATAGAAACAATTTATGTATTCTAGGCGATTTCAACTTTTCAGGCATAGATTGGAAAAATCAACTTAGCGATAATGAATCTGAAGATTTTCTAGAAGTAGTACAAGATAGTTTTTTATATCAATTCATAAACTCGCCCACTAGAGGAAATAATATCCTCGATTTAGTTCTCAGTAATAATGAAAATCTAGTAAAAGATGTTGGGATTGGAGACGAACTAGGAAACAGTGATCATAAAGCCATATATTTTAACATAATATGGAATGGCAGGAAGAAGGAAAATTCGGCCTTGATCCCGGATTTTAGGAAGGCTAATTACGGTAGCTTAAGGAGAGACCTAAGGGATGACCCTATGGTCAAAAGATTAATCCCCCCCACACCTCTGGAAACTGTCAACTTAGGACGGGATAACCCCGAATTTAATTTAGCAGCTACTTATGAACAATTTATTGCGACAATCAATAATGCCCAAAATAAACACATCCCTAAAAGAAAATTCAGATCGATACGGAACCAACCAAAATGGATGAATAATAGACTCTTAGATCTTCTAGGGAAAAAGAAAGGAGTATATAGAAAAGTTAAGAAAGGCGAAAATCACTTACTTGGTTACTATCAGAACCTAACAAGACAGGTAAAACAGAAATTAGGAAAGCAAAGAGAAATTATGAAATCAAGGTAGCAAACGAATCGAAAAATAACCCCAAAGCTTTTTATCAACTGTATAAATCAAAGGTTAGAGATACAATAGGTCCCCTTAAAACTACGACAGGAGAAATGACTGATGATGAGTTAGAAATGTGTAGTACGTTAAATAGTCATTTTTGCTCCGTATTCACAAATGAAAACCTAGCACAGTTTCCAGAAGTTCATAAGGTATATAACGACAGTATAGAAAATATGTTGATGAATATCAATATTACTAGTAACGATGTGCTTAAAGTAATTAACAAACTGAAGCCTCATAAATCGCCTGGTCCAGACGAGGTATATGCTAGAATATTAAAAGAATGTAGAGATGAGTTGAGTAATCCATTAGCAGTTTTATTTAATAAGTCATTAGAATCGGGCCTAGTGCCAGAAGCTTGGAAACTTGCAAATGTAGTTCCGATTTTCAAAAAAGGGTGATAAATCAATTGCATCAAATTACCGTCCCATTAGTCTCACGTCAATCATAGGCAAGTTGCTAGAGTCAATTATTGCTACAAAAATCAGAAGCCACCTTGAAACATTCAACTTAATTCATTCTTTTCAGCACGGGTTCACCCAGGGACGTTCTTGTCTCACAAATTTGCTTAGCTTTTTCTCAGAAGTATATGAAGCGGTAGATAATGATAAGTCATATGATATAATTTATTTAGATTTCAGTAAAGCATTCGATAGAGTCCCTCAAGAGATTGATAAGGAAGGTAGAAGCACATGGAATAGGTGGATCAGTATTAAAATGGATTAGGTCATGGTTAACTGGTAGGAAACAAAGAGTCAGCATAAATGGATTAAAGTCAGACTGGGGTGCGGTCAAAAGTGAGTTCTAGGGATCTGTATTAGGCCCTCTGCTGTTTGTTATATTCATTAATGATCTTGATTTAGGCATAACTAGTAGGATTAGTAAATTTGCAGATGATACCAAAATGGAGAGAGTGATAAGATACAGTGACTTTGAACACCTTCAAAGAGATCTAGATACCTTACATGAGTGGTCAGTAAACTGGCAAATGAATTTTAATACTGATAAATGCAAGGTACTACAGATAGGGAAGACGAATACAAACGTTAAGTATAAACTAGGTAACACGGAAATAGAAAACTCAGTTTGTGAAAAAGATCTAGGTGTATTTGTTAGCAACGACTTGAAACCTAGAAAACAATGTATTAGCGTTCGCAACAAGGCAAACAGGATTCTTGGGTTCATATCTAGGTCTGTGAGTAACAGAACTGCTGACGTTATCTTGAAACTTTACCTAGCATTAGTGAGGCCACACATGGATTATGCGGTTCAGTTCTGGTGTCCTTATTATAGAATGGACATAGATTCTTTGGAGAGAGTACAAAGAAGAATGACAAAATGATCCATAATATTAGAAACCTTCCATATGAAGAAAGACTGAAAAGCTTAGGCTTACATTCATTAGAGAGGCGTAGAGTTAGGGGAGATATGATAGAGGTGTACAAGTGGGTAAGTGGGATTAACAAGGGTAAAATGGAAGATGTTCTGAAGCTCAGTAATAACGAAATAACTAGAACAAATGGCTTTAAATTAGATAAATTCAGATTCAGAAAGGATATAGGCAAGCACTGGTTTGGTAATAGAGTTGTGGATATGTGGAATAGGCTACCGAGTGCTATAGTAGGATCGGGGACGCTAGGGAGCTTCAAGACGAAGTTGGATAGGCACATGGAAGTGCTGGGATGGGTGTGAAAGGGATCTGCCCTGCATGGGCCAGTCGGCCTCCTGCAGTATCCCACTTTCTTATGTTCTTATGTTCTTATGTTCTTATATAAAAGTACATACAACCACACACTAATATTTAGTACATGCCCACAGTGGCCAAACACACACATGTATGATGTATACACTGCAGTTACTAAGCATGCAAGCAATACATACTGTGGCGTTAGTGATGCAGGATCGCACTAGGATTTAGGTAAGAAGGGAATCTCACTCGAACCCTCGACCTACTGCGTGGGACTAGTGAACGTTACCGACCATACCACAAGAACACTAAAAACAGTCCTAGACTATGTTATATTTTACACAAAGCCTGTTCATCGAGCTGATGGTGCCGTGAAACTTCCCATTGGGAACTGCCCGTGCTGCCTATGTGGATGTCAGTAGCATTTTACCGAAACCAGCTGGTATGAAACACGAGGTACCATATATACTTAATTTTTAGTCCATATAAAACGCAGATTTTGAATATATATATATATATATATATATATATATATATATATATATATATATATATATATATATATATATATATATATATATATATATATATATATATATATATATATATATATATATATATATTATACAATGCAGTACAGGGGAGTTGCTGTGCAGTGAGGAGCTTGTTGAGAGGAGGTCTTGTCTGTTTGAGAGCGCTGAGTAGAATCCTCTTCACGGTGAGGCTGGGGTTATATATACACGAGTCCGCTGGAAGTGAACGTCGCTGCTGGCCGACCACTGTGCAGTCAGACAGCTAGGCTTCGCAGAAACTCGCCGCGGGAGGTCACCGACAGTTGTAGGGGAGAGTATCCACTACAATACCCATGCACGTGCATATACTACCGTATTTCGCATGAACATATTGCTTACATGCCCACATACAAGTATACAAGCTCACACAACACATGTATACAGTGCTTCACACACACACACACACACACACATATATATATATATATATATATATATATATATATATATATATATATATATATATATATATGTATATATATGCAAACAATACACATACACGTATACATTACCACATAATCTACACACTTATATACATTCTGCTACTTTGATCACAATCATTTAGTGTACAACACACACATAAGCATAGATTACACTTCTTACAAGGTGTGTGATAGAGAAAGAAATATCACAGAAGAGAGAGGGAGAGTTGAGGTGTCCCACTTGGCCACTCACAATAAAGTGCCGGTCATGTCACACTGGCTGCTCACCCAAGCAAGGGTTGCCATATTATTTTATCATAATACACAGCCTAACTGGCTAAGCTCTAATGTAAACTTCGTGGTAACTATTTAGATAACCATAAAAAAATAAATGAATCTTTTGACAATAATATAAATTTTATACTCGAAAAAGTTTTTCATATCATGAACATTCAGTAGATGCTGACAATGATTGTACAAAAAGCAAGAGAAAGTGTTTGATCTGTACAAGACAAGTGCAAAGGACTCACCAGAGTTGCCATTATTGAGAGGTACAGTAAAGAGGATACAACAGTGTGTTAGGTGAGTGTGGGGTACTGGGGGATACAGCAGTGTGTTAGGTGAGTGTGGGGTACTGGGGGATACAACAGTGTGTTAGGTGAGTGTGTGGTACTGGGGGATACAACAGTGTGTTAGGTGAGTGTGTGGTACTGGGGGATACAACAGTGTGAGGTGATTGTGAAGTACCGTACATGCAGGTACTGGAGGGTGCAATATCGTGTCGGGCAAGGTAGGTAGGTAGGTACCTTGGTGTTTGGTCTGAGTGTTTTCGGAAAATGTAATGATGTGTTTGTTGAGTGTTTCTATAATATATTGATGTGTTTCTCGAGAATATAATTTTGTGTTTGTTGTGGGGAATTTAGTGTTGTGTTGAATCAATATTTTGGGGGAATATAGTGTCGTGTTCGGTGCTGTTAGAAGTGTTTAATAAAAAGTGTTTCTGGAGAATAAAGGTTTTGTTGTGAATCTGAAGAATGACGTCCTTTTTTGTGTTAGTGGTGTTGAGAATAGTACAGTATATTATGTCACTCAAACTATGCAGTATATATATATATATATATATATATATATATATATATATATATATATATATATATATATATATATATATATATATATATATATATATATATATATATATATATACAGTATATATACGCTTGTATTTGTTGGAAATTAATTTTAATAATCCCTACAGATCCCAAATTACCCAAATTGTAATGTTTTAAGTTACAATATAGTTGGACAGGTTGTTGAGAACAAGACGACTCTTACAATTTTAAATTACAATATTCAATAATCAGGTGAAAGTAAGCATCGGGAAAATGTGCACAATGGAGATGTGTGTGTGTGTGTGTGATTCTGTTGCGACACTTGATGCAATAACAATGGTACATATACTGCCTGTGCCTGGGTGCAGAATGTTAAAGGTCCGGATGATTTATATATTTCTATAAGAGTGAAACTATCTGATTAAAGTAATCATTGCACATCAGTGTTAAAATTACATTTCTTAATTTAAATTTAAGGAAAAACGGTACATACTTAATTGACTGGTGTATTCCTGGCCCAGTGCAAACAAAGCTCATTGTTTGATATGAAGTTGAAGTATTTGGAAATCTGCAATACGAGAACCGTGCATGATTTCCAATATTCAACGTGTATAGATGATTCAGAATAATTTTAACTCACAAGTTGCTATAAACTCTTCTTCATCCTGGGAAAAATGTTCCCACACACGTCTCCTGAATACCCAAGTTCAAATTTTGCCTATCCACACTAGACTGACTACCTCACGTTAGAAAAAAACTTGACTGATAATCTAGGGTGAGAAACAGACGAGTAGAAGAGAGAGAGTCAGGTAATTGGGTGTTAGAGGAGGTTTGCGCCGAGTGATTCATTTGTTTTCAAAACAGCGTTCCGAAATTTCCCATCGATTTCACAAATTTTGACTCTTTAAAGTGAAATAAAAATAAACAGAAGGATACTACATATAAGCAAGTAAATACTGAATTACTTGAAATATAAATTAAGTTTCTGTGGATGTTGATGGTGTTTGTAGTTGCCTCACAACACTAGCATCAGGAACGTGCACAAGATCCTCAGGTGACACAATATTAACACATTTTCTCAATTTTCTTTATTTTCCCGTATTCTACAGCAGTACGACAGCGCCAGGAAGTGCCGCAGGTGTTACATTATAACTTTTTATATTTTTTATAAGATAATTAAGATACAGTAGCGGTTACTTAATAATATTGTGTTGTACTGTCAGGCCCGAATGACAATATTCACACTTTCTTCATATTCTTTCACTCCACGGCAGCACCGCAACACCAGGAAGTGTGGCAGTTGTTACAGTACATTTTGGTTGCTTATATCGGGGAGATTATATAACAGGGGGCGGGAGCCTCTTGTTGATTTGAGGCAGGTCATGTATGATCCTTTTGTGTTTTCCTGTGTGAAGAGTTGAACATCATTAACCTCCTTATTCATGTTTTATTGACGTATATCATGCTGTTTGGTATTTTTTTTTTTTTTTTTACAAATAGACAACCAACAAGCCTCTAGGTTACGTTTCGTTACGTTGTTAGGTTAGGTTAGTTTTGGTACTCTTTGGTTGTTGAGTAATGTGTTATTCCGATGTTAAAATCCATGGTTGTCCATCTGTAAAAGTTACCACTAATTTTTGTAAGTTTAAATTTTATTTATTATATTTTTCATTTTAGAAATGTATGGTAGAGATACTGTTGACAATTGTGTACTGTAGTTCATGTTGTGTTGAAAAGGATTTATTTACGTATAAAAGAAAAACATCATTCATGTTACTTGCATTCAGAGATTTAGTATAGTTAAGGAAAATGATCTGGGTTAACTGGCTCGCTAAATGAAAAGGTAAATTTGCATAAGTGGGCCCCATTCCAGCTTAAATCGCGCAATTTTTCGGTAATCGTTTCCAACAGAAATGCCATAAAAGAAATGTCTGATAGAATAGTCTGAACTATGCAAAAAAAATTATTTTAATGAAGAAAATTTGATTTGGACCCACTCTTTCAGCAATACCAGTGAAAACTATTAATAGAAGAAAACATTCTTGCCTTAAGAATGCAGCATATCCAATGGAGGAATAGCACTGTGGTGTATTAGTTAAGAATAAATGGTAGTCTCTACTACCTACACTATGATATTTCACCATACAGTATAGAATAAGAAAGTGGATATTATTGATGACTAACCCGCCGACATATTATTTGTTTTGATGTTTATATTCTTACTATATTTTCATCAATGAGTTCTGATATGAAAATCAATTTTTATTTTTTTATTTATTCTTTTGGTAGATAATTAGGCGACTAGGTGCGCACTACTTTGTCTTTCTCGGCGGTATGCAACCAGTTATCTCCAATCGACGCCATTTGCCAGTGTATGTTTATGAGTCACACAAACTGGGTGGCTGCTCTCACGTTCATGAAAAAATGTAAAAGCACCATATTATAGTAAGTTCTTTTTGTTTAATATGCTGGGGGTGGAGGCAGGTCAGGAGGGTTAAGCCTCACGACTTGGAAGTTAAGTAAGGTTAGGTAGGTTTATTTGGTTAGGTTGATGAGGTCTTCTAACATCGCTTCTGCCGCTAGTTTTTCTTATCAACTTAGGTTAGGGTTAATTTAGAAATACAGTAACCACGTTTTAACACATTTGCCAAAACTACGAGTGTCCACTACAAAACACAGTGAAATTACAGTGATTTTAAATTAGTTTTCCAAGAAAAATCGGCGGCAGGTCAGTCGTCAATAATTACCTAATTTTCATACCAAGAAACAGTAGCAGTAACTATACAAAAAAATTTCTGAAGGTGTTGATAAACTATTCTGTCTTACAATTTCTAGTATTGTTAATGAGAGTAGGAGTTCCATTTTTTTTAATCTTAGTATTACCGGACTAGTTTGCCAGCAGCATCCATGTTTTTTCCTTGCACTTGAACACTTACAGCAAATGTTATTGCATTATACTGTATTGTACTATGATTGCTCATGAAGCAACAAATCCAACCTAATCCATCTCTCCTATGATGGAAGTATATAATTATACTTTATGTTAAGAAAGGTAGGTTAGGTTTCATTAAGTAGGTTTGTTTGGAAAGGTACAAAGGGAGGTTGGTCATTATTCTCTGGCTGGCTGGGAAGCATTCCTTGCTTTGTTCACGGTCTGTATGGGAATAATCATAAAGAAAATGAACCAACCTAACTCTCCTCTTTTTGCCAGTGTCTTGAGGAGGCTTAATATATTTGCATATACAGTAGTACAGGTACTGGAAATGAGTTTGGCTTTTTTATTACGAGTTAAGAAATTATTATTTTTTTCTCTTTTTTTTCTCTTTTTTTTTTTTCACTATTGCATGCACACAATCTTTCATACAGAATGCACCAAAAAATTATGATTATAATAAGGTTAAAAACATGAAGGGAATAAAAAAAATTTGCATCTCCGGAAATTGTGGGAGGGAGGTGCAATGTCGGTATCTTAGCGTCCAGCCAAAGTGTGAGCTGTGTTAATGTTATTTTTCAACTTCTATTTTCAAGTAGATACTGTATGTGCAATTTTCTTCATTTTGTTTTTATTATGTTCGATGCACACAATCTTCGTACAGAATGTGCAAAATAATTGTCATAACGTAAAAAAACATAAGGGATTAAACATTTATTACGTGTGAGGGAGGGAGGGCGCAAGCAGAGTTCCGTCACCCTCACATCTTTGCTGTCTTGTGCGTAGTGATATTGCCAAATGGCAACGCAGTATTTTTCCTTTTCTTTTATTTATTATTATTTATTCCTCACATTTACCGGTACAGTATATATTATTATACTGTATATACAAAGAATAAGTTCTTCCATACGCAAACCAAATTCTGGGCAATGTGACATGTTGAACTGCATAGCCTGGCAATCTCCATTGACGGGCAGAACATCCCACTCATCCCGTAAGGTAATGTACCAAAGTTAAACAGTATTTTATTTTTTACTTATTTATTTTTTTCATGTGTTTGGTAGTATTTTATAGCTATGTTTACCATTTATCATTAGTTATTTATTTTATTTTTTTTAACAACCATTTATATCTCGAGGGATACCTGTAGTGGAAACCTTTACTCTTGGCCATCTCCAATGTTAAATACAGTCTAAGAATATGCTGCTGTCATCTGGTGAGGTTTGTGTCCTCGCTCTTTTTTTCAGTTAAAGCTCCATTGATTTTACACTATCACACATCAATTTTTCAGATAGAATTCATTGCTATACTGTACATGAACACCAGTGGTTCTCTATCTTATATGACCCACAGGAACATTCACCTGGAAATGAGATGTCCATTGAGACTAACCAAAGGAAACATAATGTTCATGGGAATTTATGTTACTGTAGTTTCGATGATGTATGAAAAGGTAATTTATAATTTTTTTTTTTCGGTAGATCCAGCAATGGCTCGTGGACATCAAAAGGCTCAGTCACAAGAAAAAAATAAGCTGCGGCAAGCGGCTGCAAAAAAGTCGGGCCACAATGCCAATCAGCAGAAAAAAGCTGCAATGAAAGCCCTCACTTTTCAATGTCCTATATGTAGGGTAAGTGAATGGAAGTTGTTTAATACTGTAGTACACTGCACATATACAGCAACCCTTCGATAACCATGGTTTTTAGTATCAACAAATTTTTATTTACAGTAAACCCTCGGCACATATGGGACTCTGGCCTTGCCGAGTTGTCCCAAATTTTTACTTATCCAAGGCACTTCCCCCCTCCCACAAAAATACAACAATAAAAAATTATTGACCTATATATGTGTACAGTACATGTAATTACTAAATGTAAAAAAGTATCACTTACGAGCACTGCAGGCAAAGACTGAAGCATCATAGCAGGTGACACAAACACATTTTAGGTGGTGATGCAGGTGGCCAGATATGCTGAGATTTTCCCAGATAATTGTATACAGTCGGCCCTTAACATACGCGGGGGTTAGGTAACAGAGATACCCGTGGATGTTAAAAATCAGCGTATTTTTGTCCCCCCCAAATCTGGCCCCCCGTGTCCTTATTTACCGTATATACCTGTGTGTAGTTCAAGTTATACTAATACATTCCGAGACCATATCCATGACAATTTATATGAAATTCCGAGTTATCGAGGGTTTAATGTATTTGTTTTTCCAACCATGGATTTCAGGAGAATTCTAGCCCAGTTTGGCAGGAATACTGCGGAGTCAGATCTGTCAAGTGGTCAATCTCATTCACCTTGAGTTTTGTTCTTCAAATGATAGCTTTTTAATACCTTGCTCAGATTCTCTTTAAATCAATTTGCCTCTTCTCATCCTTTATAATACAGTGGTCCCTCGGTTAACGAACACAATTCGTTCCAGAAGGTTGTTCGTTAACCGAAAATTTTGTTAACCGAAACCATTGTTTCAATGGGATTTTGGGTAATTGGTTCAAGCTCACCGAAAATTACATACAAACTAAAAATAAATGCTGTAAAGTACACTTACTTTGAGGTGTGTATGTAGAAGGCTCCTGGTTGATGATGATGGGAATTATAAGTGGGGGTGGAGGAGAAGGGAGAAGAGAAGGCAGTGGGATGGAAGAGAAGTCACCCCATGCTGCCATTTCACCCATAAAATTTTAAGTTCACTTGATGTAATTCAAGATTATTTTCTTTAAATCAACACTGCACTGCATTATATATTGTCAATATGTAAAATAAATTTCAGAATGACCAATAATTGTACTGTAAAAACATAAAAATAGTTTTATGTTCAAGAGAGTCTCAAGCAAGATGCTTCCTCCACTGAGCAGACACAAACTGACGCCATTCTGGGTGAGTCAAGTGGCTGTTTGGCACACTAAAAACTAGTTCCCTGTACTTCAATTATGTTAAATAATTGTTAAAATGACTAAAAAATTTAATATAAGACTTAGAAAATTATTGAATATAGTACAACCTTCTTGATATTTACTCAAATGGTAACAAATTTAAGCCCTAAAACCGATTACAGGGTACTGTATTGGAAGACTAATACTACAGCTGGTGAGCAGGCGAAAGCAGGCAAAAACATGGGAAAAATTCGAAAGGAATTCGTTAACCAAATTGAATATTCTTATGGAAGGTAATTCGTTAACCGAGGGATCACTGTATACACAATATGGCTCTACTGTCTTAGTAAGTCATCACTTAATATTTAGGGCCAGGGGGCAGCAACACCATTTGTGGGCCAGGTGTAGCCTCCCTGCTCATGAGTCAAAACTGTTTATACCTATATGGATAAAACTAAATATTATGAAAACCTCATTTTTTATCAAGTGGAAGGAAATTAATTCAACTCAACTGTGCTACAATGATGTACTGTACAATATATATACAGTACAGTATTTGTAAAATTAATATTTCTGAAAAATTTAGATTTTACATTTTCTTATGACATTAAAAATGTTCATTAAAATTTAAGTATTAATAAATGTATGGGAATAAATCAGCACAGGTTATCCAGAATGAAGAGGAATTAGTTTTTTCTTTCCAGGGAATGATGCCAGATCCAAAAACGTATAAGCAACATTATGAAAATAAACACCCAAAGGAGGAATTGCCTGAAGAGTTGAAGGACATCTGATGTCACAATGACCCTACAAGCCGAGGCTGAAGCCGTGTGCAACTGTAGGGCACCCATGTACCCAGGCGTACACCACCACCTGCACATGATCAAGAGAATGCTACTTTTTCTAGGTTTAAAGGTCTTGTTATTTTCAGGAGACTTCTACTGATTCTCGCCCATACTGAACATTGGTACAGCAAATTTGAAATGTTGAAAGTGTTTCTGTGGTTCTGAGTAAGGTTGTTTATCTCATTGGAGTTTAGGAGTGAATGCATTCACATGAAGGAACACGGTTGTGTTTGAAAAATACACATTTTCTCAGGGTGTGTTGATTTCTTTATGATTTAAGTCTGATTCTCCATTTTAGAGCTGTAGGGAAAGGTAATCTGAACTACATTTCTTTATTTTTAGTCATAGACTAGTGGAAATGTTGTTTAAAGGTGTTGAGTGTTAGGAAGATGCAGGACAAAGGTGAACAAGAAGTTAGCACTGATGGATACTAAACATCACTAACTTGGTCAACTAGCCAAAGATCTTATGGCAGTTTAGAATTTAATGTCTGTGATAAAGAAGCCAAAAGATGAATATTTATTACACCTGGTTACTTGGCTGCCCCACTGTGGTGCCTTGATCAGCCCGGCTGCCCCTCACTCCCTCCCTCCCTCCCTCGCCCTCAGACTAATCCTGTAGCTCATGTTGCTCTTCGGCAAAGATGTTTTAAGTTCCTTACTTGATTTTTGTTTATTATCTGGGTTCTCTGACATCCCTTAATAAAGAGAATGATAAAATAAAAGTTTATCTACAATATCTTAATTGTAAATTTTATGGATATTTATTTATTTATTTTTTTTTAATACAAAGTCATGACTACAGTAAGTCATAGAGATGATAACATTGATTGCAGTACACCTTGTTGGAAATGTGTGGTGTTCAAGAGGTGATCTTCAATTGAAAAATTTGTCAGCACAGGTTTAGAGCCAAATATTTTCAGGTACTTGACTTTCTTGATTCTTAAACTTGTTCCTCTTTCTTGCATGTTTTGGGAACATCGGCAAGGTTTTGCTCTCTTGTAATCTTGCGTATACTAGCAACAAGCCAGAGAGCTAACTCTTGACAGCTTTGCTCTAGCATTTATAATATTCATGTCGCCCATTCCACTTGTTAGTTAGCCAGCATTGAGGGAGGATAGACTGTCGGTGCTGCACCAACAGCCAACCAACCAAATGGCTTATATAAATTTTCACATTAGTCAAGACTAACTAACAGTGGGGATGAGTCTGTTGTTTTCCATCTTGGTTGAGTTACAGCAGAGGGTCTGACTCCTTAGTGTCTATATTCTGACATTGAGAAATTGTGTGAAACATTTGTATTTGCTATTTTGGTGTGACATAGACAGTTTCCTCAAGCTGGATCTCCTTATTTGAGGACCCACCACTGCCTCACTCATTTAGGCTAAGTATTCTCAAAATTGCTAATTGAAGCTTTCTTTCTATTCACATGCAATTTAATAGGGCCTCATTTGTAGGCACTTCATTTCTTTGGGTTCTCAAGCTTACTTAAATGCACTTAATATTTGTTTAGAGGGAATCCCAATTAGTGTGTGGAGATCTTGCTATCATTGCCATTACCAGTGTCATCCTATATACACCAGGAAAGAACATTATTAGCTCAAGGTTTTATTATATTTTATATACATACCATGTAAATCATGGGGATAATAAAAGTGCTACCACTAATCTCAGCCTTTCCTTAACAATATAGTGGACAGTAGACTGTTCAGAGTACAGCACCATGTGTGTCCTTTTGTTTGCAATAGTAGACTTCCTATTTGTGGTGGTGTTGGCATATCATTTGACATCATGGTTCATCCAGCTAGCTGATCATAGTTATTGTTGCTCAACAAAAAGAACAACATAATGGAGCACATTATTGTTGCTCAACAAAAAGAACAACATAATGGAGTACGTTATTGTTGCTCAACAAAAAGAACAACATAATGGAGTACGTTATTGTTGCTCAACAAAAAGAACAACATAATGGAGAATGGGTAATCCCTCAGTTCCTAAAAAGTATTGTGCCAAACAAGTGTTGTGTGAAATTAATAGTCAAAGCTCAAAATCCAAGTCCATACCACTAAAAAATCTGCATAGATTTGGGTTTAAATGCACATTAAGTTTCCAGGAGTGAGTGGTGTGGTGGCATTTATTTGTTTATATGTACAGTGTTTCATTTATTAATTTTGATATCTTTTGGTTGCATAGCAGTGATAAGCACTTACCAGTACTGTACTTATACAGTACAACCTCCATAATTCACACTACCCTAATTCAAAATCACCCATCAATTGTAATGATTTGCTGTTGTGAAATACGTATATGTAACAAACTTCATAACATTTTGTCAAATTTCAAATTATGAGAAATTTACAAATATGTATGATGCACATGTTGCTATGGGATCCAACCGCCCGCCCCAGTGTAAACAAGTACCCTGTATATGCATGTCGGTCAGTTCACGCGGGTCAGTTGTGGAGTGAATGTCTACTGTCTGCCACACAAGCTTTTTCCACTCATTTTTCCATCATTGCCCACCAATGTTTGAGCCATTATGTCTGATAACCCTAAATCTGGTACTGTACAGTACTTAAAAACGTTAAAATTTTAATTGGGGCAGATAACGTAAAGGTACCACGGTTTTGTTTGTTTTCCCATGGGAGAAGGTGTCCCTCATAATTTGTAAAACCCCAAATAGAGGTTTTACTGCAATCTCATACTAAAACACTAATTACTATTTTTATATTCTATTTATGTATTTGTACCTTGAATTTTTTTTATTACATACAATTACCATTTACAAGCTATATTTTAAGCAAATCCATAATCTGGACTCCAAACAATGAATAATGGCAATGTAGCAGCAACACACACACACTGTATCTCTAACCAAAACACCACTACACCATCATTTTCTTAATTTTTGGTTTACCTTTTTACATGCAAATTTTCTACTATATAAAAGTGATATTCTCACTTATTTGTGTATCTTTATTACATGAAAATACTATTTAAAAGTGATCTTGTCACTTATTGCTTACTTTGCACTGATGATGTAGCTTGTAAATCTAGAAAGAATAGCACAGTACAACATGCATGCAAGGTTAACGAGTCAGAATGGACTGGAGCAAAAAAAAATATATCCAGAACACATTTCTATTGATCATGTTAACCTCTGGATTAAATACAGGGGGTCATTGATATCCCTGGTTTTGCATTTAAAAGGCCAAATTATTGCTGAACAGCAAGCCCTTCAAATACGCGGGGGCTAGGTTCTCAAAATGGCCGCGAATAACATTTGCTGACCCGGGGAAGGGGAGTTGGGTTTACATTTTAACTTGTGTACAAAGAAATGTATTCTATTCCCTTTGTGTTTGCCCTAAGGACAATTATTTCTTTTACCTGTATTGCATATATTGTGTGTGTAGACACACACACAAAACTTATACAAATAAATAATAATGGGAAAATTCACAAATAATCAGAAAAAATTTATTACAAATGTTGAGTCTACCCTTAAGTCTACTCTATGCTCTATTAGTAACAAAGCATGGAATGGAGTTGAGGGTAGACTCAACATTTTTAATAAATTTTTTCTGATTGGATTTTGCCATTATTATTTATTTGTATATGTTTTGTGTGTGTGTACAAACACACACATACAGTATATAATACAGGTAAAGGAAATTACTGTCTCCAGAACGAATGGCTCCCTGTCCTGGCCACGAAAATGCCAGCAACTTTAAAACTAACCTCAAGACATTGTTGGGTGCACCCAGGGTGTCATCCGCAAATAATAGAGGACTGCAAAACAAAAATCCACGAATTAACCGGGCATACTGTATGTGTAAAAAGTCCTATTAGGAGAAAAAATATCCGCTATACCGCCAAGCATCCCCCAATTTCTACCACACTCATCCCCCATACAGTGCAATTCCTTTTATCAGAACTCCTCGGGACAAATGGCGGGTCGATGACCCATGCCCGGGTGGGGAAAACACTGGGGATGAGTTGGCCTGAGAGATGGCATGTAGCCATTGTTACATGTAATGAAACTATGACAGTTGTGGAATAATCATTACAATACAGTGGTCCCTCGGTTAACGAATTACCTTCCATAAGAATCTTCAATTCGGTTAACGAAAAAAAATTGGATTAACGAAATCCTTACGAAAATCACATTTTGTTTTGAACATCAGCTGATAAGCTGAGGAGGTACTCAGCCAATTCAGTGATCTCTTCTATGTTTACATTCAAATTAATCACTATCTTATAAGAATTCCAGCAATGCAAATTAAATTCACCCGTCACTTCCATAAAATTTTATAAGCAAAAATAAAAAACTTATCTAACGGACAATTAAATACTTCACACCACAGGTGCCAACTGTCAAACATGTCACTGTCACCCTTCCCTCCCCACCTTCCTGAGAAAAGTTTGGGGTTAGAGGACTAGGTTTAAAAATAACTAATACCTCAGACCAAAGTTAGGATAATATAATTTGCATTGCTGAAATCCTTGCAAGACGGAATAATTTGAATACAGTGGGGTATGCTATAACGAATCTAATTGGTTCTAGAACCTTGTTCGTTATAGCATTCGTTCGTTATAGGATTAATCCGTTCCAGGCCCCAAATACAACCACTTAACACTGAAAAATATAATATAAAATTGTAAAAAAGTGCATAAATATGCATCTAAACCCCTGAAATAAAGAATATCATTAATACTTGTAATAAAAAAAACAAATTAGTAAAAAAAAAAAAAAAATTTTTTTTAAATAATGTTCGTTGTAGGAGTTTCGTTCGCTATAGCATTCTCAATTTTATAGGTAAAACCGTTTGTTATAGGAATATTCGTAGTAGGATCCGTTCGTTATAGCATAATAAAATTATTAAATTAATCTAAAATTTTTGTCTAATGCAAATTTTAGCTTGTTTATATTCAAATTAATCACTATCTTATAAGAATTCCAGCAATGTAAATTATATTCTGGCCGGGTAATTTCTATGAATTTTATGAGCTAAAAACAAAAATCCCAAATAAATAAACAAATTATATTTCACCAGACACTATCTGTCACCTCACCGCTGGCTCCCTGCCTCCTTTCGTTCCCAGACAAAAGTTTGGTGTTTTCTTTTATGCTTTAAGGTGTTTATTTTATATAACATCTCAGACTAAGGTTAGGATAATATAATTTGCATTGCTGGAATCCTTGCAAGACAGGGAATAATTTGAATATAAACGTCATATATTTTGCACGAGATAAAATTAATCACCTGTATCACATTACAGTAGTGATTTAAGAGTTCTAGTGTATATGTACGATATATATATAGTGATTTAAGGGCAATCTAGGGGAATTTTAGGAGTGTTTCTGACTTTATGCATTTTTGGCTTTACTGTACTTTGTATATACTTTTCTGTGAGCCCATTGAAACAATGGTTTCGGTTAACAAACGACCTGGAACGAATTGCGTTCGTTAACCGAGGGACCACTGTACTCTATTGTGGCTTAGAAATAACGAAATTATACATACTAATATAAAACTATAAAATAGGAAAACTTAAGAGCATAGGTATGATGTGTGGCAAGTATGCGTGGAGGCAGTGGGTTATAATTTTTATTTTTTTTCCGAAAATTAGCCCACCCGGGCACAGGTCACTGACCCACATTGGGGCCTGGGGGGCAAAAATGTAATAATAATAACAACAATAATATTAATAATTAGTTCATAGTACATAAATTTGATAATAAAAAATAAAATAATAACAATACTAATACTGTAATAATAAAAATAAAGAACCATAAAGAAATAATTTTTTTTTAAAAAGATCAATAGTGAGAAACGATATATGTATGCTGTGTCCTCAAAGTAAGAGAAACAATTGAGACCCTGCATTGCCCACTTGCCACCCAGTGGGACCCACCCGGCCCATGCTCCCTTCCCCTTATGTGACTTCATGGCATGCATGTGTCTTGGACACTTCGAGTCAGCTGGGTAACTGCACACCGTAGACAGTGTCTAATCTCATGCGGTTTTTTATTGTTTTTTGCGTGCAGTCTTGAAATATTGCTATTGTTTTTAGCCATGAGTTCAAAGCATAGTGCTAAACTAAATGCTGTTCCTTAAAGGAAGCATAGTAGCTATGGATTGAATGTGAATTAGACATTATTTGTCAGAAGAAAAGTGGTGTGATGATAGACATATTGCATGCTCTTGCAATTCCAGAGTATAGATGATAAAAGGTATAAAAGTAATCATTTTGAGTCATTTATTATCTTATGGTCCCATTCAGACCCTATTTTCATTATATCTTGGCCAGAAATTCCTAGTGATTTTCCAGTCCCTAATAACCTCAGATAATGAGGACCCCTGTATTGTAATTTCATGATAAAGTACTGTCTGAATCGGCACACGGGGCTGGCTAGATTATGTTGCCAAGTAGGCATTTATTTTTCACATGTGAGCTTCTCAGTAGCATCTCAGCTTTTGTGATGTAGGGATCTCGCTCTTCAACTTGGCACACCTCACCACATGTTCTACCCAACCCCAAGTGTAGTAGGAGACTCTTGACCATCAACAGATTTGTGATCATGATTAATTACTGGAAGCAGTAATATTAACTGTAAATAGTCGTGTAAATAGTAATAACATTATACAACAAGTGTCCTGTACCTCATACTGCCTACAAATCAGTGTTGTTTACCTTGTACAGTACTGCCAACCTCACCCGACTGCCTCATGCACACACCACTTCATGCGCATTCTTGACTCTTCCTAGTCCCTGTGGTAAGGATATATATTTCTTTACTGTTCATATCATGTATGACCAATTTGTAAGACTACAATAATTTTTTAAATATTCCCCAAATATACCCACATTGGGGTGGGGGGGCATATGCCTACCATAGTCCAGTGCCTGGGGGGTTAAACAGAAATGGATCATGTCTTATGAAAGCTGTAAAAATGGAATCATGTGTGAATGTGTGTTAACCAAGGTGTAAATGTATACAGGTAGTAAGTGAAGAATTGATATATTGAGCAGAGAAATAAAGGAAGTGTGAGGTATTGTGACATGACTTCCCCGAGTTGTAAACCTAGGTACCCATTTACAGTTGGGTGAACTGGGAGCACCCGGGAATCGAACCACTGACCCCGGGAACAGGAGGCGAGCGCTGTATCTACTCAACCGCTGCACTCCTGTGGCACGTGTTGGTGCCGTTATAATTCTGGTAATTGGCTGGCAACCTCGGCTTGTAACGTGTGTACTATTTTCATGTTTCAAGTTAAGAGTAACAGGAGTTAACATACAGTACTTTGTTCATCCTTGTTACAGTATATGGAAGTCAACTCTGACCATCAGCTTCAGGCCATATATAAAAGCATCAAACCTCCTAGTGCATTACGAGGTCACTGTCAACCCTCCCCCTTTTTTGTAGGGCAAGAAACGATCTCTTTCACACAATCTTTATTTAAAAATAAATCTTGAGCTTTCAAGGCTGGGAACATTAGAATAATTCCCTATTTATTATTTTTATTAACATCTATAAAACCTTCCCAACAGATTTTTCTGAATTAAAAAGTTATTAATGACAAAGCCTAAAATTTGTACCTTGTACCTATATAGTACATAAATTTCTATAAAGTTATATCAATACAAATGAAGGAGTTATCCTCAAATCCCATTTATGGTAGAGCCCACAACCAATTGACACCTGCATAGTGGCAGGCAAGTAATGAAGTATCTGTATTTGTACAGTATTTGTAATCGATTACAGTAACTCAGTAGTTTTTCCAGTTATCTAACTAATTACTTTCTAGGATGATTACTTTTTGCTTGTAATCAAGTAAAAAAAAATATCAGTAGTAACTACCATTTCTTTTTTGTGGGGTTAAGCTTTGCAGATACTTTTTTTTTCTTAAATTTTTTTCTTTATTCTCCAAAGATGTTTATCACATATAATAATGGAGAAAAAAAATGGTAAATTCATAGGTAGATATAATTAGATAGGGGGTATTTTTGTGAGTTTAATGATAATTTCAGACAAACAAGAAAAATTTTCTTCTAAGGCACTTTTGGCACATTTTACCCATAACCGAGATATCGTAAGCTGAAAATTGGAAACTACTAGAAAGGCTATTATTGCATTTGTTGCCACCAATCGAATTTAGGGAATTTCGTCTTTGCAAACTAGAGTTTAAACAATTCTAAGACACATTTTTTCTGACATTAACCCCCACAAGTGTCCAGTGGAAACCTCTAATGTTTGGTAGGGTCACACTGGATAACAAATTTCTCACGTGTGTCTGGACCAAGCAGGACTTGAACCCATGGCCTATTGGGAGAAATACTTGTGCAATCTCTGTACCAACACTATTCGAGAAAATGGCCTGGCACTGTCCCAGTAGAAAATGTATGAAAGTTAATAATATAATAGTGATTACAGCATGAATTATTTTTTTATTATTTCGCATGTACTACGAGTCATGTGTGAGCCGAGTCACATGGGTTCTGGATTAGAGCAAGACAAACCTGCCTCGCCAGCGTAAAGTTGAGATAATGTTTTGATTTTTTGGCAGTCATAAAAAAAAATCGGTGATTTGCAGCCTACTGTACCAAGCTAATCTTGTAAGGAAAAATAGATGTGGAACTGAAAAAATAAAATAATACTGTTTTGTATATCAAAACAGATGGCTATTTATGCTTTTAAAATTTTGATATGCCTTCTGGAACATAAATTTTGTGCACATGTCACTGACAACACCTCAAATCATTAGCATCACCCTAAAAGAAAAGTACAGTCATCCCTTGGTTATAGCGCACTTGGTTATCGCGGTTTTCATTATCATGCCTCCATCAAAATCTGCACACCTGCCGTTATAGCGCAGTTTTCAGGCCGAGAATTTGGTTATCACGCATTTGCCTCCAGGTGTAATGTTACCCCCTTGCTTCACCTATATCTATTGAGGATAAAATCTTTCACCTACAAATTGACAATAACACATTTGCTGTAATCAACAATTGCAACCCCAGTTGCAATTGGGGTTGCAATTTCAAATTCTGTGTCATTACTAAGGAATAACGAAGTCTCGGGTGCACTCTAAGATTGAGAGAAAACAGAGGACTCAGGTGTCCTGAAGCGAGAAAAAACGGACTCCTATGACGGGGGACTCAAATAAAGAAAAGCATAGCTACATGTTTTGTGGACTACAGTATTGAGCGTACCCTTTTCATCACTTTGTAATAAACCTAGCCATACCTATGTGTGTTTCTGATATTTACCATAAGATTATCTATATCTTTAGTGGGTCTAAATGGTCGTAAAATGGGAAAGTTGGGGTTGGGTCTTGGGTGCCTGGAACCAATTAGAATAAATCCCATAGGTTCTGTACTTTCGTTATCGCGTTTTTCGTTATCACGCACTCGGCGCGGTCCCAAATAGGCCTGATAACCAAGGGATGACTACTGTATAAGCAAAACAAAAAACATTACTTTCAATAGTCTTATTGTTTGCAGGTACAGTGTTTATTGCAGGCATGGTTCTTAAACATTTTCCATTTCCCCTCGCATGTTCAGTTGTACCAGAACTTTTACTCCCTTTTTTCTGATTGAACTAAGGTTTCTGAATTTGCAGGTTTTTCAAGAACCTAATCCCATGAATATCAACGGTCTACTGTAGTACTGTACGGCAATTTGCTAAGACGACCTTTGTTCATACAATAAAAAAATCTGGTGGTAAATGGTTTCATTTTATATCCTTGTGGGGCTTTGTATTCCCTCTTCATCCCAAGCAGAGTTAAAGAAAGAGATAATAAATATGTGGCAACTCCATCATTTATATTGATAAGCTAGACTAGTTTATATATTTCTGCAGATAGTCAATCAACATCCATGTATTTATTTTTTTAAATAAAGATTTATCCAACAGCAATGTACCAATTTGTATAATATCCCCAAAATACTAACTAGTGACTTGCTTCGGTCACTCCTGTACAAAAATTTTATATTTCAAATTATACTACTGTATATAAAAAATATTGTGTTACTTATATAGATTTCTTAAAATTCAATATTGTACATAGAAAAATATGTTAATAAGGGTATTACAACTTCTTAACAATTAAAAAAAAATTCATACAAATAAGAAGAGTTTGTATTGGTACAAATAAATACATTATCACATTCTTACCTTCTTCAGCTTGTAAGTTATACACTTATCTCCAAGTCTCATTTTTCCTGAGTAACTCATCTAGTAAAATGACTATGAAACCTTAAGGATCTGTTGTTCATCAGGTGAGTCTAGACCAGTAATACAAGCCACTGTTGAGTTATAAAGCAATCCTTAATAAATGCGGAGGGAGTTTTCAAAAAGGATTGCCAGGTCTTCCTCACTCTGTTCCCGCGGTGCCAGTTTAGTCACACGGTGCTGTAATTATTATAAAATGAGAAATTTACAATTGCCTACACTTAAGAGATGAAGACATGAGTATTTTGTCTATGTACTGTGGTTGGCCCTCTAGTCTTAACCATCCACGAGTTCTCCCAAATCCAGTTTAATACCACCATATTATTACATTGTGTGTTGAGAGTTTACTAAGGAGACTACATTTTATGTGTAGTTTCCTAATTCATAATAGTATAGTATTGTCTTATGGTTTCTTCTAAAACAACCAAAACATTACAATTATGTAGCCTCAGAAAACTGTTGACATATGTATTAATATGGTGGTAAGAAACTGGGTATGGGAGTAGTCATAGGTGGATAAAAGGAGATGGGCAACCACAGTGTAGATCCAAAACATGTGAAGCTTGCAAGGTTACATGTAATGGGTAAAATACAAGTGATATGTTATCACAAGTTTCATTCATCATGAAAAATAAATGGATGAAAGCAACTATCAATCTAGCTATTCCATCTTAGTTGTGGGTTTCCATAAAATTAATCTGAGACAGCATAATGGATAAATAATGGGATGTATTTCAAGAAATGATCATTCTTCATTAGAACTTTCCCCCAGTCAAAACAATGATAAAAATAAAGTTACTACCTGTATTGTGGAAAATCTGAAAACTCACTTGAGGCAGTGTTCCCTTCACCAGTGCAGGGATATCTTCCGATGTGAACCCAAGAGCTTCAAGACCATTCTCCACCTTCATGTCATCCATGTAACCTAGCAGGACATCAGCCAAAGCCAAGCCTGAAAGAAATATTTTAAGATTCAGTGTGATACTTCACAGCAGGTACAGTAATCCATATGGGGTAACAGTACTTGTTGTGTATGGTAAGAGTGTTTACTTTATACATGGTTCTGAAATATGAAAAACGTTTTAGGAACACATCTACAGTATTTTGTAAAAAAGAGGGAACCAATATAGTACAGTATTTTCAAAACACGAATCTCATTTTATGTGAGGGTTATGTTCTCCCAAAATGTTTATAGAAAACAAATTCACAAAAAGAAAACATTTGTACTGGCCATACATATAATAGGTGTACACTCAAGGACCTCTACTACCCACCCCCTCAAAAAATAAATAAATAAATAAAAATCCATTGAAAAATTCCCCAATCATCATCAACGAGGATACGAAACCACTTGAGATACACCATTTTCTTTAGGGTCTGGTCCACAATCTACACTCCAAGCATCTCCATTTTTTCAAGGTGAGGACTTCCACCTGCACCACAAGGGGTCACAGCTCAAGGTTGAAGAAGCCATGAGGGCAAACTTTTTCAGAGTGAGAATTGTGAATTCTTGGAACAAACTGCCAGTGTTGTGACTGCACTGAGTATGAGCTCTTTCAAGATCAGACTTGACCAACACTGGAGCAGGTTCAGATATTTTCAAGAGCCAATGCATGTCCATTACTTGCCAACAGTGCATAATAGACATGACCAACTGCCCAAGCAGCTAACAAGGCAATCAGTGGCGAATAGGATAAAAGTAAAAGTAAGAAGTAAAAGTATTCTTGCCATTAGTTTCATAAAAAGATATGTTGAGTGCATCATTGAGCCTCATTTTACTGGCAATCTTAAAATGGTGGTTATTGTGCTTGCCCCAAGGCCAAACACACGACTATGTTGAGATGTACTGGGTTGGCCATTTTGGAGAGATGTGCAGAAACATATTCTTGCATCTTCCCCCAACCTGCGTCTTGTTCCGCCATTTCCAATCCCTTGTGATGAGCCCTAACTACCCTTCCTTAACCCTTTCGCTGTGTTTCCTGCACTTGCCATTTTATTCTGGCCACCGCCAGACGATTTTATTCAGCTTTGGGTAACCTCCCGCAGCCAAAAGATTGAAACCTATCTCGATTAACCCTCTTGCTTCATTTTCCGCACTTGCCATTTTATTTTGGCTACCGCTAGACGATTTTATTCAGCTTAGGGAAACCTTCCGCAGTCAAAGGGTTAAGATAACTGCTCTCGCCATTCAGTTCGTTTGTTTGAATTCACAGACGATGGTGGCGGTGTGCTTATTAAAGTGTTACACTTAACACCACTGGTGGCATTGTTACCAAGTTAGACTCATCACTGTAGTCACACCTCCCCCAGCTCTCTCGCTACCAAGCCGAGCTGTAAGCTATGTTAAATTTATTTTTCAACTATTAATTTCAGGTAGATAAACTTTTGTCTTATTTTTTCTCAGTTACATACACACACAGTCCTACAAAGAGAATGTGCAAAAAAATATATGTATACAGAATAATCCAGTCAAAAACAAAAGAGGAATAAACATTTTTTCATGCACCAGCAAGAGTTAGCTAACTCTGGCTGAGTGGGGGAGTTATGATACACAGGGTAGTTATTTTCCAACTCGTAATGCCAAGTGGATAAACTTAACTTATTCCTTCTTTTTTTTTGCTCAGTTACATACACACATAATCCTTCATACATAATGTGAAAAAAGTAAATAAATGAATAGCGTGAGGTAAAAAACATAAAGGCAATAAAAATTTATTTGTGTGCGAAAGTTAACACACTGAGCACGGGAGTGGGCAGGGAGAACAGAATGCGGGAGCCCTGTTGCTAAAGGTCGGCAGATGCAGTGTTCCAGTGGGCTGTGTTGCTATGGCAAAGGTTGAGGCCACACAGCCAGAGTCGTGTGAAAATAGAGGTTGCACTAAACTTTCATTTAGCTTTTCCTTAATGGTTTTAGCTGTATATTTTCATCTAGCATATAGTCTTTTATTAATGTTTTATGTGTTAGTTTGGAAGGTGTTTTTGTTGTTTGTGAACCAATTTCATGTTTTTGGGGTATAATATGAAGTGGAGTTTTCTTGTCGATGGGGAAACAAACTCTATTTTTCCCATTTGTTCTGCTGATTGATATACAAAAATTTACCAAATGTTTTATCAACATTTTACTACTACAACAGAATAAGAAAATATATCAAGGAGCATCACCTGCATCCTCTCTCTTCACTCTAGTGATATCTTTCCCAAGAATGTGTGCAGCCTCCAAGTGACGTTCAGGACACATAGGGCCCGTGAAAGCAAACACTGCTGGAGCAGTCATCACCACTGACAGTCCATGGGGGATGATAGCATGGTCACATCTGAAATAAATACAGTGCAGTACAGCATATTGTGATTAAACTTGAGCTTGATCTGCTACAAGGTTATAGCTGTTTGTGTAATGCACTCACTGTTTGCATTACAAGTACATTAAAGTGAAACAAATCAAAAGAATTATTTAACACCTGAAGTGTTATATACTTGTGAGAAATCGTAATGCTTGAAACTTACTGAGAGACTAAGCCACTAGTTGTGATGCAGTGCGAGACTGAGGCCCAGCCAAGACATATACTGTATCAGTATTCCTCACTATACAAATGTTTAAGATATGAAAATTCACTGATGAGAATTTCCTAAATTACCACTTCTTTTTTATGTTACGAAAGCTTCCCCAGCTTATAAGTGTTTGGGTTCTTGCAAAAATTCAAATCACGCACCCCCCGGAGTCAGCTGGGGCAGCCACATCCTCCTAGCCCTCTCCCTACCAGGATGAGGTGCGAGTTATGTTATGGTTATTTTTCAATACAGTACATAATTTTTGGTAGATAAACATAACTTTATTTATTCAGTTACATGCATTCACAATCTTACAAAAATGAAAAAAATGAGAAACATTATGTATGTTGTATTGTCAATAGTAAGAGAAACAATCGAGACCCTGCAATTGTGTTAATGAGGCAGAAAGTCAGATCAGCAACCTGGGACTTGGTCACAATTTTCGTGAAGCCATATGGCAGCAGGGTCTACCATTAGACAATACATTACTGTATGCTTCCCATATCTTCCCATGCGGTAGTACCTCCTTACATAGGTTTTTGACCATTCCATGTTAATATCTGCAAGAAATTAATTTTTTGGACGGCACTGGTGTGTCATTTAATTACAGAGGCAGTTCCTGACTTATGACGGGGATACATTCCTGGACCCTGATCATAAGTTGATTTGTTCGTAAGTCAGAACAGTTTTAATTCCATAGTTTAGGTTGGGTTAAAGCACATCCCTGCCCATACAAAAGAACTATAATATCTCATACATAACAAATAATGTAAATGCTGTAAATAAAGTGATGCTAAACAATATAAAATAATGAAAATAATGTAAATATGGGACTTTAATTACAAATTTTTGCGATGAATGTATTGGAATCCTGATCCTAAGTCGGATGCTCGTAATTTGGGGACTGCCTATAATTATCCTGCGGCGATGTATGAGTTAAAATATTTCCAGCCCATATACAGTGCAGTATATATAATAGCCCGACTATGTGTGTTTCATATAACAGACAGCACATCTAAATCATTGTAAGAAGAGACTGGGGATTCTCCTATAATTATATTCTAATGAAACACTACCAGAATAAAAATACTGTAACAGAGAAAACATATGCCAGTGTTGAGAGGATGTTATATTTACTGTATAAGGAATATGGATATGTCTTGTTATAACATACTTACTCATACTGTTCAGGGTGGAATTTTCTAACATTGCCAGATATTGGGTATGACATTCCATGACAGAGGTGAACCCCAGCATTGCCAAAGCCAATGCCAGCGAAAGCACTAGCTAGGTGCATCTTGGAGCGAGCTTCCACATCATCTGAGTTATACACTGACCTGTAAATGTTCATTTCTTAAAACAATACTAGAGACAAGCTCACAATACAGTACAGGTACAGTACTATAAATACAACTGCATCTACATAGTTAAATATATTCTTCTGTTCTTTGTATATTATATGTGTACTTTGTAGTGTTTAAAAGGCATTCCAAATATAATAAGGACCAACAGTATTCTATACCTCTTAATACAGAAAAATTATCTGTGAAATATTTATGTATGTTTAGTACATAAACATACTGTATACATATGTAAATGCACAAGTGTTCTGCATGTGCAAGCACACACATGCAGCACAGGAAAATAATAAAACTGGTAAATAATGTAGATAAGAAGTCAATTCTAACACGAAGTACTGCACAGTTATATCCTCACCTCTTGAAATACTTTGCCACTACACCTAGAGCATGAACAGCCCACACATCAGATATTGGGTTGGAACCTTGGTATGCTGGGCGCAATATTGGGTTCTCTGGGCAAGGAGACCTGTCATAGTAGGGTAATGCTGTGTACGACTCCAAAGCATGGCACAACACATCAAATCTGTGAACGATGACCTTATCATTTATGAGATATGGCAGTCAAAATACTTATATATTTATGTAGGAAAATGAGCAGCACTCAACATACTGCCTCTTGCAAATAATAATTATTTGTAAAATACATATTATAATTCATATGTCAGAACAGTCCAGCACAGTACAGTAATCTCTTCACGAGCCAGAATAATTAGTGCAGAGTGATTCCTGGTATTGAGACTTTTAGGAAACTGCCTTAACAGAAAGTTCAAGTTAACAACATTACGAGCAGTGTTGCACTTCATTGTATTTAGGTACACATACCCACTGTAGGCTGCAACTCTTTCTGGCATCAGGAGTGTGTGCAGTGGGTCAATGATGCCAAGGGTGGGGCGTAGAGCACGGCTGGCAATGCCCGTCTTAGCCTTCAAGGGCTCATAGTCAAATATTGCCACTCCTGTCGTTTCACTTCCAGTGCCAGCAGTCGTAGGAACTGCACAATAACTTTATGAAACACATCATCCATTTATGTATGGAAATGTCAATGAAAATGTAACTATAAAAATAGAGTACTGCATATAATTTAACCAAAGACGCATTACTAATCAAAGCAATAATCCTCGAAAAGTTTACTAACCGTACTCACTAAAATATGTATTAATTATACATAAGTGTTTAAAATATCAAGAACTGTACTGTATAACACTTGACCTGGTACAGAGCGTCTCCCATGCATGCTCCATATGCTCGATCCCATCAAAATGCCTTACAGTGGAATATGAAAGCTGAAGCTAGCCCGTATGGTTTGAAATATTACTGTAGGGCACCGTAATTTTTCTTTGCAAATAAGCAGGGTATGCTTTTCGAATATCAAAGAGGGGTGTTAAAATGTCAATTGCGGATAAGCGGGGTTGCAAATAGCGAGGTATTCCTGTGCTAATATAACCTAGTAACTCCTGAAATAAAGGGGTTTTATCAGATGTTAGTGTAAAATATAATATTTACCAGCAATCAGTGGAGAGAGCTTGACTGTAACAGGCTTCCCCTTTCCAATAGGAGGATTGACATAGTCCAAAAAGTCAGCTTGGGGGTCCGATGCATATAGGTTAGCAGCCTTGCACGTGTCTATGACAGACCCTCCACCCACAGCAATGTATGCATCAAAACCTCCAGCCTTGGCAAAGTCCACTGCATCCTTGAAGCTGACAGTAGAATATATTTTGTGAACTAGATGAAAAAATATTATATGATATGTAGAAGAGAAAAGATGACTGGATACGACTGAATATTTGTTTGATTCTTAAATCCCTTACATTACATTATAATTAAATGTCATCATCATCATACCACTGTTTATAGATATTGGATTAACTGTGATTACCTAAAGGCAGCTCTCTAAGCTACATGGTTTAATAATTTCTTTTCTCTGAGGTCATTCAAACTCATGCCTTCTTGACTCAATTCTCATGAACTAACCTAACTTAATCTTAGCCAATGTATACACATATTCACAAAACCTCGCCGAAACCTTCAGTACTGAGCCACCCGCTAAGCTTTGAACAGGGTTTCCAATCTCTCAACATTACATTAAACACCATTTTTTTTACAAATGAGACAAGAAGACATATAAACTGCAACTGTGATATTTAAGGGATGTAGCTAAGTCTCACCCTTGACTATAATGGCTCATACTAATGAAAGATTTAGTAATACCCTCCCATTATAACTATAGCCCTTAACCTCTAGGCTTTGATTGATGTCATATGATGTTTGGTAATTTTGCAGTATTGTTTGAATCACCAAGCAGGCCTGGCTAGAGTATGTTGTCAAGCAGGCGTACATTATATCTTTCACTCGCTCATACAAGCTTCTCAACCTTTGTGATGTACAGATCTCATCCTTGGACTTCAAGCGCCTCACCACATGTTTCTACACCCCTAACCCAAAGTGTAGTAAAGAAATCTTGACCATCAACAGATTCATGATAAATTAATGGCGGCAATAATAATAATTGTAAATAGTAATATCATAATAAAACAAGTGTCCTGTACCTCATACTGCCTACCCTCACACACACACACACACCATAGCCCGGTGCCAGGGTTAAAACAGATTAATAGAAGCAACAGTTATTACTTATGGTTCACAGCCTGAGTGAATCTTAGTACTGTACCACAATTGTCATCAGCCATACTTGATATCCAATATACTAGCCTCAATTTAGCCAAACTCCAACAAAAAGCCCATTGTGAGGTGAAAGGGTCCCAAGTTTCTGTGTCCTGATGCAGCTATAAAATGGGATGCCCAGGATAAATACTTCAAGCATAACCTCAAGTCAGTCAAAGAGGTTCATGTAACTTCAGTAAAAAATTAAACTTCCAATAGTATTGTGACTTGGAAGGAAGGTAAATAAATACCTAAAGTAAGTTACTGTACTAGGTACTAAGAACTAACCTTCTCTCCCCATCACTTACATAGCTAATACAGTTGCATTTATCCTAGCCAGAGGACCCACTCCCATAAGTGAATTACAATGACAAGGTATCTCTTAATAAAAGTGGAAACAGAAAATTTATCATGGAATTTTCAGTTCATGTTGCCCCAAGAACATTAGATCCATTGAGTGCAGTCCAGCTATGTAAGATAGACATCTTCCCAAAGACATATACTGTGTTTCAGAAATGCACACAGATATGATCCAAAACACATCTATGAAAACCTAAACCAAACCTTAATAACATTGCCAATAAAGGATGATACTATAATACTTTATCATTATACATGAACCTCACTCATAATGTAAGGCAAATAAGAAAGTGTACATAATAGGTTTAATGAAAATGTTCAAAGTACAGTAATACACTTGACAGAGTTTAACCAAATCTCTCACCTCAAAACTCCAAAATGGTTGCCACTGAATGACTATAATTACTGTATTAATAAATAAACAACAAAGGCATATAGATGCAATACAGGTCAACTGATAGATACCTTAATAATTAAAATATAAACTTATTTACCAATCATTCTCTCTTCTTGTCTATACCTCGACAAGAAAATATTTAATTTCTTAAAAATGATCTAGCATGTTGTGTAACATGCATTTAGGAAAGAAGTAATAATAATAGGATAAAACAAACGATTTTATGAATCCATCGATACTCCCTTACCTGACATCTGTGGGTTCAATGCGAACTCTGTCAAAAACAGAGAAGTTGATCTTATGTTTGTTGAGTGATTCAACCACAGCAGACACTGGTGTCATTCCTACTAAGGTCTTATCCGTCATCACCAGTACCTTTTTGGCACCCAGGGCTTGTATGTCTTGCCCGACCTCTTTAGTTACCCCCGGTCCATAACGAACAGTTGAACATGCCATCTAAGAACAGAAACATTTAATTTTTCAAAGGTCACATAAAAATGTCCACTTTACAGATATAGAAACAGCATACCACTGTAAAACATATCTATCACTGAAGTAACAATGAATAGCCCTTATTAATTCAACAAAAAAGGGGCTCTGGGTCACCCGAATTGACCAAGTTTGGAATATTTTCATATTATTCGACGATTTACAAATTTTTGTGTTCGATTATTCATTCGTTTCCTGTTCAGTTTTTGCACCTTGCCATGCCTTGGCTGCCACATAAAATAATCTATTTATAATTACTGTACTGTGCAAACATAAAGTGTATTTAATGCAGATTAATAAATAAATATACACTAACATATTACGAGGTGAGCTGACCAGGTGAGGGGTGAGGCAGGAGGTGAGGTGATGAGGCACTTACACAGCACACACATTAACAGCACTACAAAACCATTGTCTTATAACATTTCTAATTTGTTTTAAAATTAACTGATAAATTATGGCTCGTTTTGGCTATTTTTGCACTTAACAACTGATCAGTGAATAAACTAGGGCATATGGAGACGCATTATACATTACAATAATATTGATTAAGTTCTAATAAATACAAAGGGGTGCTCAACCCACTGTCTCAGGCCCTCAGGGAGGTTTAATGTGGCCTTCGACAACTTGTAGAAATTAATTACAAACAAATAATATTTCTGTAGATCTGATTATGATTCCTTCTTTAAGTTTACAATACATGGATAATATTTAATAATAAATGTTATTAATGTGTATATCATTTACAACATTTATTCACATTAAGATCAATGTGGGGACCTCATCACACAGTTGCCCATCTAATGTGACCCACTCACGCAAAAAGGTTGAGCAGCACTGCGGCTACAATATTATTTACTAAATGCTCAGGACATCCTGTGGCAAGAACCAACCCTCTTGAACAATGATAACAATGGTGCATGAGAGATGGTGAATGCTGGCAACATTGTTAGGGAGAGTGAAAATGATCAACTGTTACCGCTCAGTAAACGAGAATGGGAATATACTACGACACAACAGCTCATCTGGGATTGAGTGTAAGATTTTTGGGGGAAATTAATCATTTTTTATCATGTTTTATTAACCTGGCGCCAAATGAACCAAAATAATATGGGAATTATGACGAAATTGCATGCTGTCGTTATAAAGGGATCATGGGCTGATGAGCGAAGGAGATGAGTTGTCTTCTCTGTCTAGCCAGCACTCCCTCCCTCCCTCCCTCCTCTGCCTCCTCCTCTCCCCGGATACGCACCCAAACATAGTTTTGTACCTTACAGTAATATAATTCAGATTCTATTCCTATAATTCATACATCTTTTATTCCTATAATAATTGTCCAAGTGGGATAGTAAAAACCGCACATAAAATACGATCGTCCAAGTAGGATGACACCCGACCCAAGCCTGCTTCGGGAGCTGCGAGAGCACAGGTGAGCCCGTCACCACTTGACTATTAGAACCGCGCCGTTATTTCAGATTCATTCCAAATTTAAATAAATTAATTGGTGCTACTATAGCGTGCGGTCTATCACAATATCCGTAGTCTACGAACCTGACCTGACCTGACTAACCTGAACACCAGGACCCTAATCAACCTTATAAAAGGGGGTTAGTTTAGGTTAGGTTTATCATTTACAGAGAATATGATACGAAGTTTATGTCATTAATATTATGCTATTATTCAACATCTTTATATGTTTTGTTTATAAGATGATCATTAAAAAATTATTTATCACTACTGTATTTTGTTTTTTATCCTAAAATTCTACTATATAACAAATAATACTATACTATAGTATAATATAGGTACTCCCCGACTTACGACCGACTCGACTTACGACCGACTCGACTTACATCCACCCGCACTTATGACCTGCCTCAGTTGTACCAAAATGTGGTCAAATTATGTATTTTTGAGTCCCAAAGTCAGTACACAGACAAAATTTTCATCTGTAATTCACTTTAAAATGGCTGGCAAGCTTAAAAGTGAGTGTTTTGTGGTGCTGAGAAGAAAAAGAGACCCAAATTTTCGATTTTCTATGTGTTATTTAAGCATTTCCGACTTATGGCCATTTCGACTTACGACCTGGATGTCAGTCCCTAACCCTGTTGTAAGTCGAGGAATACCTGTACTAAATTGCAGCCTGCAGTGTAGATATCCCAGGTAGACCGCACGCTATAGTGTAAATGTCCCGGTAGACCGCACACTATAGAGGCACCATTTAATTCATTAAAAAATAAAAAAAAATAAAAAAAATAAAAAAAAATAAAAATGAAGCCAAAATCAGAATACAGTGGTCCCTCGGTTAACGAACACAATTCGTTCCAGAAGGTCGTTCGTTAACCGAAACCATTGTTTCAATGGGATTTTGGGTAATTGGTTCCAGCTCACCGAAAATTACATACAAAGTAAAAATAACTGCAGTAAAGTACACTTACTTTGAGGTGTGTATGTAGAAGGCTCCTGGTTGATGATGATGATGATGTTGGGAATTAGAAGTGGGGGTGGAGGAGAAGGGAGAAGAGAAGGAAGTGGGGGTGGAAGAGAAATCACCCCATGCTTCATGCCGTCATTTCACCCATAAAATTTTAAGTTCACTAGGTGTAATTCAAGATTATTTTCTTTTAATCAACACTGCACTGCATTATATATTGTCAATATGTAAACTCAATTTCAGAATGACCAATAATTGTACTGTGAAAATGAAAAAATAGTTTATGTTCAAGAGAGTCACACTCAAGATGTTACCTCCACTGACCAGAGATACAAACTGACGCCTGTTTGGTGAGCTGAGTGGCTGTTTGGCGCACCAAAAACTAGTTTCCTGTACTGCAATTATGTTACATAATTGTCAAAATGACTAAAAATTTTAATATAAAACATGGAAAATTATTGAATAGTACAACCTTCTTGATAATTAATCAAATTTTAACGAATTTAAGCCCTAGAACCGATTACTGTACAGAGTATTGGCAGACTAACATTCCAGCTGGTGAGCAAGCGAAAACATGTTGACACGATTTCGTAAAAATTTGTTAACCGAATTTTTGTTCGTTAACCGAATTTAATATTCTTATGGAAGGTAATTCGTTAACCGAAATTTCATTAATCGAGGCGTTCGTTAACCGAGGGACCACTGTATAAGGATTCGAATTAACATGGGTACAGTGTAAATGTACATCTCAAGCACTGGATATTCTTTGATCTAAAGTATATCCCCAGTATATGTGTACAGACCGACACAGGCATGCAAAGAGCTCACACACACATATACAATACTTTTGTAGAATTAATAACTTCTCTTTATCAGGTGTTGGGCACAAGCATGGGGAGGGATGTTGTCCTGGAGCCCAAGATACAAAGTCTCAAATTATTATGAGGGATTTATTGTCTATGAAGTTGGGAAAGAGTTTGGCAGTTATTTAAAGAGTGCCAAGGCCCAAAGTTGGTACTGTACTGTATGTTTGGGCTCTAATAACATGAAAGACCTTAAACTCACCTCCATAAAACATCATTGTTCTAACTACTGTAAATACATCATCTGCTAACACCCACACCCTTTCCCACACATATATATACACACACACACCCACACACACACACACACACACACCATGAATCTCATGTCTGGAAGATAAACAAATATAAACAAATTGTTTCCTTATACAGTATTTTGATGTTACTGCAGTATAGACTTATTAAACACATTGTTTTCTTATCATTTGATGTGAGTGCAATACAGATTTATTTAAAATTTTAATTGATACACCTTTGGAGACTAAAAGTCCTGGTAAAAATCAAGTGTTTAGTTTAGAAAAACAAACACCTTTATATCTTGCCTCAACTGTTGTTCTTGGTTAACTTGTAAATAGGACACTAACCTCAAAGGCATAATCAGTAGTCTCTGTGGCCTGGGTGGAGTGTGTGGCGTGAGTCCAGCCTGCAGAATGAGCTGGACACTGGCATCTGGGGATCGATACCTTACAGTTATCAAATCAATATACAGTATTGTACAGTACAGTACTTATCTATTCAGCCAAGTTCACAAGTGATATACTTTACCTCAATTTGAGTCGTGTTGAATTTATACATCTGACTGAATATGCAAGTTATTACTGTAGCTACCTGAATAAATTTCTCCAGAGAGAAAAGCTTTCTTACCTCAAGAAACATACTGTAAAAAAAAAAAAAAAAATAGAAGAATGCATTTTGCATCACTTCACTTTTACAATTTTGGGTACCCGGTAGTGTGATTCCGTGTGAGGAGCAACTGCCCACCTGCCATGTTTATACCTTTTTCAGATCAGACAATGGTTTTGCTTAGTCATTGATTATTATTGTTCTTCCCCAAAACTTTTTTTTTATTTACAGGTGGGTATAAATTGCAACTCCTCGATTTTTTTTCCACTGACACAATCTTTCAAACAGTGTGAACAGATTAAGTGAAGAACCAAAGCACATATTGTTCCTGAAATTACTGTAGTAAAAACATTTCAAGTGATTTCACACACAGTTTGGTGCCAATGGAGACCAAAATACATTTTACTAGCATTCTGTAGCCAGTGAGTTACAAATACGATTCTGACAACCTGTTCATAAAATGAAGGAAGTTAACCTACCTGTCCTAATCTAAAATACTAAAAAGTTATTTCCTATTTCATTCTTCTAAAATAGAATAAAATTCCTTTCAGTAAAAAGATCCATTCCTACAGCCTAAACATGGCGTTGGTACTAAGGTTGTCTTAGGTCATCTTCCTTCACCCATTTTGCAAGTCAAAATTAGCATTTCACAAAATGCACTCCTTTTGCATTTTTTTTAATGCTTCTCAAGGGAAGAAAGCTTTCATCTTCTATGAAGAATTTTGGGGTGCCACTATAGAGTGCGGTTTACAAGATACTGTACTGTATATAGGTTTAGGTTAGGCTAAAGATATCTTTGTAGACCGCACGCTATAGTAGCACCAAATTTTGTCAGGTAGCTGCTAAGGCCAGTCCACTCTCATCAAGCATAACCATATACAGTAATGTACAGTATGTAAGCCAATTACTGTATACAGCACCTTCAATACTATAGTGTCCTGTTATCAATTTGTAATACAGTATTGTACTACACACTTGTAGAGTTCGGTTTTATTTTAGTTTCGGACACAGCGTGCCCCCAAGTTATAAACTACCATTCGGAAATAGAAAATAGTGACAGTTGAATTTAATTGATTTTATGTACTTTTCAGTCTTTTTGTCTGAGAAGAGATGTTATCTGCAATGTTGACTGATGTCATCCAGTCATGACCAATGATATATCGATCTCATCATGCTTTTATTTTTTTCGACCAATCACATTTAAATTTTTTCGAAGGGAGCAGCCTGGTTATGGATTTGAATTTCAATCACCATTTTGACAATGGCTATAATGGAGGTCGAGTGTGATTTGTGCTCCTACGATTATTTTAAGTTTATTGCCGAGTTTTACGAGAAAGGCGATCATACTATTTGAGTCTTTTGAACCCCATTTATACTAGTCGGAAGAAGATTACTGACTGGGGTCCGCTTAGGCTACATTTGGTTAGAATAGGTTAGGTTAGGCTAATTTAAGATAGGTCTCCCTGGGGTCCATGGGCAGAGCCCCCGGCTAGGGGTTAGGTAAGGTTACGTAAGGTTACATTACGGTAAGTTGTTAGGTTAGGTACGCTAGGTTAGGTTAGAAGACTAGTTCTTGTGTTCTCCTCCACCCAGAAACCCCAATTTCCCAGGATCTCCCCCATTATTGTTGGGGTGTCAGGGTGGGGCAAAAACGAACAATTTCCGACAAAAATGAAGGTCAGATTCGTTTAAAACACACCAAAATACAATGGAAAAACATATTGCTCAACCGCTAGGGACTCATGTCCGAAAGTAAAAATTTACCTGGAGTTCTTCAAGGTTAAGTGTCGAGATATATTCTAACATGTTCCCCTTTATTTTTCTTGAATGATAAAACACTTTGTCAATAACAAATAAGGTAATTGTGGAGCAAATAGTTAGCACCAACGGGACTTTATGAAATTGCACCAAATTTTTTGATGTTTTCTAGATGATACTAAGTAACAAAATTGAAACGACAATGCACACCTATCAGAAGTCAGAACTTTACTGAACCTACCTAACCTCACATAACTTGCTAACCTGCACATTGTCGCCTTGATTTTCTTAATATCGTGGCATCAAAAAAGTTGTGACCAAGTTGCTGATCTGACTTTCTGCCTCATTTACACACAATTGCAGGGTCTCAATTGTTTCTCTTACTATGGTCGTTCATTTCTTGTTAAAGTAACCTTGAGTGACACAACACATCAGGTGGCCATCAGCTGGTCATCAAAACATTGCAGTAAGGTGTAGCGGACCAACTGTCTATACATAACTTTAATCAACATTTTCTATACTACCATACACTAACAATTACTTCACGAAATATTAACTAATGTTACACAAATACGATACATGTAGCTAGTTAACTTAATACAATATTCAGAAGAATATTAATAATATAAGACGTACAATTATGAAAGAGCTCTCCATTTCACAAGAAACACAGGGCCCAGAATGCTTCATCAGGGCAAGAGAATGATCTGAGTACAGTATATGACCTTTGTTCAGAAACAACCTAATGATCTTCGTTCAGAAATAACTTAAGAGTAAGCTTGATGATGTGAATGATGGTTTGACAAAATATCCTAAATGTTGCTAAGTTGGTGGTGTCACTAACAAATTTCACAATAATTTTGTAAAAGATTTTTCTTACGAGGCCGAAGATAGAGATTTAAGAAGCTGTAAAGCCTTAGAGCGTCCCGCCATGTTAGACTTTAGATGTGGACTGTCGTGATGCCTCCTGCTGCCCTAACTGAGCGTGGACTGTGGACTGACCTTGGGCAAGTTGGACCCCGGCCCCCGGTGAATTGAATTTTTTAATTGAAACAGTTTATTTATCCAGAAAAACACAGATACAGATTGGATAATAATAAAAATATTAACATGGCTGAGCCAGTTGAAAACCTGAGCTCTCTTTTAGGCACCTGATATATACTATACATTTATCTCTAGGAAGTATTATGTAACATTTAGTAACATCTGGAATAGTACAACAGCATGGTGGTAATAACATTTCATAATGTTACCACGGTTATCACTTCAATATTTAATTATTTTATTTTATTATTATTTTTTAGCTTTTTTGGGGGGATCACCTGAAGAATTGTCACCCTAGAGTTTGGCAGGGTGACAATTCTTCAGGTGGGATATCCTGGGGTGATGAAGCTTCAGGTGGCAACACCTGGGGTGACAATTCTTTAGGTGGGGTCAGGACCCTCCATGGTTAGGTTAGGTTAGGCTCCATAATATGGTTTTGTGGGCGACATCACACCATGGTTGGGGTCCACTGCAATACTGTATATAAATAATACATCGTCAAATAGAAAGTCTTACACTGTTTTGCTCTATTAAGTTTGTTTGTATAAAGTTAATGTAGGAGACACTACATATCACTGGTATATACTGTAGAGGGGGACATTCGATGACTCGGTCATACTTACAAAAAATAAACGAATGGATGGATGGACATAAAATAGTGCCCCTTTTTTCGAGTCTTTGGTTTCCAGAAACTTACGTGAACTTGATTCTAATAGTTTAAGCTTTATATTCCCCCAAAAGATTATAAAAGAGCAAGTTTATCTCCACTCTAGTTGTTTTAAAAGAAAGTTGAAATCCAAGATTACTCTTCTAGTTAAACGATATTATTAGTTTCCGTAACAATCATCTCCGTTCGTTACGTGGCTTTCCATGTCATCATACAACTGTGTTATACCGGAGGAACTGGTTGACCACCCTAGATGACAACCTACAAGTATGTCTTCAATGTGGTGGTGACCTATTACAACAGTACCCTAGTGTAAAGGTGACCTAGTACAGTACCCTAGTGTGATGGTGACTTACTACAGTATCTAAGTAAAGGATGACTGAGGAGCAGTACACTGATGATAGGACTTTTAAATTACCCAAAAGAATTTAAGTCGTGTGCTGAGGAACAGTTTAGCTTGACCCAAACCTGAATTCAAGGGATCTTAGCTTGTTAACTTTTATTAGAGAAACACTCAATACTAATCAGAGTTTAATAAATTCAGTAAATAAAAGTACAGTACAGATCATTACAAATCTCAATACAGTACAGTATTAGTTGAAATTTATTTTCATAAATGCAGTTCAATACATAACACAGCTCAGTATAGTGGGTTGAGTATCACTTAAATAACAATACAGTACAGTACAGTAGTTGAAAATGACTCTTAAATAAAATTACTGTATGTATAATATATAGCTCAGTATGATAATGTAAGGCAGTTTCATTATACAGTACTGTACAGTAAACATATCACCAAAGCAGGAACCTCTTGAACCAACATGTAATCTAGTAAGTTGTTTGTGATCAATATACCCTGTATTAAATAACTTTATAATCAATATTACTCTATAACACACAAATTTATCTAATTATACAGAGGTCTACTGAAGGATGTAGAATAATCTGAATATACTGTAGCATCACAAAAGTCCTATGTTATGAAGATGTTACTGGCTTTCCATTGCCACATCTATTTATCCATTCTCTATCTAAATTTCATTAATCTTAGCAATACTGTATACAGTATTTATCAATATCCTAAACAAAAGAGAAACACACTTCATAATTCATTTTAATACCTGTACCAACCCTGGCATAGCACAGAATGTCTCACCCTCCCGGGCATAACAAGGAGTCTGTCTGGAGTAGTTCTAAGTTAAACACAAAACAAATGTCCAATAAAAAATATATATATAACTGGTAACTTCTTAGGAATAAACACTGAAAAAAGTTTGATACAAGGTTCTTAAACTATTATGTATTCAACATCATCTCCTCTGACAAACTTATACAATTTTTGTGCACTGAGCAGGAACTTACTGTACAGTACATACCCCCTAATTTGAAAATTTTATTTGTACAAAAAATGTAACTTTACACCAAATACTACATTCCATTTTTCCACATTGTGTATCTTGCAGTAAACAATTGCAAGACACTAATTATGAACAACTTAGCAGTTCATAAACCAAATCATCACACAAGTACTATACTGTACATAATATTTAAAAAGTGTAACCGACTCAAAATAATAAAGTACTGTATACAGGTAGCTCAATATCAATGAAAAACCTTAAAACAAAATCATATCACAATCAGCATTAACATTCAATATCAGCCAAAACAAAAGTACACAAATAAAATACACACAAAAAGCTCTTAAACCAAATCAGGTATTTATCATAAATAAGCAACATTTTTAAATGAAAAATTTCATGATAACGAAATACTTTGTTAAAGCAAAGATACAACTGTTTCAGTTACTCTTCTTGGACTTCTCACATTGATATTTACATCTTTGTATAAGAACAGATTATGGTAATTAATCACTAAAAATAAACACTTGGTGAAAACAGAAGAGGACACTCATATAATATATAAGAGATAATGGAACAAGATACAAACAGTGCAAAGTTTTAAACAAATAGTAATTAATCTTAAACAAGTTGTCAGTAGTACCACTTATGTCAATACATTCAAAAACAAATATGTACTGTACTGAGATCATAAATGAAACCTGTGGAATTTTGTTGGTGGTAAGTCCGTAGCATAATTCTTTCCTTAATTTTTGAGATATGAGAAGCCTGTAGAATAAAACTATTTGAGGCCTTCATTTTTCAGCACCAAAAGTAATAAGCATTGGATAAAGACTATAGCTCATTCCTCTGATGGGGCACAGCCTTTACTGGCACACACCTACATGCACTATGTTGAGCCTCCTTAAATGGCGTACACCCAAGAGCCACCGTAGCTGTGTAAAGCAACTTTGCTCCTCCTTTGCATTTTTTATTTGTCAAAATGTCCATTTCATTTTGAGTAATTTTGCAAGTATTATATAAACATCTTTTGAATATTTTATCACAATCTTCTTTGTCTCTCCCACAAGTATCATAACAAATGTCATGATCATTACAACAATCAACCATTTCTGCCCTTGACAAATCTTCTTTTTCAAAGAATACCCCAAGTGAGCCACATCCATTTGCCTTGGGTGTATGATTTGGATTACGGACAGGAATTTTTTTACCGGGGCATTTGTAGACACAATCTTCTTCCACAGTTGATTCTATGAAATTTTCCACAAACTTCACTGTGTTTGCCACAGTTTTGAGACCTGCATTAACAGCAATGGCAACTTCTTTCAGAGTCTCCTGTGCATTCACCAGATTATCATAAACCGAATCCAAAAATGCGTCTCCCTTCACAATATGAGACATCATTGTGAATATCAGTAGTCGAACTAAAGTCTTCATTTCTGTTTTCTCCAATGAACCGAAATTAAACTACAGTATGGTGCAATAGCAACCCAAGAGAAATTTAGGTTTCAGTTACAAATCACTTAAGAACAATGGAGGAAGATATTTACTGTAGTGGAAATACGTTGTTCTTTGACCTTTATTTCACTCTGGCTGACAGGCTTCCCGGACGTCTGTATCCCGGGATCATCAGCTTACGCAGGAACTGGGGATGTTGACTCCTTACTTAAGCTTAAACTTGGATAAATGAAGTTATTTTGTTTCAACTTCTCAAGCTTAAAATTAAATCTTGTTTAAGAATTGTTTGTTTACACGATCAGCTGGAGACTATAGACGACAGGATCTGACAGGTACACGTGTCTAGAAAACAATGCCACAGTAGATTTTCTCTAATAACAATTGTGTTTAATTTAGTTTCATTTACTTCCTTGATTTTTCAGTTGTATATCTACTACTTTTTTTTATTCAAGAGACCATGTGAATACTTTGATTAATTTTGTTTCAATGTTTTATATATAACAAGAATTCACGGGAGCCTCAGCTCATGTTTACAAGTCAAAGATTCAGTCATTTATAGTTGGTATGGCGCCTCACATGCTGTTGTTGTTAGTCGTGTGATAAAGCTTCAAGAAACACAACATTAGTGTAAGTTAATTATAGTTTACAAGAGTACAGTAGAACCCCCTCCAAACTGTCACACACACTTTCCTAAAATGAAAGTAGCATCGTTGTCGTATTGTATATTAACGCCATGTCAGCACAAGGTGTAAACTATTCATTGTCAGTTGACGAATCCACAATATTAGTAATTGATAAAGTATTCAATCCAAATTGAGTAGTGAATAAATTCTGGTATTTTAGTTTCGGTCATCCGAGGAATCTTAGGAATTAGGTTAGGTTAGGTTAGGTTAGATATCAAAACTTTTTCCCATGGGTTCTGGGTATTATATTATCGTTTCGGTCATGTAGCGAATTTAGGATTTTAAGTTTTGGAATCAGTAGTTTAGACAATTCTAAGACACTTTTCTTCTTTAGTGTTTCTGTCGGAAATTTTATTTTTCGAGTATTTTAATCAATAAAATTACCAACAATATTACATGTTCAAAGTGGACAGGGTTTTGGCTTACAAGGGGTGCTGGACAACTCGTACACAAGCAAATCGTACCCATCAGAACATGTCAACTCGTGTATATATATATATATATATATATATATATATATATATATATATATATATATATATATATATATATATATATATATATATATATATATATATATATATTTTATCGCCGCTGGCTTATTATGCTGGTGTCAGTTGCTGACGATCGGTGCCTTGCACGAACAAACATTGGCTCTCTCAGCCTGCTGTTGCCTCGTCAGAAATTGGCGGCTGGGGGGGGGGCGGTGTTTACGGATAAGAGATCACCCTCCCGAGTGAAGCCCCCTCCCCCCCCCCCCACACAACCTGTGACCTCGCCAGACTGTGGCACCGCCGGGAGTGTTATCACCACTGGCGTCAGTACTGACGAGTGGGTACTAGCGTGTGAGTGCTGGCGTCTGCCGCCTTACCCGAACAAAGATTGGGGGGTGGGCGGTGTCTACAGAGAAGAGGTCCTGATTCCGCTAAATGTATGGTTTAAAGGGTGGCGTGGCCACCTGGACTCCAGGAGATCGCTCTCTCGAGTGATGCTGTAAGGTCGCACTGGTAAACACCGACTCAATCCTGTCCAAAAATTTGTGCTGAGACAATTTACGCAGACAGTGTTGTCTCTTGGAACACCATACTGATCTGCATTGACCCGCACTTGTAAGTACACCATAAGTGATGACATACCCCTCGGTACTGAAATATTGTTAACTAATTATGTGTACTCGTTTCTGCCTAACCTGGAGTAATAAGACAATGCAGAATGAAGCGAAACTAAGATTATTAGAGTTATGAACTTTGTGTTATGTCTGTATGTTTAATAAATTGTAATTAAGATAAAATTGTGAGACTAACTAATTATGTATGAGATGAATCACCATGTAATATTATGAACATCTCTGCAGGTTTAGACCAAATAAAAAAATATTGAATGCGTCAAAAGACGGGTTTCAATCATTCCCTTAGACTTGCCCGTCACCTGAACGTCCACAACCATGGCGCTTATAATATTTATATAATGTAGTCGTGACTTTTTAAACAAATTTATCCAGAGTATCATTAACATACAATAACATTACTAATTGTATATGTGTTGGCAAATATTCTCATGCTTCATTCTTTTATATACTAATTATTACCGTACTGTATTTCATTCTTGACGTTGACTTTTCAGAGGAAAAAATTCCTGACGATATCACAATGTCAGCAAGTCCCTAGAACAAATTCATTATACCGGAAGAAGTATCAGAGAGGAGCCCCGAATTACAGTATATACTTGACCAACACTGGAGCAGGTTCCAATACATTCAGGAGCCAGTTCATGCCCAGTACTTCCCAACAGTGCATAACAGAGACGTGACTGACTGCCCAAGCATCAAACAAGCCGATCAGTGTCGAAGAGGATAAAGGTAAAAATAAAGTAAAACTGCTGTGAGACACCAGTTTGAGAGGAAAAGGTTGCAGTCAAGTAGAGGTCTGTCACCTATGTTGTTTTAGTGGTTGAAGATTGACAACCTCACTGGGCATGATTGAAGGCATCAGTGTTCTGTCATAAGATGTGATAACACCTTAATCTGCCTCCTGTATTTCACCTTCTATAGTTTTCCCGCCTCTTCACCACCTTTTCTCCTACCCTACTTCACAGTCTCCTTATCCACCCAATCCTGCCCCTCTCCCTTCTGTTTTCCAGCCAAACTTCTTTCCCTCACCCCTGCCTCTTACCTAGGCAGATTAATCCCCTACAAACACTATACTGTATACTGTACAGTACTTGGCTCAATTCATTTGCTTAATTGTGTTCTTCTTAAGGAGCCTTATTGTGCTTCATGACCATAAAAGCAATTATTAATTATTAAATTTATAAACTAACTATACACACATGTGGCCTGCCTTGGTTTAGTGCGTGCTGCCTCTATACCATGCCTGGGTTAAGCTTGTTCACAGAATCTGCCAGAGTTCAATCCCCACCATGTCAGGGTGGATATTAGGTGGTCCCAAAACACCTACACCTCACTCTTGCCCCAAAAAGGCATGGTAGTGTCTCGAAGCTCTAGAAGCTGCCAAACTGGGTCAGTGTTAGACAATAAGCAGCAATCAGAATCATCCTCATTATATAATTTTAATAGTACAGTATTTAATAATACTTGGGTGACAACTGCATGAATGGTGCAAGGTCCTGAATGTACAGTACTCCTTATACACTATGTTCTTACTGGGAATGTAAACAAATCAAATTTAGAGATAATTTTCTCTTTGTTATACAGATATTGGGTTACTAAGATGTCTGGGCCTGGAGTAGTTAGCAGCTTCCAGAAGAAAGGGAAAACGAAAGTGGTTTCCATCCCAGGAACTCGTCCATCCATCCACAACTCGCAACTGCTGCTGTCATGTGGAATACCTTCACTGGATTACCTCATTGGGGGTGGCCTTCCTGTTGGCTCAATCATCCTCATAGAACAAGACAGATATGATGTATACAGCAAGCTGTTTCTAAAGTATTTTCTTGCTGAAGGGGTCATGAATAATCACATGCTTACACTGGCCAGTCTGGATGTTCCTCCTCAGGCAATTACCAGTGACCTGCCCGCCCCCACAGACACAGAACCTGAAGAAGTGTCAGCTGCCAGCAAGCAGATGACTATTGCCTGGAGGTACCAAAGTAAAACATCTCAACCTAAAACCTCTGTTGGCAATAGATTTGGACATAATTATGACCTGACAAAGTCAATGGGTACAGAACTCACTTCTAACATTGACATGGCACTTTGGGATGGCTCAGAATTAGAGGAGGGGAGGGGTATGTTGAAAAATAAAAATTACTGGTCATTGCTACAAGTGATCAAAAAAAGAATAGAATCAAGTAATCTCGCAACTTCAAGTAACAAAGCCAAGACAAATGTTTTACGCTTGGGTCTACACTCAGTGGGCTCTCCACTGTGGGGGTCGGAGTTTGGTTACCAGGAAAAAGATCATAAGTGGCAGAGCTTAACCACATTCTTATTCATGCTGAGAGCGCTGGTCCGTACCTCCTTCTCTGTGTGTATGGTCACAGTCCCTGCCCACCTCTTCACTGATCCTGCCCTCTTACTTCGACTACAAGCACTGGCTGATTTTGTTGTTAGGTTGGAATCATTTCAAGGCTCAGAAAAGGAAACTAATCCAGTGTTCAAGGATTACCATGGACTTTTTCACATCGTCAAGTTAGCTGCCATTAACAGCCTAGTTCCACCAATCTTAGACTCTACAGACTGGGTGTTTAAACTTAAAAGACGCAAGTTGACAATTGAGCGCTTGCACTTGCCACCAGAGTTATCTGAGACAGTTAACAGAAACCAAGAAGATCCTCTCAATAAACCTATAGGTCTTTCCTGTATTGGGGGAAATCTCCCAAAGAATCTTGACTTCTAGTGTTATTACAAATAAATTGAATTTATCATAATTGTTGTTTTTTATAACTATCCTAATTTTCTGTTTTCTATTCTTTCATTTCCCATTTTACTTTGTCTTGTAAGGTTTCCATGTTTCTAGTGATATCTAATTACTGTGGCAACAGCCTTCTCCTTTACCTTTTTTGTAGTACAGTAATTAATACAGTCAACCCTCGCTTTACGCCGTCCCACTTTACGCGTTTCCACGTTTACGGGGTACCCTGCCGAAACCGGAATGCTCACTTAACGCTGTGTGTGTACCCTTTTACGCGGAGAGCGGCGCGAGCAGGGTGCGCACAAGGTCGCCCAGTCATCAAAACATTTCCGAGTTCTTCACCCGCCACCCACCACAGCCGGCCCAAGTCAGTGACAGTGATGATGATAGCGAGGATATGGACTTATATGGACTTTGAGGGGTTTGACAAAGAGGCCCTGCAAGCCTCTGTGGTGGATAGTGATACAATTGATACAAGTGATACAGGTGAGGGCCAATAATTTGTCCTCTGCCTCGGAACCAACCCCCCATCCCTGTGTGCCCAGCCATCTTTTCTACTAATGTAAGTGTTAAAAAACCTAATATTATTAATATTTCTCTTAATTATTAATTGTGTGTGCATACCATCATAAAATTAAGAAGTTATTTTTACTACAATGTAGATATTGTGTCTGAAAAAGTGGAGTTTGGGGGTCGGCCCGGTCTCTATTTCAATTAATCCCATATGTTATGTTGTTCACTTTACGCGTTTCTCACTTTACGCGGGCCGCCGTGGGTTGAATTAACCGCGTAAAGTGAGGGTTCACTGTATATTAAATTTGAGATTGTGTTAGTGGGTAAAATGAGTGTTCGAGATTGTTACACCAAAACTAAAATGCAAATTTACAATGTACATGGATGAGAGAGTATGTATAGAACTGTACAAGTTATAAAAGAAAACAACTACGGAGGAGACTACTTGAGCCACCCTGTTGATAAAGGGAGATGGTTTATTGAATAATGATGAGATACAGTAGTGGACTGGTTATCAAACTTGGCTGACAGTCTGTAAGGTCCTGGGTTCAAGTCACCAATGTGGACACAGATTTCTATCTGCTGTAGGTTAGTTGCCTACTTATCATAAAGACCCACCTTGTTCATAGTCAATAGCCTGAGAACTTCAATTCGTTGTCAACATATACACCCAGGTCCTTTTCACCTTCAGTCTGTTAATATTGTTTCTTCATCCTTTAGGGGCATCCGATACTCCTTACTGTTGGTATGGTCTAGCTCTAGGTGCATCATCTAACTCTTCATGACATTGAATTAACAGTCATTTCTTTGACCACTCCTGAAGCTGACAGTGATATTTCTGTAGCTCTTCACAGCCCATTTGGTTCGTAATTTTTCTGAATAACTTGGCTTCATCTGCACACATTTACTGTATATGGAGGAGTGTATAGCTTCTGGCATGTCATTTATGAAACAAACAACAACAAGCCCAGTACACTGCCCTGTGATACCTCACTTGTCATGGGTACACATGACGATTTTGTGCCATTAATCACCACACATACTGCTTGCGGTGATGAAGAAAGTCTCCAATCCACTCAAAAACACTTCTCTGAATCCCGTACCATTCCAGTTTAATTCCCAGTCTTTCATGGTGTACGCTGTCAAAAGTCTTGGCAAAATTCATATATATATATATATATATATATATATATATATATATATATATTATCCAGGAAAATCGTGATACAGTATACTGCATAAGTACACATTGGTTAATTCTGTACACAAACAGTTGCAGAGATACATACAAAAGCAAATGGTAAACCCAAGAAAGGTTTCAGAAGCTTATTACCACAAGTGTGTGTGATAGTAACATGTATTTGTTTGTGTCAGTCAGTCAAGTGTCAAGAGTTTGTGAAGGATGGAGTGCGGTGTGTCAGCATCGCGCCCATTGGTCGCTCATCTCTCCAATTTATGTTGCCACCTATCGACTATGACACTTAAACCTTTTTATACACTTCACAGTGACATTTGCCTTTTTGGTTACGTTAAAACAAACAGGGCAGGACTCAACATCTCTATAAACACGAATACGAGGTCATCGTATAAGACCATTATATTAAAGAACAAGGTTGTGTTTAGTGCGAATGTAGCGCGAGGTGGCACTGCCGTGAAGCAACACAGCTGACCTAATTCATTATGTGTGAAATTTGGTGATGTCGAGGTGAAGGTATTGATAAGTCTCTCTCTCTCTCACTCTCTTCTTCTTCTTCTTCCGCCTTCTATCACCTTGTTAATAAGACGCTACTTTATCCACTCCAGCGATACTGTAAACTTCCTGCGCTAAAATGTTTTCTTCCCACATTTCTTTGCCTCTAAATAATTTGTAATTTGTTTTTGATTACACCTATTTCTCATTTCATTCGATGTGTTTACATATTTGAGGCAATTTTTAAGGTACAGTATTATCGTTTCGGTCATCCAGCGAATTTTAAGTTAGGTTGAAATTTTTTTTTTCGGTGGTTTATTTCAACTTCCAAATATGTGAATGACCGAAACGATAATTTTACCATTTTTTAAGGTCATATTATTTGATATTTTTCTTTATTATTAAATTATCGTTTATACATTTACCCGATGTAAACAATTCATGTGCTAATTTATCCTCCATAAACTTCCCGACCTCTCGTATGTCTATGGGAAAGGGTCGCGGAAAAGGGACGTGATTGCTGCCGGTATCATCATTGGGTATGACTTTGCTTGGGAGATTGGTATCCCCGCATCCCCTGAGCAACGCTCTTGTGCATTATGCAGAAGACCCGACAGCAGCACCCTTATCCACTACCTCCTAAGATGTCCCCACACACAACGCTTCCGTGACGCCTGCTGGACCACCACTCCACGACCCCCTGACGGAGACACGATGATCCTCCCCATACTGGCCCGATATGTAAATAACATTGATTATGTGTTAAAGGAATATCCTTCCTTCCTCAGGCTTTAGTAAGCCCCTTTATAATATTTATGCTGTATATACTTGTGACACTTGCCAGATGCTTCTGGTGTTATTGTACAGGGGTACCTAGTGACAGCACTAGGATCCCGCTTCCTCTATCAAGGAATAAACACTTGAAATTGAAAATTGAATTGCTAATTTATTTTATTCATGACGAAACTAATTAATCTTTGCTCCAATTTATTCACTATTTACATTACACAACATTCCTGCTAATTAGTTATCCTTCCACACACTACGTCCTATGATATCTAATTTACTGATATAACTCTTTAGACTACACTTTTCTTGCAATCTTTTTCCTCAAGTTTTGCACTTAACAAATTAACTGCTACTGTTTTACTTCAAGAGTTAAGTCACTTATTACTAAACATTTATACGGTTTTGAGGTCACAATCATTATCATTGGATTTCGCGAAGATTAGGAACCACAGCTTACTTCACTTAATGATCAAACAACCTTATGCTAACCTAACCCTCCATTTAGCATAATCATTACGACATTTAATCATCAAGTTAAATAAGCCAAGTTTCCTAATATTATTATTATGAGTATTAGTTGTCGTAATAGCGTAGCATTATCATCATTAGTATTATTATTACTATCATAAAAGTTCCTGTACAGCGAGTTAAGTGACAACAGCGAGATAAGTGAGACAAGGCCATGCAACGTGTAAGAAAGGGATAGAGAGGAAAAAGTGAAGAAAACAAATATGAAGTACAATTGACGGTATACTGTAGAGGGATAGAGGCGGGGACATTTATACTAATCCTGGAAATGATAGTTGATAGTTACAATGTCTCCCAAGATGCCGGAGGCTGGCTGTGCATTTGTCTCTGTTAGTTCAAAAGCCACAGCTCAGCCAGACTGTGCGTGGGATAATGTTAATAGTAGTAGCTGTGAGCTACCATCCCATATGGTTTTTGTTGAATGTTAAGAGCGGGAAAGAGTTTTTGTGTCGTTCACTCGACCCAAGAAATGATGGTCCCCGTTCCTCAATCCATTCTTTCACCTGTCGGCCGTACGATTCACATTACCAAAATACACCCTCAGACTTGAACAACAAACACGGGACCGTAAATATAAGCTTTAGAATTTTACTAGTTAAATATATTTTTAGCTTAAATCAGTCTCTATCCCTATAAAAAATCGTTAAGGTCTGGTGAGAAGGCATCGTACGACAGCTTGTTGCCAACGTCCTGGCATCCATGGATTTGATGCCCTGAAGCAACTCCACCATTCAGTCTGATGTTGGTGGTTGAGAGGGTGATTGTTGACGTCTCCTCCTGGGCTCTCTCGCTCTTTATTTGACTTTTAGATCAAGGAACAACTTGACCTGCGCGGGTTGATCATCAAACTTGTCAACTTTGGTGTCTGTGAGTCAGGAGGACGACCGCCGCCCCCTGGAACAAAGTTTTACGTGTTTCAAGTTAAGCCATCCAGTAAATGCAACTACTAAAGGTAGGCTAATATGGAATGGTTATTATTTACGCCTTTAACACCGCTTGTTGTCGCCGGTCAGATTTGTCTGTCTATAACGGTGAGTATTAATGTATTAATTATTATTCTAAGTTTTAGTCTTCCACGTGCTAACAAATAATACAATTATTGTCATAAGTGTTGCGAACACTTATTGTAGGGGTGATGGTGATTGTAATGGTGATAGTAGTAGTGATGGTTATGGTAGCGGTGATAGGAATGGTGGCTGTAATGGAAATGGTGGTGATGATGGTAGCCTATGGTGTTGATGCTGGTAGTGGTGGTGGTTATGATGATGGAGGAGGTACTGGCTGTGAGAATGGTGGTGAAGTGATGGTAGGAGTGGTGATAGTGGTAGATGTAATGGTGGTAGTAACAATGATACAATACAAAAATTATGAATGTTATATTAGGTCGTTAACATTGTAGGCGATTTAAAAAAATATTGATAGATGGAGCTCCGGTCACTGTTGCAGGCAGGCTATTGTAGATTTTGGTAACTAAAGCTGAAAAGTTTCCTCTGAGACATTTATATCATTGATGATGATATGGGTGTGTTATGTTAAAATTATAGGTGTACAGTAGGTGTGCTAGTTGAGTTACCCAGCTTCACCTGGGTGGAGGAACGCGAGATAAATGCATAGCCTAGGGCTAGGCCACCCGCCGCAACCATCACATATTTCACCTCTCAAAAAAAAAAATAAAAAAATAAATAATATATATATATATATATATATATATATATATATATATATATATATATATATATATATATATATATATATATATATATATACAAAGAAGTATGTCTGTGTGTTTGTTTGTGTTGTGTGTCCGCACGAGAATCTCGGAAACTACTTTACCGATCTGTAGTGATGATGGATGGTGTTATATGTAGTGATGATGATGGATGGTGTTATATGTAGTGATGATGATGGATGGTGTTATATGTAGTGATGATGGATGTGTTATATGTAGTGATGATGGGATGGTGTTATAGTGATGATGGGTGATGTTATATGTAGTGATGATGATGGATGGTGTATATGTAGTGATGATGGATGATGTTATATGTAGTGATGATGATGGATGGTGTTATATGTAGTGATGATGATGGATGGTGTTATATGTAGTGATGATGGATGATGTTATATGTAGTGATGATGGATGGTGTTATATGTAGTGATGATGGGTGATGTTATATGTAGTGATGATGGATGGTGTTATATGTAGTGATGATGGATGATGTTATATGTAGTAATGATGGGTGGTGTTATATGTATTGATGATTAGACAATAAAATAATAACAGTTTAATGCTAAAAAATATACTTTGCTGTACCGTTGTAGTGAAAAACATGGTGGAACTTACATACACCGTTAATGAACTATTGATGGAAGAAGTCTTGGGGACTGAGCAGTGAGACAATGTGGAGCCTCCCGGAGGGTGGCGTCCTACCGTGGCCTAGCGGATGAGCCGTCCGGAGGGCGGCGATTCTGCTAATATATATATATATATATATATATATATATATATATATATATATATATATATATATATATATATATATATATGGTGAATTTTTAGTCATGCACCGGTCTTTCTCTCGTTGTTTTCAATATGTATTTAGCAATGTTTAGACAATTCTAAGACATTTTTCTAATATGATATGCCCTCCGGAAATTAAGGAAACAGAGATATTAATTTTTCAATGTATTATTAGATTTCCTCGGTCACAAGTGTCGTCATGCTTTGTTTACATGTGCAACCGGTCTTTCTTTTGATATTATAAATATGTTTTTCCTGTGTTATTTGATGAGTTTCGAACGAATTTGATATTCATTTCCTCCGGAAATCACTTGTTTTTTTTTTATACAACCCTCCCCCCCCACACACACACACCCAACAAAACGGAAGTTTGATTTTTTCTTGAGTAAATCACAAATAAAATGCCAACTAACCCACAAAACCTAACCTAACCCCCATTTTGGACAAAAAACTCTTGCCCAGTCTCCTAACCTAACTTAACCACAACAACACATGAAACGGAACATTTCATTGGTATTTTACAGATTGCCTGAAGATGTCTTGAATAAAGACGAAAGCTAAGGTTCTCCATTGTTTCCCTTTTCCCAGTGTGATTTTATCAAGATTTATCTTATCCACGTTTCCATTGTGGATCTGCATGAAATACATATAGTGTAGAATTAGATAATAATATCGGCGTATGGTTTGAAGATGTAGCTGTGGTGTTATTATAGGGGTACGATGTTTGTACCTACTGTAAATATTTACCATTATCATACAATCGTACATAAAACACGAGGGTGAACGAGAACTGGCTGTTATATTGCACCTCCAGTGTGTACAACACATTCAGTGAGGCCAGGACTGGCTGATGACGTCCACTCAACAGTGTAGTGTACACCCTCGTGTGTAACTGATCTTTGCACACACACACACACACACACTCGAGGCTATTGAGCTGTCGGTACACAATTAAGTTATGACTTACGTCCAGGAGGTGAGAGGAGCTGTTCACTATCTGGGGAGACAGACAAGTTAAACATTCGCAATTTAGTCCATTTATCATTATTTCCTGGCCCTATAGTTAAGGGTCCACATTCTGAAAGTAAGAATAAACAACCAAAGAAAATGTATAAAACAAATATCTCTGAATCATCCTGAGACTTTGCCTTATCCAAATACTGTAACACACACTTAACGCCATTAAGGAAACAAAAGGTTAGGTACCTGTGCAAAATCTTTTAGAAAATACGTTGTTCGTTTTTTTATACAATTCCACCTGTTAGTTTTTTCTTACGTCCTCAGTTACGAGGAAAAACAATAGTACGAACCTTAGATAATCTGGACTTAGACACCATGGGGGTAGGGGGCGTGGCCACCTGTAGTGATGTGAGGTGACTGTGCGATAGTAACTGCTGGCAGTGACGTGTTACTATGACTGTTAGTTACTGCTGGTGGTGTCGTGACGTCAGAGAGTTGACCCGGCCCCTTGTCTGACTACCTGGGTTTCATATAATCAACCAATCGAAGGGCTTTAAGGTGAGTGTCCTTGACCTAGTTTTCAAGGTCATGTGGTCAGACATGTGGTGGTGGCCTGATGTGGTGACGGTGGTGGTGGGGAGACATGTGATGGTGGCCTAATGTGTGGTGGCCAGACGTGTAGTGGTGGTGGTAGTGTTAACCAGGTGTGTAGTGGTAGTGGCAACCAGACGTGTGGTGGTGGTAGTGGTAACCAGACGTGTGGTGGTGGTGGTGGTAGTGTTAACCAGGTGTGTAGTGGTAGTGGCAACCAGACGTGTGGTAGTGGCCAGACGTGACTGTAGTGCAGGTAATTATCACAAGTGTGTTGACTCACATAACCAACAACTCGCTGGTTTACCTTCTTTCTTACAAGACACATGATACACACTCTCTCTCTCTCTCTCTCTCTCTCTCTCTCTCTCTCTCTCTCTCTCTCTCTCTCTCTCTCTCTCTCTCTCTCTCTCGTTTTTATTCATGCCATCTTTGGTGGTGGAGAGCTAGAGTCCTTCAAGGTCGTGTATCAGGTGCTACAATAGTGTTTAAGACCCAGACACTGACAGCCGGGCTAAGAGACAAAAACTCACTATCTAAACGCACGAGGGGACAAAAACTCACCCGGCAGTCATAGAAAAAAAAATTAAAACCTAAGATATAAGTATACTTTAAGTGTCTTTGTGAACTTGTTTGAATTTTCTGCTTGATTTGAATAATATTTACTAATTATTTCAGCACAACTCTTAATATATATTGACCCAAGTTATGAGTTAAGTGCGAAATCCCCGACCTGATGGTTTAGAATATGTTAACCTAACCCATCCAAAACTTTAACCCGTGAACAGTCAATTTGAAATGCTTTATACTCAATCACTTAACATAACCCCCCCACCCACCCACTACCACTATCTTGTGTGTTTGAGGACAGTGACGTCGTCGTTGTGTTCATCAGTTACAGACGGTGAAGAGAATACAACCTCCAAGTAAAAGAGAATAAGAAATACAATTATTTCAAGAAAGACAGATTTTGAGGCAGTAGATGATGTTTTGTCCACGTTGAGTGATGCATGAGGCTACAGGCGCCGTCTTAAGGTTGTCTTAATATGATCTCGTGCATGAGATGGCGGCCGGCAGGTCAAGTAGATCACGTCTTTCTGCTATTTGTGACACAAGAGACTGCATGATGGCGTGAAGGCTCCAGTCTTGTTGAAGCACACAGCCGTAATGCCATATATGTAAGCCTAACCTTGAAGTTGTGTCTTGGGTGACATTCACACATAAGGCTCTCATACTCCCTCCCTGCCGACCTCAAGAGGAAGGACGGGGTTGAAGGATTACTTCACCTGTAAACCATTGTTGGAGGCTCACGTCCACTCTCCTCTGTTGGAGGCTCTCGTCATCCCTCCTCTGTTGGAGGCTCTCGTCCTCCCTCCTCTGTTGGAGGCTCACGTCCACCCTCCTCTGTTGGAGGCTCACGTCCACCCTCCTCTGTTGGAGGCTCACGTCCTCCCTCTGTTGGAGGCTCACGTCCTCCCTCTGTTGGAGGCTCACGTCCTCCCTCCTCTGTTGGAGGTTCACGTCCACCCTCCTCTGTTGGAGGCTCACGTCCTCCCTCCTCTGTTGGAGGCTCACGTCCACCCTCCTCTGTTGGAGGCTCACGTCCACCCTCCTCTGTTGGAGGCTCACGTCCTCCCTCTGTTGGAGGCTCACGTCCTCCCTCCTCTGTTGGAGGCTCACGTCCTCCCTCCTCTGTTGGAGGCTCACGTCCTCCCTCTGTTGGAGGTTCACGTCCACCCTCCTCTGTTGGAGGCTCACGTCCTCCCTCCTCTGTTGGAGGCTCACGTCCTCCCTCTTCTGATACTGCTTGATGTGCTTGTTTTTGTCACCAACTGCATGGGAAACGGATCCGTTACATACTGTTATGATGTTGCTCATTGTTCATACTGTGACGGTGTTCACCGGTGTTTCATCAACCTCCCTCTCTCTCCCTCTCTCTCTCTCTCTCTCTCTCTCTCTCAATTATGTCACTTTGTCAACAGGATATTACGGAATCGGCCACCTTGTTATCTCTCGCTCTCCCTCTGTTCTCTCGCTCCATCTCTTCTCTCTCTCTCCATCTCTTCTCTCTCTCCCTTTCGTGCAACTTTCTTATCAGGATATTACGGAATCGCCCGCTGCTTCGTCCTCAAGCAACGTGAGGTGACTTGACTTGTCCTGCCAATGAACCTAATGCCTCTCATTTATGACACAGAATGTTATTGTATATTGAAGCAGTTCACTTGTACCGGTCTATTTAAACTGGCTGTCTTGTACTGGTCCACTTGTACTGGTCCACTTGTACTGGTCCACTTATACTGGTCCACTTGTACTGGTCCACTTGTACTGGTCCACTTGTACTGGTCCACTTGTACTGGTCCACTTATACTGGTCCACTTGTACAATGGGGGTTATCACAACACTCAGGGAGGCATCGCGTGTTGGACTTCGGGCAGAGAAAAAACATGAACATGGAGGTTGTGGTTAACGTTAACATTGATCACGGAGGTTGTGGGATAGGTTAACACTGTGGTCGTCGCAGGAAGCGTTTAATTAACATTTATCACCATCACGGGTAGCGTAGTGAACTGCTCATTAACAATTCCTGATATCGGTATAGACAGCAACATAAGTAAACTTGCTGATGACACTAAAATAGGACGTGTTATTAAATCTGACGAGGACTTCGCAAAACTACAGGAAGATTTAAACAAATTTTTCGAATGGTCTGAAAAATGGCAGATGAAATTCAACGTGGACAAATGTAAAGTACTCAGTATAGGAGATGTAAACAGGGAAACCAGATACCAGATGAACAACGATGCCATAGAGAAATCCGACTGCGAGAGAGATTTAGGAGTGATGATAAGTAGGAACCTAGAGCCAAGTAAACAATGTGTTTTTGCTCGTAACAAGGCTAATAAAGTACTTGGGTTCATACAAAGGAGTGTTAGTTGCAAGACTAGCGAGGTCATCCTAAAATTGTATCTTGCGCTTGTGAGACCACACCTGGATTACGCAGTTCAGTTCTGGTCACCGTATTACAGAATGGATATAGAATCCTTGGAAAGAATTCAGAGGAGAATGACAAGGCTAATCCCGGGCATTAGGAACCTTGAGTATAGAGACAGGTTAAAGCATCTTAATTTGCACTCCCTCGAGAGACGTAGAGTGAGGGGCGACCTGATAGAGGTGTATAAGTGGAAGTCAGGGCTAAACAAAGGGGACATTACAAGGGTACTCAAACTATCCAACCAGGAGCGAACTCGTAACAATGGTTTTAAATTAGACAAATTTAGATTTAGATTTAGGCGTGAAATATGTAAACACTGGTTTGGAAACAGAGTAGTGGATGAATGGAACAAGTTACCAAATATCATCATTAACTCGAATACGCTGAATAGCTTCAAACATAGGTTGGATGCATATATGAGCAATAGGGGTTGGGTGTAAACGGGACTGCCCAGTATGGGCCAATAGGCCCGCTGCAGTTTCCTCCATTCTTATGTTCTTACTGAGGCTCCTGTCCCGTCCTGCCTGTTCCGCCCTATTCCGTCATGTTCCGTCCAGAGAGAGAGAGAGACCATATACCTGGGGATTAAGAAGATTCACACCCTCAAATCTTTGACTGTAGAGATGTCTGTGTGGGGAAGAGGGGGGGGGGGGAACTGAGAGAGCGAGAGACCCCATCTACCTGAGGATTAGTGACTGGTCACACCCACAAATTTTTTACTGTGGAGATGCGTGTGAGGAAGGGGAGGAGGGACACACACACACACACACACACACACTCACATAGCGTAATCTTATTTCTCGTAGCCGATAAAGGTTAAAAAATGCCTCTGCTTCTAGTATAGTTTCTACACAGTTTAAAGAACTACATTTATTTTATAGTTTTTAAATAAATTTGATTCTTTCACATTTTCAGTCCTAGTGAAAATTTATCATAGGAATTGTCAAGAGTTTGTTTTGTTTTGGTATCATATCAAGATAGGTTAAAGAAACTAAACTTGCATTCCCTAGAAAGACGAAGAATGCGGGGAGATATGATAGAAGTATTTAAGTGGGTGAAAGGAATCAATAAAGGGGATATAGATAAAGTTCTTATAATATCCGAGCAGGATAGGACTCGGAGTAACGGATTTAAGTTGGATAAGTTTAGGTTTAGGAGGGAGATAGGAAGGAACTGGTTCACAAATAGGGTGGTGGACGAGTGGAACAAGCTTAGCAACTTTGTAGTAAGTGCTGGAACGCTGGAAAGTTTCAAAAGGAGGCTGGATAGATTCATGGATGATAGAGAGTGGTAGTAACTCTCGACAGGAGCTGCCATGCACAGACCAACCGGCCTATTGCAGACTCCTTATGTTCTTAAGGCAGTTACACCCGTTTGTTGGTAGCTCACCAACTCTGTCTCTTAGTAATTACAGTAATCATGTCTCTTAAAAATATATGCAGTAATTGTAGCATGTTGCAGTAATTATATATATTAATGATAGACATTAATTTTACATGTACTGTAGATGAATAAACTTGTGTTATCAGTAGTAGGAGAGATTGTATTAGCATGGTAGTAATTTTATTATCAGTTAGACGCAAGTGTTGTGTTGACACAGTAGACTTATTACGGTAAGTGTATTATCAGTTGAAAAAAATATTATCTGCAAAAAGATGCCTCAAATTTTCTCGTGTGTGTGTGTGTTAGGTAAGGTTAGCTTTAGCGTGGTTAGGTAGGATAAGGTTAGCTTTAGCGTGGTTAGGTTAGGTAGCATAAGGTTAGCTTTAGCGTGGTTAGGTTAGGTAGGATAAGGTTAGGTTTAGCGTGGTTAGGTTAGGTAGGATAAGGTTAGCTTTAGCATGGTTAGGTAGGATAAGGTTAGCTTTCGCGTGGTTAGGTTAGGTAGCATAAGGTTAGCTTTAGCGTGGTTAGGTTAGGTAGGATAAGGTTAGCTTTAGCGTGGTTAGGTAGGATAAGGTTAGCTTTCGCGTGGTTAATCGCAAAGTGAAATAAGCAGGCGGCGGCGACGGCTAAATTTTGCGTGATCCAAAATAATATACCAGTAAGTATACGTAAATGGGCCTATTGCAGACTCCTTATTTTCTTATGAATTAATATTGTCGTCATTGCTTCCCTGGGACAGAGTGCTTGTGAGGGACAGGTAGGAGCTGTGAGTGACCCTCGTGTGAAGCTTGGGGCAGAGAGGAACAGCGTTTGGGCCGTCTAGGGTATATAGTGGGCAGGAGTGTGGTGGTCGGGGGCACCATTAAGGTATAGTGGGCAGGAGTGTGGTGGTCGGGGGCACCATTAAGGTATAGTGGGCAGGAGTGTGGTGGTCGGGGGCACCATTAAGGTATAGTGGGCAGGAGGGTGGTGGTCGGTTCGCACACACTGGTACACACCTTCACCAGAGTGCGGCTCACACGGGCAGGTCGCCATCATGATGTCATTATGTAAACACGAGAGGTGATGTAGAGTGTGATGATAAAGCGACTTGCTCTTTCTTAGAATTTATGTCGAAAATATCTGTAAATTAGAAGCGAATATTAAAAAATAATGGAAAAGAAAGCGCGGAGGATGTGTTATCCTCTGTGATGACGTCATGGCTTAAACGCGAGGGCTGGGTGGAGCTTGTGCTAATAAACGTAGTGTTTCATGTTAACCTTCACCACCCTACACAACGGTCATCATTCTCGAAAGTTCCCAAGTTAATTCTTACATGACTTAGGGTAAGACACGAAGATGGATTCGTAACGGTTATGCCGGTTTAATTATTATGTGACATTCCACGTAACAGCCTCTCTCAAGCTACAACACAATACAGTAATGTCTTCACAAACGGTCTTAATTTTTTTAACGGGGATTAGCCCACCCGGGCACAGGTCACTTACCCACATCGGGGCCTGGGAAGCGAAAATGTAATAATACTAATTCATGGTAAATAAAATTTATAATAAGAATACACAAATAAAAATAACATAATAAAATAATAATGATAACACTAATAATACAAATAATAAAGAACCACAAAGAAAAAAAGAAACAATATATATATATACATATATATATATATATATATATATATATTTGTCAATAGTAAGATGAACACTTGAGACCATGCAATTGTGTGTAAGTGAGGTAGAAAGTCGCTAAATCAGCAACCTGTAATGCCATATGGCAGCAGGGTATAACATTAGACATCACATTATGCTTCCAATATCTTCCCAGACGGTAGCACCTCCCTGTTTGATACCTGCCTACTACCTAGTTAGTTTACTCTCTAACTTGGAGGTAGGAGAAAGTACCTAACAGACTCACTTAAAGGTACGGCACAAAGGTGGATTCTTTAAAGTTCCTACGTTAAAGTTTTGGGCTATCTGGAAATGTGAGAACGAATCACACAATGTTTCTCTCAAGCAGCCAAAAGATGAGTTCATAAAGAATCCAAAGTTTATTTCCCCACAACTGAAGATGTTAGAATGGGACTAACAGGCTCTCGTAAGGTGCTACACGAAGGTAGATTCTCTGAGGGTATGACGTTAGTTTTTCGACCGAACTCCAAATAAGACATAATAGCCGTAGTGTCTCAGTTCAGTTTGGAAGTCAATTTAGCTGTCGTTATTGTGTGGCAGTTTTAATAAATGAGAAGTGCGTTTTCTGTCACATGGTGCAAAAAAAAATTCCCCTAGGAGCTTTAGAGAATGGTTGAGCAAGTTGTGAGCTATGGTGCTGGTACGTTGTGGACACAGGACGTCCGCGGCGGTGTGTCATCACCTTGACACACACACACCACACCACACCACACCCACGCATACACCACACCACACCACACCACACCCACGCATACACCACACACACATATATACACATACACCACACACACATATATACACATACACCACACACACATATATACACATACACCACACACACATACACACGCACACACACACCACACACACTTATTATTATTACACACACACACACACACACACACACACACACACACACACACACACACACACACACACACACACACTTATTATTATTATTACACACACACACACACACACACACACACACACACACACACACACACACACACACACACACACACACACACACACACACACTTATTATTATTATTACACACACACACACACACACACACACACACACACACACACACACACACACACACACACACACACACACACACACACACACACACTTACACACACACACACACACACACACACACACACACACACACACACACCATGATCATCAAAAGTTTATAGGTTTATTTTTTCCGTAACAGTTGATGTGAGAAAGGCCACAAGAACATATGTAACCGGTTCACTCAAGTTACCCCAAAAGTTCGCATGTCATTTATTAAGTGAAAATAACGTATCTGTCTGGTTCATGACAATAAGGTGGCGGGGAAACTACACCGTGACTTGAGCGTAATTGGATACAGTCTCTTAGTTTTAGTTACTGGGCAAAGTCTTACCGAGGAACCTGTGGATGTGGAGCCTAGTGGGCTGGTTGGCAGGCTGGGCTGAATGGCCTAGGCCCTAGTTGGTTGGCTAGCTGGGATCTGGGCTGGCTGGATAGCTTATCTGGCTGGCTGGTTTGATGGCGTCACCTGACCAAACACAACACTTGCTTGTTTACTGTTGTCCACCATGATGTCCTGTGTGTGTGTGTACGTTTGTGTATTTAATAATAGTAATTAACGGGTTATTGAAACATACCGTAATCATATGCTGAAAATATACAAAAGACATAAGTGGTAGATATATAACACTGTTGCCCTGTGTGGTTTATCAAGGTATAACATAAATGTAGTGACATGAGGGAGAGGATTGTTGAACAAGGACTTTAATTAGTTAGAGTACCTGTGTGTGTGTGTGTGTGTGTGTGTGTGTGTGTGTGTGTGTGTGTGTGTGTGTGCGCGCGCGTAAGCTACTGACGTACGCAGTTAACTACGTCAGTTTTTCCTTCATGTATGAATAAAAAGACGCCAGCTATTTACGGTAGAGTGACAGCACAATTTCGACGCCATTATTGTGCGGCGGCAGCAGGCGGCGTCCTTGTCGTTGTCGCGCCAACAGTCATGACCAAACTTTAATATGTGAGTTTTGACTCTCCATGATTACTTCAGGGGAGGGTGGCTGCTACATGGACACCACTCCCCAATAACTTCACAAATCCAAGATGGCCGCCAGACCCGAGGACTAATGAGCCTCCAGTAATGATTATTAACAACCTTTATATACCGCATACCTTCAATTATACCCTTATATACCACATACCTTAATTCTACCCTTATATACCGCATACCTTCAATTACACCCTTATATACCGCATACCTTCAATTATACCCTTATATACCGCATACCTTCAATTATACCCTTATATACCGCATACCTTCAATTCTACCCTTATATACCGCATACCTTCAATTATACCCTTATATACCGCATACCTTCAATTATACCCTTATATACCATATACCTTCAATTCTACCCTTATATACCGCATACCTTCAATTCTACCCTTATATACCGCATACCTTCAATTCTACCCTTATATACCGCATACCTTCAATTCTACCCTTATATACCGCATACCTTCAATTACACCCTTATATACCGCATACCTTCAATTATACCCTTATATACCGCATACCTTCAATTCTACCCTTATATACCGCATACCTTCAATTATACCCTTATATACCGCATACCTTCAATTCTACCCTTATATACCGTACCTTCAATTATACCTTCATACCTTCAATTATACCCTTATATACCGTATACCTTCAATTCTACCCTTATATACCGTATACCTTCAATTCTACCCTTATATACCGTATACCTTCAATTATACCTTTATATACCGTATACCTTCAATTCTACCCTTATATACCGTATACCTTCAATTCTACCCTTATATACCGTATACCTTCAATTATATCTTTATATACCGTATACCTTCAATTATACCTTTATATACCGTATACCTTCAATTATATCTTTATATACCGTATACCTTCAATTATATCTTTATATACCGTATACCTTCAATTATATCTTTATATACCGTATACCTTCAATTATATCTTTATATACCGTATACCTTCAATTATATCTTTATATACCGTATACCTTCAATTATATCTTTATATACCGTATACCTTCAATTATATCTTTATATACCGTATACCTTCAATTATATCTTTATATACCGTATACCTTCAATTATATCTTTATATACCGTATTCCTTCAATTATATCTTTATATACCGTATACCTTCAATTATATCTTTATATACCGTATACCTTCAATTATATCTTTATATACCGTATTCCTTCAATTATACCCTTATATACCGTATACCTTCAATTATACCCTTATATGCCGCATACCTTCAATTATATCTTTATATACCGTATTCCTTCAATTATACCCTTATATACCGTATACCTTCAATTATATCTTTATATACCGTATACCTTCAATTATATCTTTATATACCGTATTCCTTCAATTATACCCTTATATACCGTATACCTTCAATTATATCTTTATATACCGTATACCTTCAATTATATCTTTATATACCGTATTCCTTCAATTATACCCTTATATACCGTATACCTTCAATTATATCTTTATATACCGTATACCTTCAATTATATCTTTATATACCGTATTCCTTCAATTATACCCTTATATACCGTATACCTTCAATTATATCTTTATATACCGTATACCTTCAATTATATCTTTATATACCGTATTCCTTCAATTATACCCTTATATACCGTATACCTTCAATTATACCCTTATATACCGTATACCTTCAATTATACCATTATATACCGCATACCTTCAATTATACCATTATATGCACTCTCATATGTACCAAGTTTTGGTTAGGTCGGTTCAGTGGTTGTGGAGGAAGTGAACTGGTATTTAGGGTACTAAGTAATAGAGTATTAGCACTGTGTCTCACTACCCTGGCGGCGGCTCATGTGTAGATTCCTGAGTTGGCCAATTAGCTGCATCCTCACATTACCAGTTGCGGGAATACACTATTTATGATAATAACTTGTGAGAACCTAATACAGAACTCCCTTATATAGTGACATGTTTCCTGTGCGTCGATCACCTCTCGCCCTTGTAGGATGCTAGTGTTTGGCCTGGGAGGTGAGGCAACCATTAGATGATTTATGCGTATGGTATTTGGCGTTGGTAATATTACTGAAGATGAGTTATAAACGTGTTGGTTATGACGGTGCTTGTCACGACCATCATTATTAAATAAGACTACTAGTTCCACCGTCCTTGTTACATACAGTACTTGTCACCCTGGTGTTGGTTCATCTTGACAGTGTCGTACACGGCCGGTATTTCACAACACATAG